TCAGAACAAACTATTTAAATATGTATATATGTCTTCCTCTCTATATTCAATTTGTACTTTGTTCTAATGATTGCCATCTCTCTCTCAATCCATGCAGAAATCTTTACATCCTATTTGTGGTCAGTCCCAATCAGGTGGGCAGTCTGATTGGCACCGACCACAAATAGGAAGGCAGTGCCAATGAGGAGATTTTCCTTACCACCTAAATGACAAAAATCATTTAAGATACTTTTTAGATTTTGCCAACAAATACATAGTAACTCCCCCCCACCCCCCTCGTTCTAATTATTAGTGCTGGTGAAATCTTTCCTTAACATTGTTTAACCTCTACCTCAGCCCTTTGCCATGATCTCAGCCCCAGTAAAAACTTGGTTAATTGCCAATCAGTCATCATGGAAACAGGTGTACTTACAGCAGGTGTTCTGGCTGCTTTCACCTTCATAAAAATGGCAATTTATTTTTTCCAGTAAAAATATTTTTTTCCATCAAAATGTTATTAAGTGTGACTTAAGTGAAATACAAAATCCACAACTTCGTTTCTGAAAGAGTTAGCTATAAAATTTTCTGAAAGTGCTAACAATTTGGCATGACGTACGCGTGGAAATTTGATTAATTATCGCAGAACCTATGAGTAATCCATGGGTATTAAGTTTAATTGAAGACTTTATGCAAATATAATGAAATGCCAGTCCCTCTCGTTGTGTGGATATTATTGGATGACCGAATCGTTTCTATGTCCTACGATATATATTTGTAACAGTCATCAAATGTTTTACATTAACATTTACTGTCATCCAGGAATTTGAAATTAAAGAGGGCATTTAAAAAATATTTTGTCTGTCGTCAGCCATTGAGTGAAGCTTTGACTGGTTCTTGAGGATAAAATTCCCTGTAAAATTAGGAAGGATTTTGATTTGTCTCTAAGTGCTTCCAAAAGCATCCGAATCTCTTACTGTCATTGTGTCATGTGAGTTATTTCTTCCCAAGAACTGTGCAAGTGAAAAGAACTTTATACCATAAACCACAGCATTCCCAACTGCACGGTGCCACACGTTAGTGTGTCGGCTACACAGTCTAAGTGTTTTGCGCAGAGGTGTCCAGTAAGGGCACAGCGCTCCCCTCCTGCTGGTCACTCCTGTTCAGCCTCACCTCCCTCCATTTAGTGTAGTTGAGCGGGCGGACTGCGGTAGAGCAATCGACTGTTAAAAGAGAGAGGTGTTCAAAAGAATATCCCTTTATCAAATGAATAAGTAATTAGAAGCAATCCCCATCTGATCCGGTCTGCAATTCTGGTCTCTTGTCTCACGTGTCTCGTGTGTAGCTGGGCTGCGCGCTTGGGCCTTCTAAGGGGCATTTCCGTCCTGAGCACGCAGCCCAGCTACACACAAGACACATGAGACAAGAGACCGTAATTGCAGACCGGATCAGATGAGGATTGCTTCTAATTACTGCTTCATTTGATAAAGGGATATTCTTATGAACAGCATGTATAATCGGTGGTGAGATCCAACCATTTTTCCATCATAAAATCAGTGCACTTTTTGCAGTCCTTTGAATTTTTCATTTTTTCATTTTTTTTCTTGTTTTCAACAGAATAAATGAAGTTTTGCATTTTTAAACAGTGATTCCTTTTTTCTAATGCATATTTTTATGCATGTGAGTGCGGTATTAACTGATATATTTTTTCATTACCATCAGTGCACCGTACTAAAATGAGTACAGAATGTAAAAATAATGTCTGTATTAAGCATACTGCCCACAGATGGTAAATACAATTAGATCATATATTTCTGCAATAAAGGTATTTATTTAAAATGTTTTGTACCAATCGTAGTGAAGCGAATGTGCTGAGTACTCATTCAATCCTCTCCCCTGGCTGACTCTAGTATTGGTGCGATATTTGCAGTTTCCTGTACCTTTTGGAAGAGAGGCTGCCATTTTCAGCCCATTTGCACACTTTAAATGAATGGAATGCAATTGTTTCTTTACAAGCTAGTAATTATTCCTTGAGTATAAATGTAGGTAAGGATGTAGGTAAGTAAATGTATGCACTACATTTCGTTTTGCAAATCAAACGAATGTACAAAACATGCATATAAGATATTTGGAAGTGAAGGAGTTAATTATTGTTTCCCCAGGTTGGCAAAATACCACCTCAACATGACTAATCACAAAAGCAATGTTATTAATTATACTAAAATATCATAATTTTTTTATTTACCAGGTAAATATATTTTGAAAAAAGCACAATAAACTCCATAATGCAGCTACAGTCTACTATGTCATCCTGCAAAAGCAAGGCTTTTACGCTGTTAGGGCAGCATACTGACCTTTCATAGCGATCCCGATTGAGGGCACTGCTAGACAACTTAGGTAAAGAAAATATGCTGGGGAAAAAAATATTAATTAGTGCAAAAAAATAAATACATTAGAATGCAATTATATATGTATCTATATGTGTATATGTATGTATGTGTATATATACATACATACTTACATACATATACACATATAATTAAAATAAATAAATATATATATATATATATATATATACATATATATATATATATATATATATAATCCAGAGAATTTAATTTGCAAGCCCTATTATGACCCTGTAACGTTCCAAAGCAAAGAATAAATATGAACACTAACTTTGGCCAGGGTTTGTGACTAAGTGGTTACTAAAAAGACTGAACATACCCTATTTTGAATACCCTGGGTTGTCTACTGTTGCAAATGATATGCCATGATGGGGGTCATTTTTATTCCTGGCTTGCCATATCGTCCCAATGATAAAATAGGTCTAGAAAATCAATCTGGCAAATTTCAATATGTTAAGACTGAAATGGGCAAGCTCTTTATTTGACCCTGTAACTTTCCAAAACACCGTAAAATCGCTACCCGTGGGACATCACTGCATACAAATATGTGTATTTTATTGAAGTTAGAAGAAAAAAAATAGAAAAAATGGAAGCTTAGGAAATGCACTCATATAGGGGTTAACCCATAGTGGACTACCAAAGTATATAGGGGTTAACCCATAGTGGACTACCAAAGTAGTAAAAAAGAAAGAGAGAAAAGAGCTGAGTGCCCTAATTGGATAAAATATAACCTTTAATAATATAGTTAAAATGGATAAATAGGTAAACCAAAGATGAGTAGATACTCAAAAATTAAAAATAATTAGCACTAGGCTGGAAAATAGATAATATAAACAATGTATATATTTACCAAAGTCTAACATGCCTAGTAGGTAGAAGTTCAGAATATAGACTGGTATCTGTGGACTTGACCCAGAGTGGGGAGCTAATAGTAACACATCTCTCTGTAGTTAAGGTAGACACAAAAGTGGCAAAAGTAACACTTGGTTGCTACAATGTACGTTGGTAAGAGCAACAGTCTGAAGAGGAGCTAAAAGTAACAGTTAACAAAAAGTCCAGTAGTCGCTCAAAGGGTTAAACCTCTACCGCTGTCTAGTAATGCCTCAAAATACATGAGCCGTGACTCAACATTATTGAAGTTACAGCTAACAGTATTACGACATTTACAGTTAAATTGCCATACAGAAGTTGGAAAATAAAATTTCTTAATTTCTCACAGATTTTTAGATTTTATTTATATTAAATTATGTTTCATATATAAATGTTTGATGTGAAATTAAAGCCGTGTTTCTTCTGAACAAAATTATAAAAAAAATATATAAAATGTGGGTGCATTTAATATGAAAAAAAGGTAAATTATTATTGAACAGAAATATAGACAAATTCTAGATTTTGTTATTTTACTCAGTGATATTTGGATGCTCTTTACCTGTGAGGACAATACAGTGGCCCGACACGCAGTATTAAAACACAGAAAAATAATAAACTAAGGAAAAACGTATTACCGGGCCTTAGAATGGCCAGAATTAACGTATATAGAAAAAACAGAAACTAGCCGAGGTCAGGGATCCAAACAGAAGTATAAACAGTCAACAAGAGCCCAAAGGTCAGGAAACCAGAAACACAGGTAGTCAGAACTATCCAAAATTGATAACCAGAATAACAATACACAAAAATGCACTTTCGGATAACCAAACGGGATGGAAACCACAACAGGTCAAAGAGGAAACAAATTAAGGAGTTTAATTAGCCTAAACCTAACTGCTATTGGTAGGCAGGGATCATGTGATTCCAAAACATGCATGTGCGCCGATGACGTGGTAACGCACGCACACATGTCCGCGTGACCTGCAACCCCACCAGAGGGGGGCTACAAAGGACCACGATTTCGCAGCAGCCAACATCCATAGGAATGCTGTGCTTACTGGGGAAGGGCCCTCTGGTGAATCGGGCCATGACCCGCCGTGTCCTTGGAAAGTATAAGGGGCCAGCTGAGTGGCTGCACTGTGACATTACCTCCACCCAGATAACAAGCAACCAAAGGTGATGCCAAAGTACAGGTCTGGGCAAAACTGGGTGGCAAAGAGGACAAAACTAGTCTATGTCAGGGTTTGTCTGGTCACGCCCCCCGGCGCAGTTGCTCGCACCTCTGGTTTTGTTAGTGATTTCCGCAACTGGTGTAAGTATTTACAGGTATATAAAAAAAATCTGTCTTTTCATAAATATGACATCTGATAGTCTTTCTGATTTGTGTGTGGTGGTAGGAGAATTTTTTTAAGAGTTAAAGGCAGTAATTGATTAAAAAAAAGTTATTCTCCTTAGATTTTCAGACTTAACCAACAAACGTCAAAGCTTTAAAGACAAAAAAGCAAAAGTTTTTGTTTTACTCTTTCAAATAAATCAGCAGGGGCAAAATAGAAAAAAGCGGGGGCGAAACATCCGTGCAAAACATATGTTTTTGCCACTTTTGTCCTTATCTTGCATATTTCCTGCATGTTTGTTCACATAGTAATGTGGGCTGTGTAGTAGGGCTCATCGACATAAAACAGGCATGTGTTGTCAATTTTAAAAATAAAAAAAAGTGAAATTTCTCTACGCAATCATTTCTTTGCAGAACAAATGCAGGCAAGAACCATCCCTTCCTTTCTCTTTCCCCATCTCTTCATTTTAAAACAATCCTGGTTTTCCCTTCAGAGAAAGTTTTCTTGGCTTCTATGCAAGAGCCACTGGGCATAGAGCCACAGCGGAGGGGCTTAGCTTCGAGCAGAGCGCTGAGAGGGGGTCTGGATCCTGCAGCAGAGCATTAGAGCTACGAGCAGAACACTGAGAGGGGATCTGGATCCTGCAGCAGAGCATTAGAGCTACAAGCAGAGCAGTAAGAGCGTGCCTGGATCCTGCAGCAGAGCATTAGAGCTACCAGCAGAGCACTGATAGGTGGTCTGGTTCCTGAAGGAGAGCATTAGATCTACAAGCAGAACACTGAGAGGGGGTCTTGATCCTGCAGCAGAGCATTAGATCTATGAGCAGAGCACTGAGAGGGGGTCCTGATCTTGCAGCAGAGCATTAAATCTATGAGCAGAGCACTGAGAGGGGGTCTTGATCCTGCAGAAGAGGATTAGAGCTGCAGAGCGCTGATGGGGAGACATTTGAAGATCTGGAAGGAGGTAAGTGACAGGTCTAATTGGCCAGAAAAAACTCGGACAACTCTAAGCAAACTATTATGATAAACAGGCAGACAAACAGATAGATATAGTTATTTATTACTGGTATTTATAAAGCGCCAACATACTCTGCAGTGCTGTACAATTGGGGTAGAATGTGCAACATACACAGGCAAAATACAAAAATTAGAGAGGGCCCTGCCCGTAGGATGTTATCTAGCCATTGAAGCTATTTTATACAAAGTGCTCAGCAATGTAGCCTGTGAGCTTACAATCTAAGATCGATAGACAGACAAACGGACGGACAGACAGATTGATTGACAGGTAGACAGATGAAGGGATAGACAGATTGCTATAGATACATTTATAGAAAACAGATATCTTTACATATATCTCTAATAAAAAGAGAATTATTATAATTAAATAAGTGAGTAAAAAGTCCACGTAATACGTAAAGCCATCCCTTGTTAGGTGGAGATGTCTGCATTAGTGGTTGGATAAATGAAGTGTTAAGAAATCTAGGCTTGTATGTTATAGTTAATGAAAACCTTAATCTGTGATTCAAATGAATCAGTCCATCTACAGGTTCTGCTCATTTATTAAATGTAACAAACAAGACATATTGGGGGGTTTACTGAGTTCCACTATACTGTGTGAGCTAGGTAAAATCTCCAATGCTGCCGATGTAAGGACTACTCCAACTCTGTGATATCGCTCTTGATGTTGCAAGTCAGTAATCAGGTCACTAAAGCTTACTGTTTATTGAAGAGACTTTGAACAAAAACTTACAGGTGCAATTAATGTATCGCACAGACTATATCTCAAACAGCAACAGATACATCCCATAATCACATGTAAAAGAAACAATATAACATATATGTATATATATTACAATACACAGAAAACTACAATAAATAGGTTGTAATAGATATCTAACAAAAACAATAAATAGCAAACTCCCATCACTTAATATGTTTAAGAAAAAAATGATTTCTAAATAAAATAAAAAATCTAGGAAAAAAAAAACGTTTTTTTTACGAGAAATATATAAATAGATAAATAAAGAATATGATCATGAATTTATAACAAAATCAATGAATAGTAAAAAAGATCATACAGTCAATGTATAAACTAAAATCAGTATCAGGCAATGAACAGAGCTAACAGGTATTTGGTTACATTGTATTTTGCCCTTTGTAACATAGATTTATGTAATCTGTGCTCCATGAAGTATTTAAAGGATTTGACAGACCAAAGCAATCTGTTTCATATGACAGAACAGGACCGTCTTACAAACCTATTACCAAGGGAGAGGGTGTGCTCTATACAGCTATAGATAATGGGGATTGGGGCTTAGCTAGAGTCTATAGAGGTGATCCCCTCTGAAATATTTACTCAGATTTGTGAAAAAAATCTACATTAGCGTTCAAGGTGGGGATTGTTTGTTTGTAAAACAACAGAAACAAGTTGTGGTATGGCAATAACATGTTTCAAGCTAAAGATTACTGATACCCCAATTATTGTCAACGATTTAATTTATATCTATTGATTTGAGGAAAAAAATGTATAGGGCTACTCACTAAACACAGTTTTTTGGCCTCAATTTAATATTTTTGGATAATCGTTTTAAATAATTTTTTCTAAATATAGAAATATATAAAACATAAAAAAAACTAAATATCATAACATTTGCATATTTTTCACAATATGAAATACTTGAAAGAGTTTATCTAAACATATTAAATCTTTTGAAAAGCTTATCCAACGAGGGTTTCTATTTAATATTATTTGTAAAGTTTCTAAAATGCATTTTTCAAAAGATAAGCCATTAAAAAATATAGTGTATTTAAAAAAATATATATCACTATATCAAAAAATGTCAAGGTATTACAAAATGAAAACATTTTTCATAATATTTGTGACGGAAGCTCCCGTGCCACAGACATTTGGAGAGGCATGAAGGCCAGTCTCCTGCCCACTGACTATGGGCCTGGTCCCGAGAGCACCTGAAAGGGCAATTGTCACTGTGGAGGTGTGTATGGGGGCCTTGAACGCTTACTGTGCTTCACAGCGGGACTTGAGGGCCTCTGGGGATCGCTTGGACTCATTTTACACCTTAAGTGCCTGAATAGGAGATACCCTAAAACACACACTCTGTAACTGTTCTTCGGATTGGAAGTGCCTTGAGGTCCGGTAAATCTTTAAGCAGGTACTGCTTTGTTCCTTAACCTAAAAATAGAGTGCTATTTGGAGGGGAGATAAGACAGACAATGAGGCATTGAAGGAGCAGGGTCTTGAGTGCTCTTCTTTCCCCAGGCATCCGCGAACCTCTTTTGTGAGACTGGTACTAGGATGTACATTGTGTTGGGGTATGGTCCAGGAAAAGAGGGTTCTGACAGACATTTTGAGTGCTGTGTCTGCAGGGTTGTGAGGGTACAGCAGGGAGCTAATTGTGTAAGCTTGGGATCATGTTATTAAGTCCCCAGACAGAGTGGCACTGGGGAAGGACAATTGTACTGTCCATTGGTTTGAATGGAGGAGCCCCTGCAGGGACAGCCAACATTGCTATGTATACATAGCTGTGTGTGCTGTGCAGTAAAGATCATTCTACCCCTTACATTCAGGCACATCTAATGTGTGAAAGATGAGCTATAAACACTGAGAGTGAAGGTCTCCAGAGCTATAACTTCTGCAGCCTGGTCTGGTGGAAAAGGTCCCTTCTGCGACTGGGCCTGAATGTCCTAGAGTCCTCTCTCAAACTGCGATGCCGTGGATTGCCATGGCAACCTGTGGCAACGCTCTCATGGATCACAAGAGAAGAGGACCTGATGCTGCTGAAAATAGAAAATTAGACTATTGGCCCCCTCTTCACAATACAATCTGCTGTGCCACCAGACCACCAGTGAATCTAGTATTCCCCCTCCTTGCCCACAAGTAAAATGCAGAGAGGGGGAATATATATACATTAAAAAAACTGATGCTCCTCAAATTTAGCTTATTCAACACCACAAACACACACTACATGCGCTACACAGGCTCTGCATCCGCTACACAAACACAGACACTGTATCCACTACATCAACACACACAATGCATTCACTACATACACTGCATACAATATACACACTGCATCCACTACACAAACTCTGGATCCACTACACAAACACAGACACTGTGTCCACTACACCAACACACTCAATGCAATCACTAAATACACTGCATACAATATACACACTGCATCCACTACACAGACTCTGCATCCACTACACAAACACAGACATTGTATCCACTACACCAACACATACAATGCAATCACTACATACACTGCATACAATAAACACACTGCATCCACTACACAGACTCTGCATCCACTACACAAACACAGACCCTGTGTTTTTTTTGTGAGTGAACTGATCATTTGAAATACAATTTGTCTGCAGGGTAAATAATAAAAAACCCTTGACAACGTGAATGTTAATTAAGTGGGGGCTGGCCAGTCCTTGCTAGCTAGTTGCCACATTAAAAAAGAAAGTAAATAATACAAATTATAATAATACTTATATAAAACAGCCTATGTAGGTCAATAAGACCCCCATTTTACCATAAGGGAGGTTTTAAACCTTCCTATGACTTCACCTGCCATGTAGCAGCATGTATCAGAAATATTTAAAATTAGAAACTGGGCAGCAATTGGTGCCCAGTCTTTAGAAAGACCCCATTTCATGGGGAGCAGTCTGTAAAATAACGGGAGGCATGTCTCTCGAAATTTGCTTTCCTTCACCTTAAATTCTCATTAGAGTACTCTGATTGGTTGGCGTACAATCTAACAGACTGTGTTTTCTACAGAACCGCGGCACAATGCAATATGCGTGTCTCTCTGTGCCTTCACAAGGGTCGCAATTTCCAATATTCGATATAAACGAGTTCCTCTGGAATATCATCCAGTCAAAGTCAGATTTCTTCGCATTGTCTTTTAAAACCCAATGCAAAGTCCTAAGGACGGGAACAAATTGCAGGTTTCCATTTACAGAACAACCCAGGAATAAAATCCAACATTTATTTATTTTTGCAGAAACACAGCAGGTTACATATGCTTTTGCCCAAAGGCGACTTTCTCCGGAGCTTGAAAATGATTTCACATCGGGCAGAGAGGAGGGGAGAAACTGCTCCTCCACACTGCAGCCCACGTGATGATAGTAATGCCTGTGGCCCCCAATAACCCCAATAAGTAGGTAAGAGCTGCCTGGCTGTGTCCCTTAGTCCACGTGTAAGGGTCGAGATTAATAAGCAGATTCTGGGATGTATAATGATTGGGACTAAAAGCTGACATTTAAGAAAAAAAATTCAAACTCTATTTAAAAACTTAGACCAAAGATTAACTGTTTTACTGGCAATAGACGTGTGTTAAATAATCAAAAGAAAGTGCTGTTGTAAGTATTGTACAAGATGAATATGTCAAATAATAAACATTTTACAAGGCTCCATGTAAACCATAGAAATCTCAATAAGTAGCAAAATATGGAATAGTTAAACACTGCTTAGCCATGGCAGTGAATGAAAACAATTCAAGTGTATTCTTGTAATGAAGGTTGGAACACACACGGGACACTATGATCTTGCAATCTGTGCAGTACTTTGTGCTACATAGAGCAGACGGATAGCAAAGCGCTATAAATGGCACTTTCCAATTGATTTCAGCGGGACCAGAACACAGCCGGACAGCCAGAATCCGAACGGAATGCTTCAAATGCTGGAGACTTCCGTTTCAAGCCTGGATGTAAAAAAAGAAAAAAAAATTGGAACTTTTTGCCAGATAGCCAGATAGTTAATGCGAATTTGTAAAATGATACTGATTAGTCAACCAATCAGAATGCTCTTACTAATATTAAACAGCATGGGACATTTTCCCCCATAATGTGATAGCTGACAGAGAGCAGGAAAGTACAATATGCCACAAAAGTCAACCAAAAGTCAGAGTTAAATAAATGGAGGCATTAATACTTGTATATAGTAGCCACCGGTATATAGTTGACTGTACATTATTATTATTATTATTATGATATTTATAGAGCGCTGTCAAATTCCACAGCGCTTTACAATGGGTGGACGAACGGACATGTAGTTATAACCAGACAAGTTGGACACACAGGAACAGAGGGGTTGAGGGCCCTGCTCAATGAGCTTACATGCTAGAGGGAATGGGGTAAAGTAACACAAAAGGTAAGGATAGTATTAGACTAGTGACAGTTGCAGAAGAGGAATCAGTCAGGAGCTATTAACACTTTAATTGATACGCTTTTATGAAGAAGTGGGTTTTTAACGATTTTTTGAAGTGGAGACTGGGTGAGCATCTAACTGAGGAGGTAAGCGAGTTCCACAGGAACGGTGCAGCCCTCGAGAAATCTTGAAGGCGAGCATCAGAGGTGGAAGTACGGCCAGAAGATAGACGTAAGTCTTCAGCAGATTGTAAGGGCCTAGACGGGACATACTTGTATATAAGGGAGGATAGATAAGTGGGAGCAGCATTATGTAGAGATTTGAAAGCAAGAACCAGAATTTTAAATTGAGCTCTATATTTTATAGGAAGCCAATGTAGGGACTGACAGAAGGGTGAGGCATGGAAGGTGCGGGCGGACAGGAAGATGAGCCTCGCCGCCGCATTCATTATGGAATCTGTGAATACATCTGTGACAACTACCCCTATCAGCATACAGAAAAAGGATCGGGGTTACAGCTTTTACCTGAAAAAAATGTAGAACAAACAATAGCGTAATAAATGTTTGGATAGATGCAGTTGCTGCTAAGGGAGGCTCTTTGCTTCCACCCTATTCCGTTTTTTGAAAATTCACTTCAAATACGTGGAACACTGGATCCGAATAAGAAGATTTATTCCAGTAAATTGACAGTTATAAGGGCTTTCCCCTCTATGAGAGCTCAGTCTGCAGCAAGCCCTTGCGGGGCAAAGAGGGATTAATTTATTCAGTAGCATTTTAAAAAATTTCTGTATTTAAAAAAAGAAAGATTTACAAGTCTGTTTTTTTTATTAGTTGCGTTGGAATTTATGGATTTTTATTTGTCCTTCTTTGGTGCTGATAGCATTAGGAGAAAAAAAGACTTCTGATTGTAAATATATATATATATTTATTTATTTTAACAGGTATTAGTTTTATTGCCCCCCTCCCCCCTCACTATTAGAGTGAGGAGGGGCAGGTAGGGTCCTTAATTTTTAATGAGGGTGTGGTTAGCTCTTTCCCCTTTCATATAATAATTTGGCCCCCCAGCTGATAATGGGACACTAGGCCCTCCCCCTTTAATATCATAGTTAAGGTACCGTACCGGTGGCTACTAATCTGTCCTGTCCACTTCCCATTATTTTGTTGAATGTCCCTTACTTGATGCCCACGGCTGGGGTTATGGGGGGACTGGGCCATGGCTGCTAAGTGACTGGTTTTAAACATTTAGTAGACACAATGCCCCTATCTGTCGAACAAGCCCCTATCTGTCTCATGGCAATTGGGGGAAACTCCCCTTATAGTTATTACTTAACTCTCTTATAGTTATTATGGACCCCATAGGCTATTTATTTATTTTATGTGGTGACTGGCTAACAAGCACTGGCCTGCCAACAGATAATTAACTCTTAGATTGGCAAGGGTTATTTAAATATTTGCTTGCTTGCTGTTAAAGGGACACTATAGTCACCTGAACAACTTTAGCTTAATGAAGCAGTTTTGGTGTATAGAACATGCCCCTGCAGCCTCACTGCTCAATCCTCTGCCGTTTAGGAGTTAAATCCCTTTGTTTATGAACCCTAGTCACACCTCCCTGCATGTGACTTCCACAGCCTTCCATAAACACTTCCTGTAAAGAGAGCCCTATTTAGGCTTTCTATATTGCAAATTCTGTATAACCCCTTAAGGACACATGACATGTGTGACATGTCATGATTCCCTTTTATTCCAGAAGTTTGGTCCTTAAGGGGTTAAATTAAAATTGTCTTATCCCCTGCTATGTTAATAGCTTGCTAGACCCTGCAAGAGCCTCCTGTATGTGATTTAAGTTCAATTTAGAGATTGAGATACAATTATTTAAGGTAAATTACATCTGTTTGAAAGTGAAACCAGCTTTTTTTCATGCAAGCTCTGTCAATCATAGCCAGGGGAGGTGTGGCTACAGCTGCATAAACAGATACAAAGTGATTTAACTCCTAAATGACAGTGAATTGAGCAGTGAAATTGCAGGGGAATGATCTATACACTAAAACTGCTTTATTTAGCTAAAGTAATTTAGGTGACTATAGTGTTCCTTTAATGCTTAAAACTATTGTTTGCGTTAATAAACGCAAGTGAACGAAAATTTGCAAATGTGCGCCTGCTGAATGCTTTCCCTTCTTTTTAAGTTTGTGAATTTTCCAAATCCTGTACTTTGTGAAAACTATTTTAATCCAGTGATTGCTGCAGTTTTGCTCAGATGACCCAAATTCTGACTGTATTTATCTTTAGTAAATATGAGAATTGTCATTGCGGTCAGAATTTGGTAATTTTCACAGAATGTTTGGCAAAATACGGTGTTTAGTGAATAAATCCTGTTGTGTTTGGTAAGGAATTCCTGCTGTTTTCTATTTAATGGTTTCTTTTTCTGCAAAGAATGAGATCTAGCAAGTTTATCGAGGGGTATTATCTACTTATTTGGGATTTTTACATATTCCAGATAACTTTTCCATGTATGATACATTAATAAATATGAGCCGACATCATACAGAACACATTCCCACTGACGTCTATAACTGGGAGCATCATTATCAATAGCTAGCTAGGGAGGACATGTCACATTAGAGACATCTTTCATTTCTATTGGACAATTAGTTTGCATTGTTAACATCACTTACCGCTTTGTCATGTCTTGTTGTGCAAGACATTTTGTTGCTGTTTTGGTTCAGTTTTTCAGGATAAATACTCAATGAACTAAATTGTAAAATTATGTTTTTTATTTTATTTTTTATTTATTTCTATGGGGCTCTCTCTTTACGTCTAATCTTTCCATATATTGGATCAGTGATTGCTAGCAAAAAAAAAGTTTTTTATTTTTTATTGGTCCCGAGGAAAGTACCCAAGTGGGACTGAAACGTTGACAGGCTACTTAATTCGTTTTTTTCCCCCCAGACAGTATGCCTGGATGTTCATTACTAATATGATGAAATAAATAAACAATTTTTTTTTTTCCATTTTCATATGATCAAGGCTGGGCATCCAGCAAATGCAATTTCCTTACGTAAGTGTGCAAGGAATTTTGTATATATATATATATATATATAAAAAAAAAATATATATATATATATATATATATATATATATATACAAAATTCTTGCACACTACCAAATATATATATTATATATATATATATATATATATATATATATATATATATATAAATGATATCTTTTTGTAATTTAAATATTTAGAAAAAATTATTTTGAAAGTTTATCCAAAAATATAAAATTATTGAAAAATGTATCCAACAATATTAAACTGAGGCCAAATTAAACTGAGGCGAATAGCTAAACGTACACTATAAGAAATGTAACCCCTACAACCCATTGCATTATTTCAGCTGATTGTGGTGGCTATTATGTCTATCCAAACCCTTTTACGTCATATTGGTTTTGAGGGCATTTGACAAAATCCTGTACTCTTTAGAATTATATTATTATATCAAATTGGAATTTAAATGTGTGATTTCATTTTCTAAGAGTTGCAGTGGTGAAATTGAGGACTGAAGCCCCAGATGTTGGGGTCTTTAACCCAGGATCTGTACATGTAGTAAAGTGGACAAGAGGATATTAGTTTTTATTTTATGTTACTCAAAGCTGCTGCCTGATATCTTCTTCTTATTATATATTATATTATATGAAGCGGAAGATCACTAGTTTAGTGCTGTGCAAGCCTATTAAAGAGAGGTGTGGTGCCTCTCAGGTAACTGTTGAAAGAGGGTGTTTTTAGCCATGGCCGCATTACATTCAATTCTAGGCTGTGCATCATGTTCAGGTTCTGCAATTTTGGGGTATGCAAACTGTACAGCCCCACAGGGTGCAATGACAACCGTTGCGCAAGGCGGACAACACAACTCGCACCCAGTTCAGGTAGGGTACCCAGCAGGGGGGTGCAGTATATGAAGTTACGGATTCCCTGGTGGTCGGTGGTGGAACGCATGGAGTCGACCAAACTAGTCCCAATCTCTTGCAATTCCTCAGCTCTCTGAGTGCATCAGTGCTGGGGCCAGGATTCGAAGCATCTGTTCTTACTTCCTCAATCAGTGTCAGACCGAGAGGAGCAATTAATAACCAATAAAGCATAGCACTGCAAAATGTATATACCTTTAAGAAATAGTATCCGTCTTTTGTGCTTGACATATTTTTATACACATATGTCCCCTCATGATTGCAATGTGAAGGTGGGCTGTAAATTGGAAATATGTATAATATATAAAATATACATACATGTAAATTACATGGGGAAACACACACATACATTGGTATCCACATATGATAATACATATGTGAGAGCATTACAGAATATGTTGGCAAATATTTCTATGTACATAGGTAATTGTCAACACTGTTTTCTTATCTCTAACTTCATCATTTGGTAATTAATATTTCAGTCTCCGTTAAATAATATACTCTCTAACTGGAATAAAAAATACATTGAAATACTTTAATTTTCAGGACAGATTCTGGTAATGGTTTTTGGGTTCAATAATAATCACTGTTTTTGTGCTGGTCTGGCAGCTAGATGTTTTCCGTCTTAGTGACCCAAAAGTGTGTCAATTCCCACAGAAAGTAACACAGAACAGAAAGGCTATATTAAAAACAAAAAAAAATCACTCCATTTTGGACGGTGATGAGATTTTTGAAACCTGGTCTATACAACAAATTTGTTTCAAGGGAAACAACATACAATAAGACTTGGGTTAAGGGATTCGTCTGAGTATAAATATTTTCTTTAGTCAATATGCCGACTTTTAGCCAGATCTCTGCACCTCATTATTACATATTTTTATATTTATATTATTTGTTCTTCTAATACCAGAGTATGCACAGCTACATTGCAGGCACCATGCCTTGAGATTACTATGGAATGCCTTTGTTTTTATATTCTAACATTGTTTTATTTTTTTTAATCACATCTCACAATTGAGTTTAGGGAACATTATAAGGTTAGAAATATAAACACATTTTCCTAACGCTATACTTTTCCAGTCCCAAATTAGATTAGGCCCCCCCCCCCCACCAATAAAACATGTTTCACTTACCTTTTTTTTTTCAATGCTGCGTCATAATCCTTGCACCCAAGAAATCCTTGTCTTACGACGTCAGTTTGTCTGTTGCTTCATCTTCAGCTTCTCGTCCAATAAAATGATTCTCATCATTTTGTGTCACCTTTTGTGTCACTATACGCCACTCCCTCTAGCATGTCGGCAAGTATTAAATCTAGTGCTTTCCTACAAGCAGCATTTAATGATGTCCTCATGGATGTCGACTGTGAAACTCGGTTGTTGCAACTAAAACACCTCTAGATAACCACAAGAAGTGTGTTTAGCCCTTCATTGGAAACGTTGTCAAATCTACTAAATGTCAATGTTTTATATTGTAGGGCTCAAACTACAGGATCACTCCACCCAGACCAATTCATTCCTACCCTTACCTTTTTTGTCACTATACCCCACTCCCTCTAGCATGTAAGCTCATTGAGCGGTGCCCTCAACCCCTCTGTTCCTGTGTTTCTAACTCGTCTGGTTACAAATACGGGTCTGTTAGTCCACCCATTGTACAGCACTGCAGAATTTGTTGGCGCTTTATAAATAATAATAAGTGAAATACATCTTTGAGCTAAAGCATTGTTAATGGTCCTTTTTAAAATTGTGTAAATTTTCTAAATCTATTGTTTTTTCTTGTGATTGTAAGATCTGGTTCTGTAGTATGGAGATCGTGTTCCTGACAACCTCTTTCCTTGTGTTTGCAAGCTTCTTGGCTTATAATTACCATCCCTTACTGCAAAGTCCTTAGTCTATGGCTACAGTGCAAAGTGTTCTCCTATTTATATTTTATGAATTCATATTTCATTCTGTTTCTGGGGTTACTAACCTAGACAGGAATGAGGAGGGATAGACGAGACCAATGCATTTAGATATCTGAATGTATCATTCACGGAAATGTATTCTCTCTGATTTAGTCAGTTTTGCAACTTTCTCAACATCTTACTGTAAACAAATGTTCATTGGACAAATAATGAAATGGACTTATAATGTATCTACACTTCCTCATTTGATCATCTAAGCTTTGGCTTAGTGATGCATTTTTTGTGTATAGACCTTGCCTCTGCAGTCTCACTGCTCAATTCTATGATATTTAGGAGTTAAATAACTTTATGTCTGTTTATGCAGCCCTAGTCACACCTCCTCAGCCTGTGTGAAAACAAAATGCTTTTATTTTCAAACACATTTTAATGACACACAGGAAGCTCCTGCAGGGTCTAGCAAACTATTAACAGAGTAGAAGATAAGACATTCTAAATTAAACAGAATGAACTGGGGCCGGACTGGGAGAAAAATTTGGCCTGGGCATTTTTTTTTATCATAGCGGCCCACTAAGAAGGGGGCGGGGCAGAGAGTCTGTGTTTCGTCATCTCCAATGACAAACACACCCCCTCTCAAAGTGAGCATGTTGGTTCAATGTTCTTCCAGGGCAGACCATGCGCAGAACTCTGCTAAAGAGCCCCAGCATGAGAAAAAAAGCCCTGTATTTGTTCTGCACAGTGCAAGCAAATTTAATAACATGCTTGCACTTTGTTTCCTTGCAACTTGCCTCTGGTGTCTCTATAAATGGATACCAGGAGACAAAAGGGTCAGGAAAGAGTATTGTGCATGTGTTTGGAGCCTGCTTGTGGGATTGTGTGTGTGTGTAGAGTGAGCTGATTGTGGTGTGTTATTGTGTAATAAGGTCGGTTTTAGTCGTCTTTTGTTTTTGGTGTAATGTAATGCATATGTGGCTAGGGGCTGTAGAGAATGTGTGTATAGGGGATGTAGTAAGTGTGTGCATACAGGCTATAGTGTGTGTGTGTGTATATAGGTGATGTAATGTTTGTAGGGGTTGTAGAGAGTGTGTGTTTAGGGGTGTAGTATGTGTTTGTTTACAATTAATCTAGTGTGTTTATAAGGGATCCAGAGTGTGTATTTTAGGAATGTAGTGTGTGTGTGTAGGTGGTGCAGTGTGTGTGTATACAGGAGTCTAGTGTGTGTTTGAAGGACCCAAAATGTGTAGGAGATCTAGTGAGTGTGTGTATATAATGGATTCAGACTGTATAAAGGGATCTAGTGTGTGTATATGATCCAGAGTTGGGTAAGGGATCTATTGTGTGTCTGGAACGCAATGTGTTTAGGAGTGCAGTATGTGTGTGAGGGGTGCTGTAGTATATATATATATATATATATATATATTTGCGGGCTAGAGTTCACTCTTGCAAGATCCAGTTGTTGCCATGGCAACGCTCCGGATCTCGTGAGAGGAACCCGGCGGAGCTGCAAGATAGAGCTCCGCCGGGTCCTTCCTCCCCAGCTGCATGTCTGTCCAAGTGGGCCGGAGAGGGAGATCTTTGATCTCCCCACCGTCCCGTCATTGAAAACAGCGGGACGGCGCTCGGATAATGCTGGCCTTGGATAGACTGGCAGGGGATGTCCTGTGACCTACCTTGCCGGCCTCAGGCATTTGCCCGGTGTGCCCGATGGCCGGTCCGGGCCTGGAATGAACAATAAAGGAAGTGTAAACATTAGATGACTCTTTACAGGAAGTGTTTAGGTGGGATGTGTAAGTCACAAGCAGGGAGGTGTGACTTAGTGATTTAACTCCTAAATGGGAGAGAATTGAGTGAGACTGCAGGGGCCTGGTCTATACATCAAAACTGCTTCATTAAGATAAAGTTGTTTTGGTGGTTATAGTGTCCCTTTAAATAAAAAATATAGCACATTTTGAATTATGTCTTAAGTGCAATTCTGCACATTGTGAGTTTTGTGAACAGTGTCCAATGTGGAGCATTCACCATGAACACCCATCAAGTGTTGCTGCTCCATTTTAGAGGTTCGTATGAATAGGAAGGTTTAAATAATGTGGGGTAGTGGATGAGTGAGTTTGTAAAAGGATGTGTGTAGCCAGCAAGGGGCTCTGTGAAGACGCTTTACACAGGACATAAAAAAGGCCCAAGGCTGGCCCCGGGCTTGCTTCCAGCAATGCTTTCATTGACTTAAATCTGACAAAATAGCCTCATAGTTTTGGGAAGCAGACATCCCAACATGCAAAAACTCAGCTCAGGAAGTGCCCATCACCTACTGCGCCACCCCTCCCCCAACACATACAGTCACCAACATGTCTGGGTTGAAGTGCGTTTTGTACTTTTTTTATTTATTTAGACGCTGCCATGGCTCTAAACCGAGCACTGGAGAGAGAGGGGACGACTGTAAAGCCTGCCTACTGAGAAACCTGATAGGTTAGCGAGCACAAAGTCTTCTCAGTTTTCTCAGTAATTGAGGCGTTAGAGCTGAAGTGTGGGACAGTGGCTGCAGTGGAAGGTAAGGGCTGTAATTGGGTGGTTAGGAAATTAGGGAATGTACGGTAGTATAAGGACTGCAGTAGGGGGCTAGGGGCTGAAGTAGGTGGATGGCTGCAATTGAGAAGTGGGGCTGCAGCAGGAAGGATATGGGATTGTAGTGGTGGGTAAAGACTGTAGTCAGGGAATCGGGGCTGTAGTGGGGTATAGGGTGTTAAAAGGGGGTTAAGAGCTGTTTTAGGGGATAGGGGTTGCAAGTGGGGAGACAGAGGCTGTAGTGGGAGGGTAGGGTTTGTCGTTGGAGGGATGGGGCTGTAGTCAGGTAGTTTGGTGCTGTAGTAGGGGAGTAAGGGGCTGCAATTGGGGGGAAGGGATTGTAGTGGGATATAGGTGTTGCAATTGTGGGGAAAGGACTATAGTGGGACATATGGGCTGCACTGGGGGATGTACTGTCTCAGTCGCAATGCCACTGTCTGGGGTGTCCGCTCCGCTTGCTCCTTCTGCAAACTGCAGTCTCAGCCAGGTTGGAGGTTCCCTTATGGAGCTGCACTGTAATATCTCAGTAAGCAATTTTGTTGAGAGTCAGCAAGAGAGTTAAATGATCATTTCTAATGGCTATAAATGACCATTGGACTCTCTCTCTCTAAAAAAAAAATAGATTCCTGATATATTATATAGAATTTCCAGGCGTCCGGGAGCCGCAATTAAAATGAAGGAAGATACCCGAAACGTCCGGGAGAGTTTTTTTTAATGTCTAGTAACGTATCTTTTAACTGAGCTTTACAAAGGCTGATAAGACCCTGACTGGAAAGTGATCCCTGCTATTCAGACCATACTCAGGAAATGCTACTCAATCCACACTCAGTAACTGCTATTCAGACCACACTCAGGAAATGCTACTCAATCCACACTCAGTAACTGCTATTCAGACCATACTCAGGAAATGCTACTCAATCCACACTCAGTAACTGCTATTCAGACCACACTCAGGAAATGCTACTCAATCCACACTCAGTAACTGCTATTCAGACCACACTCAGGAAATACTACTCAATCCACACTCAGTAACTGCTACTCAGACCACACTCAGGAAATGCTACTCAATCCACACTCAGTAACTGCTATTCAGACCATACTCAGGAAATGCTACTCAATCCACACTCGGTAACTGCTATTCAGACCATACTCAGGAAATGCTACTCAATCCACACTCAGTAACTGCTATTCAGACCACACTCAGGAAATTCTACTCAATCCACACTCAGTAACTGCTACTCAGACCACACTCAGGAAATGCTTCTCAATCCACACTCAGTAACTGCTATTCAGACCACACTCGGGAACTGTACTCAGGCCACACTGAGGAAGTGCTACTTGGACCACACTCAGGAATCGCTACTTGGGCCACACTTAGAAACTGCTACTCAGACCACACTCAGGAAATGCTACTCAATCCACACTCAGTAACTGCTATTCAGACCACACTCAGGAAATACTACTCAATCCACACTCAGTAACTGCTAGTCAGACCATACTCAGGAAATACTACTCAATCCACACTCAGTAACTGCTAGTCAGACCACACTCAGGAAATGCTACTCAATCCACACTCAGTAACTGCTAGTCAGACCATACTCAGGAAATGCTACTCAATCCACACTCAGTAACTGCTAGTCAGACCACACTCGGGAACTGTACTCAGGCCACACTGAGGAAGTGCTACTTGGACCACACTCAGGAATCGCTGCTTGGGCCACACTTAGAAACTGCTATTCAGACCATACTTAGGAAATGCTACTCAATCCACACTCAAGAACTGCTATTCAGACCATACTCAGGGAATGCTACTCAATCCACACTCAGTAACTGCTATTCAGACCATACTCAGGGAATGCTACTCAATCCACACTCAGGAACTGCTATTCAGACCACACTCAGAAACTGCTACTCAGGTCACACTCAGGAACTGCTACTCGGGCCTCACTTAGAAACTGCTACTCAGACCACAATCAGGAAGTGCAACTCAGATCACACTCAGTAATTTCTTTTTAAACCACACTCAGAAACTGCTACTCAGAACATACTCAGGAACTGCTAATTAGACCACACTCAGGAAGTGCTGCTGAATGATTCAAGCAAAACATTTGTATGTGCTCATCCTAAAATAATTAAAACCAAAGAAAAGACTTTGTTGTGGGATTGCTTTTTGTTTTAGTATTAGGTGTCACTGAGTGAGTGAGATAAAGGGTTAAGTTGTTGAGGTGGTACTTAGTGCCAGGAGTGAGACAGCACTGTTTATAAGAACGGTGTGAGGTTCAGCCTATAAAAGGCAATGCAAGCCTCTGTCACGTAGAAGGGAATGTAAACACATTATATACATCTGAGGATACTGACCTTCCTAATAAAATAACCGAGGATCTGCCATTAATAGGGACTGCAATCATTGCGTCAATATCCGAAGAGGACCTCAGCAGAAATGCTTAAAAAAGCACAACGTAAAACACACCTTTTAATACATTGCATTTACTTCTATCCAAATCTGAAAGTACATTCTTTCAGTTTTTTCAGAGTGATTGCAATTCTATGGATAATAATATGCCGTGCCAAGAAAATCACCCCATCTGTATTAAAGCACTATTTTCATGCAGAGTACGCCAACCAAGTCCATGCACCAGTTACTTAGAGGCGCAACAGAGATCCAACAGCATTGATTGAAACCCTGCGTTGGCCAAATACTCTGCTTTTAGTAAAAACAAGAAGTGCCTTAGATAAAAGCTCAGCTTGACCAACACATTTCACTAGTTAAAGAAAGTGACCGGGGCAGCATTTCTGTTACCGTCAGGCCAAATTTACATGGCAGGCATCAAAAAGGCACAGAATTAAATAAAGTCGTTCATCTGCACATACACTACAAAGATATTTTTATGTTGTGCGTCCAGCAAATGCGTCTCACTATAACATGTCAGGAGGAAATTACCCACTTTCATGAATTATTTTTCTCTGAAGTGAACAAAGAAATTATTGGATGGTTTTGGCAATGAAAGGGTGATAGTCCATTGTTGGGCTTCCATAGTGATAGTACCTCTTTCTCTGTCCTTTACGTCGTCCAGTGTCCCAATAGACTACCATGTGTTCTACAAGACCAAATCTCTTGCAATACAGAGCTGTCTCGAAGCAAAGATCACTGGCGTCTATGTCAGCCAAAGGGTAATATTTGTTCTCTACTGGTGGTCTTGGCCGCTGATCGTTCATAGTAAAATTCCCCAGATAAGCTCTGTGCTTTTTACTGTAATTTACGCTAAGTATGAAGCATCAAGCTGGGGAGGCAGAACATTACAGAACACTGGCAAGCCTTCCTCTATAACCAATACAAAATGATGGTTAAACTATAAACTTCTGTAATGCATTAATGTATACAGACTGTTAAAAGACAAAAAACACCTATCTTGATTACACAAACAGAGTTATTCATTCAAATTTAATTTTTATTTTTTGTGAATTCTATATTTTAGCTCAAAATAGTCCAGTTGAAATTCACTTTGAATCCTGGCAATCCACTTTTTTTTGTAAATAACACAGTATATGCTTAATGATGTGATGATAATGTCTACCAATGAACACCCATTACTATGCTCGCTATCTCATAGTCTGTGTTAAAGGCTTCTCGAGATTTCACAATAAATCCCGAGGAGGAATTCTTTTCTCTTGATAAAAACTTCTTTTACATTTTCTTATTTTCTAAAATTACTTAGAACTAAGTTGCCTTTAATCCCAGGGCAGCAAACTGTACATGATATTTTTGGTGTGGGTCTATTGCGTACACACTATATACTAATTTAGCACCTGATGTTGGATACATTATTTGCTGGTACGCAATATTTTGTCTTCTACTTAGTCAACTTGGCTGCCAGTCAGTTTAGGAGGTTCAGACCTGTTTATAAAAAGCTATTTCTGTAGATGTTCTTTTTATATAAACAATGTAAAATGTTTTAAGAAAGCACTGTTCTTTTGTTTAAATGAACTGTTCATTCTGGGCAATTTTTGAATGTGAACTGTCTGCACAGGTGTTCATTTTGGAGGAAGGGGTAATGGGTCATGGTAATAAGCTGTGCTGGGTCTAAGCGTCCCTTCCATGACAGGTCCAAGAAAACCTTTTAAAGTGCTGATAAGTTGTGCTCCCTCTAATTACGGCTTAACCAACAGTGGCCAGATTATAAAATAACAATATATGTGCGTTATTTTGTCATTGTGTAATCCATGCACAGATGGCAACTAGTTTAAAGACAACTAGCCCATTAAAAAGAATAGATGTACTAAAGACTTAGTGGCAAATGCATCTATTGTGGTTACTGGCAACGAGAAATTATCTTTCTGTTGTATTAAAGGAGATATTTAAAATGAATATATAAACAATCAAATCAGTTTCACTTAAAACAAAGGATCAATATTAGCAAAATTAGAAAAAAAGACATGGCAGATGGGTAAACTTGTTAAACCTATAAACCACCACTTTAACTGCCCGGAATAAGCCTAAACACAGCAGCCACAATTCTTCAGTAAAAATAAACCATCATAACTTTGCCAGAAGCATATCTCTCTAGGAAATCGTTTTATAAGGCATCGGGCAGAGTGCGCTGATTACCAAACACTGCAACATGTAATGTGTCTAATTAATGTATCCCTGATATTTAAATCAAATAGCAATATAAAAAGAACAAAAATAACACAAATATATTTTGTAATGGGCTGCCAGTCTGTGGATCTTGACATGACAGTTCATTCCAAATGCCTCATACTCAAATTAATGTAGTTAATGTAAACAATGAAGGACTGTATTAACCATTGTGCTACATTTTACATAATGCTACTGATTTATTTGGTAAGGCAAGAAGATGTGACCCAGCTGCGGCAGAGTAGACAATGAGTCTACTAGGTTCTATGTCCACCACTATAGGACTTACAAGGTGGGCACAATAGAGAATGAGGACTTTTCGGGACAATTTCCTTTGCCAATTCAAATCAGGGAGCCTGCTTCAACCTATCAGTATTCCACTGCATGTTCACCAAGCTCAGAGGATTTCCTCTGGGAGACTATTATTGGACTGTAAAAACTACAGATATCAGTTAGTATCGATGGGGAGCCCAACTTCAGAGCATATATATAGAAGGGAAATGGACATTCTCTGCAGTGAGCACTCCTTCCAATATCCTAGAGCGTCTTGCATTACTGAAAGCCCTGAAACATTTTTAACAACAACTTCACCACAAATGGGTAAAGATCAGAACAGACAATGCCACCTTCGTAGCATATATCAACCATCAAGGAGCAACTCGAAGTCGCAGAATGATGAAATTAATGAGACCACTTATGTCCTGGGCACAACTACACCTGGCAGTTTTGACAGCCATTCATCTTCCAGGAGTACAAAATTATGTTTCAGACTTCCTCAGCAGAGTTAAAATAGATCCAGGAGAATGGAGTTTACCAAACAAGATATTCCAAATGATAGTGAAAAAATAAGGGCTTCTTCAAGTAGACTTAAATAGCAACAAGCAACAACAGGAAGGTGAGCGGGTTCTTCTCCAAAAGTCTCGACCCACAAACTGTAGGAAGAGACACACTATCATGATGTCAGCTTGATAAAGGCCTCTAGGTAGGCTGAAACATTGCACTTTTTGTTCCAATAAACCTGCGTTCCTGCAGCAATCCTGTATGCCTGGACCTAATTTATTTGATCTACTAAACTGGGTTTTGACAACCTTGGCCCTGATAAGCACCTGGATTCCTTAGTGTGAATATGGTATCCTCCATTTGTGAATTACTAAGAATTTATTTAACCCCTTTGGTCACAGATCTTCTTCATGGTGTATTTCTCAAAGATTATTTACCATATCTAATGGTGTCAGGAGAGGTCTTCATGCTTGTAAAGCAGCCATCAAAAGATGGATCATGTCAGCCATCATCCAGGCTTACAAAGCCTCAGGAGTTTTGATTCCTGAAGGATTTAAAGCTCACACTACACCAGTGATGGCATGATCCCATGATGCTCAGCTAGCTTTTAGACTAGAGTAGAGTAGGGTTAGGAGTAGGGTTAGGGTTAGATTCCTGTCATCATTCCCTTAATTTCCCTCCCTCTCCTGTTTTGCCACTTTTCAGAAATCCAAAGCACTTCGGCACTTCCGAAATTTGGCACTTCGGCAAATTTCGGACAGTCTGAAGCATCCAAATATCCGAATTGCCGAAATTCATCCGATTTAAATTTGGCCAAAACGAATTACACATGTCTAGTTTTAGGCATTCGTGGCTACTTGCAGCTTTATTCACTTATTTCTATGCCTCTGTACTAGGTATTAGGCATTCCTGGCTATTCACCACTTTATTAACTTATATGCTGATAAATTATGTTTTAGGCATTCGTGGCTACTCGACACTTTATTAACTTAACTTATTTTATGTTTCTGTACTTGGTTTTGGTAAGTTATTATTTATTGAAAGAAGACATTTTACCTCTTTTTCTGTATCTATTATTTTTTGTTTTAGTATTTATTTTTTAGCAGAGATTTGCTTTCCCAAGGATTAAAAAGCAATATTTTGCAGTTATGGATTCAGATCCCTCAGCTCACACTCTAAGAGACATAGGTAAGGTTCACCAAACAAAAGAGTGCCTAAGGGAAATCTCCTTAAAGGATCGTTTGTGAGGCAAATGATAAGAGAGCATTGTAAAAAAAGTCTCTGCAAAGATTATCTAAAAGTGGCTACAAGCCCATTTGCCCTTGTGTCATATTTTATGCAATATCAAACAGGAGGTATCTCAAGGCATACATAATTATTGGATGTTATTAATTAAGATTTGGGGTACCTATCTGACAACCCAGGCAGAAAGTCCAGAGAATTTAATTTGCAAGCCCTATATTTAAATTTGTAGCGTTCCATAAAACCTGACATGAGAGGTACTGTTGTACTTGCGAGGCTTTGCTGAACACGGATATGAGTGTTTTAAAACATTAAAACCTACAATTGCAATGATATCATCAGTGAAAGTACAGATTTTGTGTGAAAATAAAAATATGAACACTAACTTTGGCCAGGGTTTGTGACTAAGTGGCTACTAAAAAAGACTGGACAGACCCCATACAGTTATACTCAGACATAGCTGAACAAAAATATGTGGACTTCATTGCAGTAAAAGCCAGCAGTACTATAAAGTTCACAGTTAGAATGCCATGCAGAACTTGGAAAATAAAAAAGTCTTAATTTCTCACGTTTCTAGATTTCATTCATATTGAATTAGGTTTTATATATACATATTTGATGTGAAATAATAATCCCTGTTTCTCCTGAACAAATTGTAAAAACATGATATACAATAAGTGTGGATGCAGTTACTATGAAATAGGTAAATTATAGTTGAACAGATATATAGCTCAAATTCCAGGTTTTGTTTTAATCAGAACTTGTACAATTGCCTCTGTCATTAATGGGTTAATTATTTTGGATTAGCTTTTTAAATGATCACAATATGTTACAAAAACTTTCTAAAATTATTTATCTATGGAAATCACTGTTAAAGTTAGTAGGAATGTTTATAGATAAATAATTTGAAAAGTTTTTCTAACAGATTGTGCTTATTTGAAGAGTTTATCCAAAATAATTAAAGGATTTAATATTACGAAACATATTTTAATATCTTTTATTTTTTTGAATATATTTATATATTTTTGGATATTAAATATTTAAAAAAAAAAGATTTTTTGAAACGTTTTTTCCAAAAATATTAAATCATGTGAAAGGCTTATGGAGCAATATTAAATCGAGGCCTAAATATTCACATCAGACAGTACAGAGTCAGTGCTATATTTATCACTCTTCCGAAATGGCTACACATTAATAAAAAAAATGTAAGATCTTTTGAGTGGGGCCTTCTTCTTCACTGTTTCTGGATATTTTAACGTTTTTGTCATAATTACTTTCTTAGATGCATTTTTAAACCGCTGTACAGTGCTACATAATTTGGTGAAAAATGTTTGAATTATAAAAATTATAATGTTTTTTAAATAGGAAAAATAAAGCAGGTGGGATTGATGGAGTCACTGTGAAATATTTGAGCAGGAATTCAACGTTCACAGATGCTGCCCTGAAGAGTCAGCCAGGAAGCAATATGTGTTTGGGGACTATTTAACGGCAAAAGCAACTAAGGGTCGTGGGAGGAATTCTCAGCTTCTGGCCAAAGTCTGCTTCCCATATCCCAGCATGAACCCTAATAATGAGCCCTGGGGATTACCGCGAAAACCAGATACTCAATTCTAACATCAGATGACATCATCAGAAAAACAGATTGATTATCGTTAACACTTTGAATTTCAAGGTAACCCAGTATACAGAGCTGCACAATATTCCTGCATCTTCTCAATAAGCTTCCATGGGATTTTAACCCCGTTAAGGACCAAACTTCTGGAATAAAAGGGAATCATGACATGTCACACATGTCATGTGTAGAGATGTCGCGAACCGTCCGCGAACTTCTTGCGAACAGTTTGCCGCGGTTTGCCGCGAACTGTTCGTGGCGAACTCCTGTCAGCTGACACATCCCGGCCAATCTCCAGCAGACCCTCCCTCCCAGACCCTCCTACTTCCTGGACAGCATCCATGTTGAAGCTGCCTTCAACATGGATGCTGTCCAGGAAGTAGGAGGGTCTGGGAGGGAGGGTCTGTTGGAGATTGGCCGGGATGTGTCAGCTGACCGGAGTTCACCGCGAACAGTTCGTGGCAAACCGCGGCGAACTGTTCGCGAGAAGTTCGCGGACGGTTCGCGACATCTCTAGTCTGCTTTAAGGGGTTAAAGCAGTTCATACAAATATCCAGTCTGATTTAGCAGTGAATAGACAGAAGTACCAATTTTAGAAATGTCCTTCTTTTGAGAAAGTTGAAGAAGATTCTTATTATACAGAAAAATCAAAACAAATGAAAGTCCAATTTTAAAGTGCATGCTTGTAGGTCATGTCAATTGCACCAACTTAAAGGACCACTATAGTGCCAGGAAAACATAATCGTTTTCTCTGAAACTGCTATGTTTACAGCAGAAAGGGTTAATCCTAGATGGACCTGGCACCCAGACCACTTCATTAAGCTGAAGTGGTCTGGGTGCCTATAGTGGTCCTTTAAGCACGTATAATTTAGAAAAACCGCACCTCAGAGGGCATTGATAGCATTGTACAAATATAGTTTAGAAATATGCGACCCCAAATATATTTAGGGTCAATACAAACCATTTTCTGGAAATCTATTCATAAGCAGGACTACACATAATGCGGTCACACATTTAGCCTGGAAGAAAGGAGATTTAGTCTAAAGCAAAGGAAAATACTTTTATAGTAAGAAAGTGGTTTTATCAGAGTCTGTACAGATGTTTAACCAGCAACTGGATGGATTTTTGCAAAAACATAATACTGAGTGATATAATTTGTAATTATATGCAAATTCTTTAATATCCATGTCTATTTGGTAGCAGAATCCATAAAATCTGTAGAGACGAATGGTGGGCTTGTAGTTAGGGAATCTTACACTTTATTGAATGAAAGCCAAAGGTGCCTCCAAAATTGTAAAAATCATAGATAACAATGAGGAAAAAAACAAAAATAACAAAATGTAACCTAAAGTAAAAATGTTACTGTCTGCTAAAGGCAATCTGGATAATCTGATATATACCAGGAATATGCAGGTTCGGTTTAGAGAAATTTATTGCCCAAATACCATGTAAAGTGTTGAAATTCCAACATTTACCGGACACCAAATATTAAATCATATCAAATATTTACTTCACCTGATTATTTTTTTTTAACAAACCCAGACTTGTTTCATTAAAAAAAATTCCAATTCATATATTATGTCCGAAATGCAGAATTTATTAAATACCCACATCAGTACTAAATGTAACTACATTTACCAATTCATCTACCGTGTTACAGTTACTTAGAATTCATTGTTAAATAAAGTGCAAGGTGTTCCCCCTTTATTTTATTTTAGCATTTCTAATCACTTACTAAACATGAGTCAAGTAATTAAATAAATTAAGCCCTGTGCTCAAACACCCACTACTCTTGGGTGACTATAATATTCATCAACCCAAACACATAATATGCTGTTCATGAAAGGGATAATTGACAGGTATTCAAAATGAACTTGCCATGAATTAAACTTTTAGACGGAAATAGCTAAAACCAGAAGCATACATGATTTGTAGGATTTTTCCAATTCATCTGTTTTGCCCTTAAATTTGAAATTCACTTGAAATTAACTCTTAGTTAACACTTGTATGTGCTATCCCAAATCTCTATGCATATTTAAATAACTAGAGGTTTTTAGAACGGCTACAATTGTAAGCTCACCTGCTCACGCCAGACCTCTTGGGTGAGTTCTACATTAATAATTCACTTTGCAGCTTTCAGCTAAAAGGAAAATATCTCATGAGACAGAAAGTAATGTTTTTATTAACCTCTACCTGCCTTGACGTGGCAGGTGAGCTTACAATTTAATGGCCATTTTAGTGGTACTAAAAACCTTTATTATTTAAATTTGAGGAGGGATTTGGGATAATAACTTTTTTGTGTGGTCTATAACAGGACTAATATATTTCCAGAATTAAAATAAATTCTAATTACTGATTAAATGATATGTTGCTCTCTTGTGGCTCCCATACAGAATAATCAGAGCTGTTAACAACTTCTTAGCAATTGACTTAAAGCAGCTTTATTACTAGTTAGCGGTGACATTTTAGCCAGTAAACAGCTTAATACTTGCAGCGTCAGGCATTTCAGCATGTAGCGGCTAGCCAGTTGTATAGTAGCGACAATTTTGGAAACATATCCTTAATCTTTATAGAGGCCATACTAGGAATATATTACCCTTCCTGTATTACCCCTAGCCTTCACTGCTCCCACTGGAAGGCTATTCTGGGTATCTACTACCCTTTCTATATCACTGTTACTGCAACCGCTGGAAGGCTATTCCAGGTATCTACTACCCTTTCTGTATCACTGTTACTGCTCCCACTGTAAGTCTATTCTGGGTATCTACTACCGTTTCTATATCACTGTTACTGCTCCCACTGGAAGGCTATTCCAGGTATCTACTACCCTTTCTATATCACTGTTACTGCTCCCACTGGAAGGCTATTCCAGGTATCTACTACCCTTTCTATATCACTGTTAGCCTTTACTGCTTCCACTGGAAGGCTATGCCAGGTATCTACTACCCTTTCTATATCACTGTTAGCCTTTACTGCCTCCACTGGAAGGATATTCCAGGTATCTACTACCTTCCCCGTATTACTCTTAGCCTTTGCTGCCTTTACTGGAAGGCTATTATAGGTATTAAGTATACAGTGACCTAGTTAGTACCACAAAGATGAGAGTTAGTGTTTGGGATGTTCCCATTGTGTGATTTACCATGCTTCTGGGTCATGGTTTTATGGGATCTCAGTTCTCAATTAACAATGTATATAATGGACAATACCCAAAACCGAAGAAGACATAATCCAATGACACAAGGAGAATGACTTTGATGAGATAACGAGGATTGTGATGAAAATACGTTCTGGTGACTTTTCAGCATCTTAACAATGCTCTCCTCAGACTCGTTGGGTGGAGATGACAGATCCTACCTGAGCCCTTTCAGCTGCAGAATAAGGGTCAGATTGTACCTTTGTCTGCCTTTATTATTAGAGAATGAATGAAATCGAGGAAGGTCTTTTTCCCTTTCTGGATAATATTTCCTGCTCAAGAGCAACAGATTTTCTGTAGGATTTAAGTTCCATCAATGGAAGAATGGATACATATATCTGTATATGTATTTATAGGCTGAATTCATTGGGCCCATTAAGGCTTCCTGCAAAGGGCTTTATTAAATCGGGTCCATAAACTGGATAACTACCCGATGGAAAAGTGAAGACCACAGAACTTTCAGGGTTCTTTGGAAACAAATGATACCTGCTGAGGATCCCTCTGAAGATTCTAGGTGGGACAGACCCCAAACATGATTAGTAGCCCGCTGAGCACTCCCCCACCCCACGTGCAGGGTGGTTTAGGGTATAAAACATGACAGGTTTGCGAACCTCTTGTTCACATGCTCTTAACAATGGGAAATGGGAGAAAGTACATTAGTAGAACACGAAAATAATCTCTGAATAAATAACTGTTGACAATAAACTCTATAGTAGATTTTCACTTATCCATTTTTTGGTTATTTTTTTACTTTCTCCTCTAAAATTTTGTCGCTAATTAAGTTCCGTTCCTTTTTTTCTGGCCCCTTTCTGTGCTCTAAGAATGTTGCTGATCCGAGACAAGTGCTGAAAAACTGAGAACAGACTGTTAGCCAGCAGTAAAGACCCACAGAGCCAAGAGGGTCCAAACTGGGAGACCCAAGTTTAGCATTTTCATAACTACAGCTCCTATGATGCTGAGTCAGGATAAATGACGTGGCGTTGGAGGCTTATATTGATATACAGAAATTGCATTCTTCCTTTTTCCAAGGTGATACCGTATTTCAGGAACATTGCTTTGTACAACGATCCTGTTCCCTTTTGCTTCATGCTCCATTTTTGGCCCTATCCTTTTTTTTAGGTATCTGGTTTTCCTTCTCCCTTTTCCTCCTCCCTTTTCTTTGATAACACAGCTTTGTATCACTGGCTAAGGGCTAAATGCTTTCAGCCTCTTTTCTCATGATGCTGATGGACATGTTTGACTCCTGAGTGCAGCTGGATGAAAACCAAAAGGGGGATTCTGTGCTCCCTAAAATGAACTCCTTGGTAGTGGCTGGATTGCTAATCTCCCCACTGTACTAACCTATCCAATATCCACTTAGGCTTTCTAAACAAAGATGACCTATATGGTCATGGTCCATATTGTATAGCGTAAGGAACGGGCGAGATTAAAGGAGTTAAAAGATAGGAACTGAACCCAATTTCAGCTATATTCATATGCTTTGACATTTTGCCTTAATAGAAACAGTTTGCCAACTTTTAGACATCCCCAAGGAGAAATTCTTTATAAGAACCGCAATTTGTTCATAAAACCACAAAGTTGCTGAAATATGAAATAAAGGGAGTGAAATCTCTTTCACACAGTGAATGACCCACTCGGTGCTGAAATATGCTTCCCCATACCCCTTAACAAACTTAGCTAGATATGCAAAGGGTGAAGGGTTATTCAGACTAAGATTTGCAATCACCCGGTGAAATCACACTTTAGTAAATCACACCAATTTGTTTTTGTTTTTTTATATAAATGTTTTAATATGTTTATAGAATAGACATAATTACAAATACAGTAAGTATCAAAATGGTCGTTACCTCCAGAGAAGCAAAGACTTTATATCGTGACTAAGAAAAGCTGCAGAAGCCTCATGCTGATCCTGCCAGCCATTCATTGGCTCTCAGAGCAATACACACAGAATGCCTGTTCCAGGATGGCTAATCACACCTCTGGCATGTAGACCTCCAGATTTCACACTGGAACACTGCTCATACAGACTCCGAGCACCATGACCCCTTTATATGACTATGACAGTAACCCTTTAAATAATTGGCATTGTTCTATGTCATTTTTCTCTGGTTGTTTTTGTTTGGGGTCATGTGGCCTCCCACTGGTAACCACAATAAATCTCAAAGTTATCCTTCAGTATGAGCTCCCTAGCAAACAAAACCATAAAATGAAATAAAGCCAATAATATGCATAATTTTCCATTTCTCGGTCAATCATCTGAAAACTGTTGGTTTGTTTGTCGCCACTTGCTGTGATTACATCAAAAGTTTTGTTTCCAGAGCTGCACCTATTTCTCTTTCTAATTAGGAGAATTTCAGAGGGACGGAGGGCTTGTCTGCAGCAGTGTTGCGTGAAAGAAAATGAATGAATAGTGCTTACAGGAAACATTTCGTTGCTTTACATTATTGAACTCTGATGCAGTCTCTTTTTTGAGTTTTGCTTGGTTTTCTTACGTTGCTACAAAGGGGTTAAAAGTTTAGTATGTGCTGGTGCCCACAGCTAATAAGGAGCTCGCTAATTAAAACGACGGCTGCTGTTTAATTAAGCAGCAATTCCCTTATGATGCAAATCAGAAGATCTTGTTTATGGTCCAAACTGGGTGTCATTAGCCTGCCCCTGGACGAAAAGCCCAGGGCTACGTGAAATTCTTAATGGCCTATTCTATTGTCGGAAGGATGTTAAAAGTGCTTACATTTAAAAAGTAGAAATTCTGCATTTTAATTTTGCCCAGATGATAGATTTGATGTTCCTGCCAGGGATTAGAAAAGAGAAACTAATTAAAATTAATGTTAATAATGACATGATAAAATTCACACATTGCTTAATATGTATGTATGTCCTGCAGATTGCTGATCATCAATCAACATTTTCTATAAACATGAATTCAGTCATTTAAAATGTGTCTAGATTTGTCTTATCCTGATTCCAATAGGTCTTTAACACTGATTGCCTGTTAACCAAGTTTTAGAGAATTGTCAAAAAACATCCCACAGGCTTCTCACAAATCATTAAAAAAAAAATTTCTTAACAACAAATTATTAAATAAAAGACGTGGCGTCAATGCACAGTGGCCTTCGTTTTTCCAAACCGTGTGACATGATAACAGGGCAAGCACGAATAATTGCATTATCATTTTTATCTTATTTTGACACGTCTTTTTGACTAGGGAGCACGATTCTACATGTTCGAGGCTGACTGTGCTTTCGATGGGCAGTTCCTTTCGTTTCTTTAGATCTAGGCCTGAAGACTTTACACACATTTGCCTGAGTGAAGACAATGAGATCAGTTCACCCAACGGGGTTCAGCTAGCATTACAGACCTTAGTTCATTTAGCTTTCTCTATCTCCTAACAAACACTGAACTCTGGGATTTTAATCTATTATTCAGTTCATATTCTATTGGGAAAAGCAAAAGATTAAACTTAATTGTGAAGAAATTCAATTAATATCTAGGACAATATTTTCACCACAATGACATTGATCTTCTCCAAATATATACATCTATTCTATAAACAATCTTCTTCACTTCCAGCAGATGAAATGATAAAAGACATTCATATCGTACTAATTATTTGCCTGGCTACGAACCAAGTCAAGCATCAATGAGCATATAATGCAGCATTTGCCAAAACGGTGTTTATTTTATTCTTAGCCTGAGGATTCCTCCAACAGGAAAATCCCACAACAGACGGAGCTGTTTGTTTAGCTGCGTGCAAACTCCATTCACACACATTGTCTCCATTCACACACATTGCCTCCATACAAAACATGGTCGGGATACCTGGTGCTTACTGTTTCCATGGAGACACTATTACACACTCTTGTTCAGAATGTCTACGGAACATTGCAAAATTGTAACATAAATAGTTTCCTTCAAGTAGAAGAAAGTGGTTGATGTTCAAAGCTGGAATGTTTACGGCCATGCTAGGGTCAGATAATACCCCCCTCACCCTCCGAGACAGAACAAGATTATACATACAGTAATGTGCATACCGTGGGCGAGATTCCCATCCCTTACCACCTGAAATGTTGGGGGTCACCCATTATGCCTCTAATCAATGCAGCTCAGATGGCCAATATTGATAACTGGACCAGGAGAGTCATTTAAATTTTTGTTGTTTGGGATAAAGGTTGGTGAGATAGCTAAGTGGGCTAATGCATCATCAGTAGAATCTATCTCACCTACCTTTATCCCAAACAACAAAAATGTAAATGTCTCTTTAGGTCCAGTTATCACAAGTGGACATCCCTTGGGTTGCATGTTCAAATCCTGGCAGGGTTGACTCAGCACTTCATCCTTCTGAGGTAGATAAAATGAGTACCATTAAATTGGATAATAGTAACAACCCCTGGATGTTGGGCAAAGGTAACATCTCCAGGATGTACTTGAAAACCAGATTAATCCAAATGTACCTTTCCTGGTTAAATATTTTATAATTCTTTTCTTGTTTTGGGGATTTGCAGTATTGGGATACTCTAAGGCGGGCATAGGCAACCTTCAGCACTCCAGATGTTTTGGACTACACCTCCCATGATGCTTTGCTAGCATTTTGGGTGTGAGAGCATTATGGGGGATGTAGTCCACAACATCTGGAGTGCCGAAGGTTGCCTATCCCTGCTCTAAGGGGATCCACAATCCTTCCCCGTATGGGCCACTGAAACTTTGCGCAGCTTTGTGCTCTTCACGTTAAAACGCTACTCTACTGCCATAAAAAGATCAGGTTGCATGTATCTATCGAGCTGCTGTATGTTTAAAGCTGTTCTGGAATCGAGTAACTGGGGTCGAAGCTCTTAAATGTAGTCTCTGGAGTTATCCTCTCCTAATGTATTTTATATCCCACCTCCTATAGACTGTAAGCTTGTTTGAGCAGGGTCCTCTTCAATCTATCGTTCCTGTAAGTTTTCTTGTAATTGTCCTATTTATAGTTACATCCCCCCTCTCATAATACTGTAAAGCGCTATGGAATCTGTTGGCGCTATATAAATGGCAATAATAATAATACTAATGACTATAGATGGAGCTCTGTGTACTAGTGCTGGGAGTTAGTGACAATAGATGGAGCTCTGCGTCCTAGCGATGGGAGTTAGTGACTATAGCTGGAGCTCTGTCTCCTAGTGCTGGGAGTTAGTGCCTATAGCTGGAGCTCTGTGTCCTAGTGATGGGAGTTAGTGACTATAGATGGAGTTCTGTGTCCGAGTACTCGGAGTTAGTGACTATAGATGGAGCTCTGTCTCCTAGTAAAGGGAGTTAGTGACTATAGCTGGAGCTCTGTCTCCTTGTAATGGGAGTTAGTGCCCATAGCCGGAGCTCTGTATCCTACTGATGGGTGTTAGTGACTATAGGTGGAGCTCTGTGCCCTAGTGCTGGGAGTTAGTGACTATAGCTGGAGCTCTGTCTCCTAATGTTGGGAGTTAGTGCCAAGAGATGGAGCTCTGTGTCCTAGTGCTGGAAGTTAGTGACTATAGATGGAACTCTGTGTCCTAGTGATGGGAGTTAGTGACTATAGATGGAACTCTGTGTCCTAGTGATGGGAGTTAGTGACTATAGATGGAGCTCTGTGCCCTAGTGCTGGGAGTTAGTGACTATAGCTGGAGCTCTGTCTCCTAGTGATGGGAGTTAGTGCCCACAGCTGGAGCTCTGTCTCCTAGTAATGGGAGTTAGTGACTATAGCTAGAGCTCTGTCCTAGCAATGGGAGTTAGTGCCCATAGTTGGAGCTCTGTGTCTTAGTGATGGGAGTTAGTGCCTATAGATGGAGCTATGTCTCCTAGTGCTGGGAGTTAGTGACTATAGCTGGAGCTCTGTGTCCTAGTCATGAGTTAGTGACTATAGCTGGAGCTCTGTGTCCTAGTGATGGGAGTTAGTGACTATAGATGGAGCTGTGTCCTAGTGATGGGAGTTAGTGACTATAGATGAAGCTCTGTTTCCTAGTGATGGGAGTTAGTGACTATAGCTGGAGCTCTGTTTCCTAGTGATGGGAGTTAGTGACTATAGCTGGAGCTCTGTGTCCTAGTGCTGGGAGTTAGTGCCTATAAATGGAGCTCTGTCTCCTAATGCTCGGAGTTAGTGACTATAGCTGGAACTCTGTTTCCTAGTGATGGGAGTTAGTGACTATAGCTGGAGCTCTGTGTCCTAGTGATGGGAGTTAGTGACTATAGCTGGAGCTCTGTTTCCTAGTGATGGGAGTTAGTGACTATAGTTGGAGCTCTGTGTCCTAGTGCTGGGAGTTAGTTCCTATAGCTGGAGCTCTGTGTCCTAGTGCTGGGAGTTAGTTCCTATAGCTGGAGCTCTGTGTCCTAGTGATGGGAGTTAGTGACTATAGATGGAGCTCTGTGTCCTAGTGCTCGGAGTTAGTGACTATAGATGGAGCTCTGTCTCCTAGTGATGGGAGTTAGTGACTATAGATGGAGCTCTGTCTCCTAGTGATGGGAGTTAGTGACTATAGATGGAGCTCTGTGTCCTAGTGATGGGAGTTAGTGACTATAGCTGGAGCTCTGTTTCCTAGTGATGGGAGTTAGTGACTATAACTGGAGCTCTGTGTTCTAGTGCTGGGAGTTAGTGCCTATAGATGGAGCTCTGTGTCCTAGTGATGGGAGTTAGTGACTATAGATGGAGCTCTGTGTCCTAGTGATGGGAGTTAGTGACTATAGATGGAGCTTTGTGTCCTAGTGATGGGAGTTAGTGACTATAGGTGGAGCTCTGTCTCCTAGTGCTGGGAGTTAGTGACTATAGATGGAGCTCTGTGTCCTAGTGATGGGAGTTAGTGACTATAGCTGGAGCTCTGTTTCCTAGTGATGGGATTTAGTGACTATAGCTGGAGCTCTGTTTCCTAGTGATGGGAGTTAGTGACTATAGCTGGAGCTCTGTGTCCTAGTGATGGGAGTTAGTGCCTATAGATGGAGCTCTGTCTCCTAGTGATGGGAGTTAGTGACTATAGCTGGAGCTCTGTTTCCTAGTGATGGGAGTTAGTCACTATAGCTGGAGCTCTGTGTCCTAGTGCTGGGAGTTAGTGACTATAGATGGAGCTCTGTGTCCTAGTGCTCGGAGTTAGTGCCTATAGATGGAGCTCTGTCTCCTAGTGATGGGAGTTAGTGCCTATAGATGGAGCTCTGTCTCCTAGTGATGGGAGTTAGTGACTATAGCTGGAGCTCTGTGTCCTAGTGATGGGAGTTAGTGCCTATAGATGGAGCTCTGTCTCCTAGTGCTAGGAGTTAGTGACTATAGATGGAGCTCTGTGTCCTAGTGATGGGAGTTAGTGACTATAGCTGGAGCTCTGTCTCCTAGTGCTAGGAGTCAGTGACTATAGAAGGAGCTCTGTCTCCTAGTGCTAGGAGTTAGTGCCTATAGATGGAGCTCTGTCTCCTAGTGCTAGGAGTTAGTGACTATAGATGGAGCTCTGTGTCCTAGTGATGGGAGTTAGTGACTATAGATGGAGCTGTGTCCTAGTGATGGGAGTTAGTGACTATAGATGGAGCTCTGTCTCTTAGTGATGGGAGTTAGTGACTATAGCTGGAGCTCTGTCTCCTAGTGCTAGGAGTCAGTGACTATAGAAGGAGCTCTGTCTCCTAGTGCTAGGAGTTAGTGCCTATAGATGGAGCTCTGTCTCCTAGTGCTAGGAATTAGTGACTATAGAAGGAGCTCTGTCTCCTAGTGCTAGGAATTAGTGACTATAGGTCGCGGAGGGCAGGCAACTATTGGTCAGGGTAGCAAATACAAACGAATGACTATATTTCGAACACAGAACTAACAGGTCTGATGATTAAAATCAAGCAGAACACAAACTATATTGGTTTATTGTATAACTTCACTAGTGAGAAGCGACTGTTTGGCTAATAATTTCATTGTTATTTTTATACAGCAGAATGGTGCGTGTGATGTACTCTGTTGTTGGTTGACTCCCTATTTCTGTATATATATAAATGCACAGCTAGATGGAACATTTCCTCATCTCCATTGCCACCTTTGAAAATTGTCATTTTCTGAATAGAATGATAGAGTCTTATCTTTCCCTCCGCTCTTTCCCTCTGGTCTCCAAAGCCATCATGCTCTGCCTGGCTGGTCAATACCAGTTACTTCAGCCCTCTCTAGGAATATTGCATTGAGCTTGTAGGACACCAGTCCATACATAATATCCCTGCTGGGCTAAAATAGGCCCTCCACACTTTCTCTCTGATGCAATTCTCTGCCATTTTAATATGAAGAGTAATGGGTTAGGCTCTAGCCCACCAGAACTCGTATGCGTGGCCTTGCAGACCATGGTGGACAGGGGATTATCCTCTACCTGGTCTGATGGTCTGCTCGATGTGACTGAACGGGATGCAAAATGTAGAAGCGACAAAGTCTTTGCCAGTGTAGCCAAAAATTCTTGCACCAGTCCCACTGCCTACAACCCGTAATTATTATTATTATTTTATTATTTATATAGCGCCATCAGATTCCGTAGCGCTGCAATACCTCTGGAGGAAATTGTTGCCCTGCCCTCTTGCCAGCTCTCCTATGACTACAGGCAGAACTCTTTAACAAGGAGAATGACTTCTTCAAAGGCCAGTAGAAATGCATATTTTCTTTATACGTTACTCCAGAAAGTTATACTTTTAATTTTTAATTTTTTTTTAAGTTAACGGCACTAGAATTAGTTCCCCTGAAGAAATTTCTTTTTAGAACTGGGATACTTTCTGCAGTCACCCAAACACAGCAAGTGCTGTCTAATCCTGTTATTTAGCTAATTCAGAGATGATGGAGAGTCAGTGATCTATTCGTTGCCCTGAGGGTGAGTTTTTTTTCCTTATTGACTTCAAAGACGTTTTTAGGATAAAGCAGACCAGCAGCTTCCGCTGTGAGCACACCCTGGAATGCAGACTAATGCCTCCATGTCCTACAATCTCTGTGAAAAGGATTTCACTTTAACCGGATGTTTGAAAACCAAGCTCTGTGTTTGACTGCACTCACACTCATTACTCACTGTGTGACCACACTCACGCATGCACTCACACTCATTACTCACTGTGTGACCACACGCACGCTCATTACTCACAGTGTGACCACACTCACGCACGCACTCACACTCATTATTCATTGTGTGACCACACTCATGCACTCACACTCATTACTCACTGTGTGACCACACTCATGCATGCACTCACACTCATTACTCACTGTGTGACCACACTCATGCTCTTTACTCACATGTGACCACACTCATGCATGCACTCACACTCATTACTCATTGTGTGACCACACTCACGCACGCACTCACACTCATTACTCACTGTGTGACAACACTCACGCACGCACTCACACTCATTACTCACTGTGTGACCACATTCACACTCATTACTCACATGTGACCACACTCATGCATGCACTCACACTCATTACTCATTGTGTGACCACACTCACGCACGCACTCACACTCATTACTCACTCTGTGACCACACTCACGCACGCACTCACACTCATTACTCACTGTGTGACCACACTCACACTCATTACTCACTGTGTGACCACACTCATGCACGCACTCACACTCATTACTCACTGTGTGACCACATTCACACTCATTACTCATTGTGTGACCACACTCACTCACGCACTCATACTCATTACTCACTGTGTGACCACACTCACGCTCATTACTCACAGTGTGGCCACACTCACACACGCACTCACACTCATTACTCATTGTGTGACCACACTCACGCTCATTACTCACTGTGTGACCACACTCACACACAAACACAAACACATTATTTATTGTGTGACCACACTCACAAATGCACTCACACTCATTTCTCACTGTGTGACCACACTCATTACTCACTGTGTGACCACACTCATACACGCACTAACACTCATTACTCATTGTGTGACCACACTCATGCACACACTCACACTCATTACTCACTGTGTGACCACACTCACACACTCACACAACACATTATTTATTATGTGACCACACTCACAAATGCACTCACACTCATTACTCACTTTGTGACCACACTCACACTCATTACTCACTCTGTGACCACATTCACACACATTGCTCGCTGTGTGACCACACTGACACTCATTACTCGCTTTGTGACCACACTCACGCACACATATTACTCACTGTGTGACCACACTCACACATGCACTCACACTCACTACTCATTGTGTTACCACACTCATGCACACACTCACACTCATTACTCATTGTGTGACCACACTCACACTCATTACTCACTGTGTGACCACACTCACACTCACTCACTTTGTGACCACACTCACACTCATTACTCACTTTGTGACCACACTCATGCACACATATTACTCACTGTGTGACCACACTCACACACGCACTCACACTCATTACTCATTGTGTGACCATGCACACGCGCACACACACACACACACACACACACACACTACTGGTTCAGTGAAATTAATGTAAAGAGGGCCCTGGTGCATTTTTGGGACCCCTTAAGCACAAGGATGTTCCACATCTGTCATACAACTCTCATGATGTTATGCCAGCTGGGGACCTATCATTTTACCATGCTTGCAGGGTTGTATTTGTCAGTAGTGTTTGTGAGTATGAACCATGTTTTTGTATGGAGTAAGTGTGTGCATGGAGGGGTGTATTTCTATGTACCGTTGCCATTGGAACACAATGGTGTACTTTTATGTAATGTTAGCTTTTGAATGCAAGGTTTTTGTATTTAGTGTTAGCTTTTAAATGCCGGTATACATTTATGTGCAGCATTTGTGTTTGAATCAGGGGATTTGTTTGTATATACTTTTGGCGTTTGACTGCAGGGGTGTGCATGTATGCAATGTTTGCTTTTGATTGCAAGGGAGTGTTTGCATGTAGGGATTACTTTTTATTGTTGAGCTGTATGCACATATACACAAACATATTTAGACACACACAAATACACACAGTGACGCATACACACACTCAGAAATACACACATATATATATACACAATGACACATACACTCACACAGACACACACTGCCACATACACACATACTAACACACAGATACACACACATAAACACATACATACAGACACATACACACACATATTAACACGCTGAAACGTACACACTCAGAAATACACACATATATATATATATATACACACTGACACATACACTCACACAGACACACACTGCCACATACATACATACTAACACACAGATACACACACATATTAACACGCTGACACGTACACACACAGATACACACATATGTTAAATTTTATATTTTCAGCTGTCTGATGGGAGTGTGGGGCTGGCTGGAGCATTTCTCCTTGCTTCTGTCCCACCATGCTGCCTGGGCCTCTTACTCTCCTCTCAACATGGCTCTTTCTGTAGCTGGGAGGAAAGCTCGGTTGCGCTATTAAAGGGCACAATCAGACCCCTTTTCAGCAGTACCCATAGAGGGCCTTAGGTGCATGGGACACCTGATAGACCCCCTTAGAGTAGGGGCCCCAGTGCAGCTGCTGTACGCACTGTGTTACCACACTTACACACACATATTGTACCGCTGGATCTATGCAGTCGGCATGCCGATGGTGCAGAATGGCTCTCGATCAGGGTCCTGGGGGATGCCTGCCAAGTTGAGGGAAAGCCAAACTGTGTGATTAAAGGTCTACAGTACAATTGTCATTGTTTCTTCACAGATGTATTAAAGGTATTGCAAATATATTAATTGGTTTTAGTGCTGTGGAGCTCTGTGACTTACAATATTGTAAGTGTTAATACAGTGGAGCTCTGAGATGCACTCATACACTGTATTTCTGTAAAGCTCTGTGATACAATCATACACTCTACACAAATACTATGAGTTGTATTGCTGTGGAGTTAAAGCTCTGGCAACAGACGGGTTAAACGGGTATTTGCAGCGTTTCATAGTAAAATACTGCACATACAGACTCTAGGAACCATAACCACTTAAATTCACTGAATGCTCATGGTGCTTGGAATAACCCTTTCAATTAAAGGATCCGTGTGCAGCAGACGAGGGCCAAGGCTAAAAGGAGACACAGGAGTTGGCACTTTGATGCTGATTAAGGAGGAATTAAGTGACCATGCTAATGAAATAGAAGATGCAACATCAAATGTTATACAGCAGTGCAGAACGTACAGTAAAACCTGGTGGATTTGTGAAGATGAAAACCAATAAGTGGGAGTTTGAGCGCAGGGTGTAATTTTGTATGTTTTGATTTGTGGCTGGTATAAAAAGCAGGTGGCGGGGGGTAGAAAACAGGTGAATGGGGTAGAAATCTAGTGGTTTATGGTAAAAACCAGATGGCTGGGGTAGAAAACAGGTGACTGGAGTAGAAATCTAGTGTCTCGGGTTAGAAAACAGGTGGCAGGGTGTAGAAAGCAGGTTGTTGGGGGTAGAAAACTAACGATTGGGTGTAAAATAGATAGCTGGAGGTAGAAAGCTAGTGGCTGGATAGAAAGCAGGTGGTTGAAGGTAGAAAGTTAGTGGATTTGGGTAGAAAGCAGTTGACAGGATGTAACAAACATAGATATTAAGGTACAAAGCGAGTGGCTGGGAGTAGAAAGCTAGAGGTTGGGTAGAAATCAGATGGTTGAAGGTAGAACACTAGTGGCTGGGGTAGAAAGCAGGTGGCTAGGGGTAGAAAGCAGTTAGCGAGGATAAGAAACAGGTGGATGGGTTAGAAAGCAAGTGGGAGGGGTTTGAAAGCTAGTGGCTAGAGTAGAATGCAGATGACCGGTGGTAAAAAAGATAGTGCCTGGGGGTAGAAAAATAGTGAGTGGTAGTAGAAAGCAGGTCGCTGGGGTAGAAAGCAGGTGGCTGTGGTGGAAATCAGGTGAATGGGATAAAAAGCAATTGGCTAGGAGTAGAAAGCAGGTGCCTGTGGTAGAAAGCTAGTGGGTGGGGTAGAAATCAGGTTGTTGGGGGTAGAAAGCTAGTGACCGGTGTAGAAGGCAGATGGCTTGAGATAAAGAGCAGGTGACTGGGGTAGAAAGCAGGTGTCTGAGGGTAGAAAGGTAGTGGCTATGTGTAGAAAACAGTTGGCTGGAGGTAGAAAGCAGTTGGCTGGAGGTAGAAAACAAGTGAATGAGATAGAAAGCAGGATGGCTGGGAGTAGATAGTAGGAGGCTGGGAAAGAAATTTAGTGGCTTGTGCTAGAAAGCAATTGGCTGGATGTAGAAAGCAAATTGCTGGAAGTAGAAAGTGGTTGTCGCAGATAGAAAGCAGGTGGCTGGGAGTACAAAATTAGTGGCTGTGGGTAGAAAGCAGTTGGTTGGAGGTAAAAAACAGGTGGGTGGAGTAGAAAGCAGGTGATGGGTAGTAGAAAGCAGGTGGCTGGGGTTAAAAAACAGATGGCTGTGGTAGCAATCTAGTGGCTTTAGCTAAAAAGCAGGTGGCTGGAGGTAGAAAGCAGGTTGTTGGGAAAGACAATTATTGGATGATGTAGAAAGCTGGTGGTTGGGGGTAGAAAGCTAATGGCTGGGGAAGAAAGAAGGTGGCTGAGTTAGAAAGCAGTTGGCGGGGAGTAAAAACAGGTAGATTGGATAGAAAGCAGATGACAGGAGATAAAAAGTGAATCTCTGGGGAAGAAATCAGGTGGCTGGTGTAGAAAATAGGTGGCAGGGGTAGAAAGAATGTGGCTGGTGTGGAAATCAGGTGGCTGGGGGTAGAAAGCAGGTGACTGGAGGTCAAACAAAGGTTGTTGGGGGTAGAAAGATAGTGGCTTGGGGTAGAAAGCAGGTGGTAGGAGTAGAAAGCAGGTGGTTGGGTATAGAGAGCTAGTGGTTTGGGGTAGAAAGCAGGTGGTTAGGGGTAGCAAGCAGATGGCTGGGGTTGAAAGCAGGTGGCTGGGGATAGAGAGCTAGAGTGTAGTTTGTATTTATTCTATAAATAATCTATATTGTATTGTATACACATGTTGTCTAGTATGTGTATATTTAAAGTGTGTATTTGCAATGTTTGTGTGTTTATTTGTATGTGTATGTATAGTGTGTGTGTTTATAAAACGCCTTTACAGTGTGAGTGCATTCGTAGTATGTGTATGTTTGTAAAATGTGCATACATTTACAGTATATATGTGTGTTTGTAACATGTATATTTATTGTTTGTTTATACTAGATGTGTGTATATTTATAGCATGTGCACATATTTATAGTACATGTTTGTTTATAATATGTGTGTGTGTCTGTATTTATAGTGTTTATAATATGTGTAGATTTATCCTATGTGTTTGTTTATATGTGTGTGAGTATTTATAGAAAGTATGTCTTTAAATTGTATGTTTATTTCTAGTGTGTGTGCATTTATACTATGTATGTTTATAATATGCAGTTTGTGTCTGTACTTATAACGTGTGTATATTCGTAATGTGTTAATGTCTGTGCGTATTTATACTGTGTGTCCTTATAGGTGTGTTTATACTGTGTGTGTTTATAATATGTGTCTGTATTTATAGTATGTGTTTTGTGGTTTATAGTGACTGCACAATTATAATATATGTTGGTATTTATAGTGTATGTGCATAAGTGTATTTATAGTGTGTGTATGTGTGCAGCGTTTGTAAATCATGTATGTGTATTGGTATTGTGTATGTTTTTGTAATATGTGTGTGTTTATTTACAATGTATGTGTGTATTGTAGTGTGTATGTTTGTGTAATATGTGTGTGTATTTACAGTGTTTGTGTACTGGTAGTGTGTATGTTTTTGTAATGTGTGTACTGGTAGTGTCTATGTTTTTGTAATATGTGTGTATTTAATGTGTATGCAAATGTTCAGCTAGTGTTAGTTTTTGTAATGTGTGTGTTTATAGTTTATGTGTACTCTAGTCTGTATGTATTTGTAATATGAATGTGTATTTACAGTGTGTGTATTGGTAGCGTGTATACTTTTGTAATATGTGTGTGCATTTTCAATGTATGTGTGTACTGTAGTGTCTGTTTTTGTAATATGGGTGTATATTTAATGTTCATGTGCACTGGTAGTGTCCATGTTTTTGAAATATGTGTATTTACATTGTGTGTACTGTTGTGTCTATGTTTTTATAATATCTGTTTAAATGTAATGTAGGTTTTTTTTGTAATATGTGAGTGTACTTACAGTGTATGTGTGTGTGTACTGTAGCGTGTATGTTTTCATAATATGTGTGTATGTGTATACTGTTTTTTATTAGCAACCCAGGATTAGGAACTTTTATATGTAGTGGGTCATTATTACTGTCTGATGCTGCTCAATTTCAATTTAGGGCGACCCTGTACCTCAATGAATGCAGAACAAGAGTAAGGGGAGCTAGCCACGGAGAGGGGGGCAGCCAGAGAAAGGTTGACCAGAGTGAGGGGGGCAGCCAGGAAGAGGGTTGCCAGGAAGAGGGGGACAGCCAGGGAGCAGGGACATGCAGGGAGATTGGGGCAGGCAGTAAGAGGTGGAAAGACAGGGAGGGGGGTTAGACATACAAGGGATGCAGACAGAGAAAGGCCAGGAGAGCAGCAGCCATGGAAAAGGGGTACGCCAACAAGTGAGAGTGGGACAGACAGTGAGTGGGGGTCGGACAGGGAGAGGGGGACAGACAGAGAGTGGGGGACAAACAGAGTTGGTTACAGACAGGAAGAGGAGGACGGACAGAGAGTGGGGGACAGACAGGGAGAGGAAGACAGACAAGGAGAGGAAGACAGACAGGGAGAGGAGGACAGACAGGAAGGGGAGGACGGACAGAGTGTGGGGGACAGACAGGTTATGAGGACAGACAGGGAAAGGGGGACAGACAGAGACATGGGGCATTCAGGGAGAGGGGGAAGGGCAGTCAGGGAGATAGGATAAGAACATGGGTAGGGGAACAACTAGGGAGAGGGAGACAGGGAGGAAGGGGATATGCAGAGAGTGGGGAAAGGCAGGGAGTGGAAACAGACAAGGTGAGGGGGACATACAGGGAGTGTAAGATAAGAATATGTGTTTGGGACAGTTAGAGAGCCGGGGTGCAGCTAGTGAGAGGGAAAAGTAGCCTGTGGGGTATAGGGAGTGGGGTGCTAACCGGGCTAGGGGAGGCAGGAAGGGCTGCCAGTGAGAGGGAAAAGGAGCCTGGGGGGTAAAGGGAGTGGGGTGCTAACCGGGCTAGGACAGTCAGGAAGGCCTGCCAGTGAGAGGGAAAAGGAGCCTGTGGGGTATAGGGAGTGGGGTGCTAACCGGGCTAGGGGAGGCAGGAAGGGCTGCCTGTGAGAGGGGAAAGGAGCCTGTGGGGTATAGGGAGTGGGGTGCTAACCGGGCTAGGGGAGGCAGGAAGGGCTGCCTGTGAGAGGGGAAAGGAGCCTGTGGGGTATAGGGAGAGGGGTGCTAACCGGGCTAGGGGAGGCAGGAAGGGCCGCCAGTGAGAGGGAAAAGGAGCCTGGGGGTGATAGGGAGTGGGGTGCTAACCGGGCTAGGGGAGGCAGGAAGGGCTGCCAGTGAGAGGGAAAAGGAGCCTGGGGGGTGGTGAGGAGGCAAGAATATAAGGGACTTAGAGAAGGGTAGGGGGGGCGACCTAGGGAGTGGGGTGCTAACCGGGCTAGGGGAGGCAGGAAGGGCTGCCAGTGAGAGGGAAAAGGAGCCTGGGGGGTGGTGAGGAGGCAAGAATATAAGGGACTTAGAGAAGGGTAGGGGGGGCGACCTGGGAGTGAGAGCCAGGTAGGGAGTGGGGAGAGAAAGAAGGCAGTCTGGGAGAAGGGGATAAAGCCAGAAAGCGACATCCTGGGGGAGGGAGAGGGGGAATACACAGGCACCTAGGCAGAGGAGGCGAAGGGACGGTGGGAGGCAGAGACAGGGGAGGAGAGGAGGGAGGAAAGGAGGGGAGGAGACAATAAAGTAACGCAACCCATTAAATGCCAGTCCGTTCTGGGAAAGAAGGGGTCTCAGGCACTCCCTCACTCTGTCCCACCCTCATTCTATCCCCCACCCCTAACTACCTCCTCCCATTCTCTCTCCTTCACACACCTCATTCTCTCCCTCCCTCTCTCATTCTCTCCCTCCCTCTCTCACTCACTAACTCCCTGCCCAGCGCTGGGGGATCACAGGCTGCTGACTGGGGGCTGGGGATGACATACCTGGACTGATCCTCTCTGGACCCCAGGCTGGGATTGCTCCTTACATGCTGGATTCATTTCTGGGACCCCTTTGTTGGATTTATTTTGGGCAGCCCTTGGTGAGTGGGATGTTCCCTGCTATTTGGGAACCCTGGACCTATGGTCAGAAGAAGGCCATGTCAGAGGTAAGCCAGGGACACCCTAATCATTTCCATTTTGGGGGGTTTGTGTTTCTATAGATGTAGAAGTCGTCCCCCCTCTTATATGGAGCACTTGCTGCTATATACTATCAACACTCTTTATACACAATGTAGAGTACCGGTATGTAGATTATACAGAGGGTGTGTTATACAGAGTATGTAGATTGTATACAGTGTGTGTTATACAGAGTATGTAGATTATACAGTGTGTTATATACAGAGTATATAGATTATATACAGAGTATGTCGGTTATACAGAGTGTATGTTAAATACAGTACGTTACATCTAATGAATGTAACAGATTGCATGTTATTTCTGATGCATATACAGTGTTGTGTGTATATACAATGCATACAGTGCATGCAATGGGCAGTGTATGTTATATGCAATGTAGTATATGTTATATATGACCCAGGACATACTTGAAAACGAGAGAAATCTCAATGTATCCATCCTGGTAAAATATTTTATAAATAAATAAATAAAATAAACATTATATACAATGTTCAATTTATGTTATATACAACATATACAATGCAGTGTATGCTATATACAAAGTGCTATTTATGTTATGTACAATGTGTAGTTACATACACTGTGCAATGTATGTTATATACAATGTAGTAAATGTTATTTACAATGTGCAATGTATGTTATATGCAATGTGCAGTGCATGTTATGTACAATGTGCAGTGCATGTTATGTACACTGTGCAATGTATGTTATATACAATGTAGTAAATGTTATTTACAATGTGCAATGTATGTTATATGCAATGTGCAGTGCATGTTATGTACAATGTTCAATGTATGTTATATACAATGTAGTGTATGTTATGTACAATGTGCAATCTATATTATATACAATGTGCTATGTATGTTATATGCAATGTATGTTATGTACAATGTAGTATATGTTAAATACAATGTGCAATGTATGTTATATACAATGTGCAATGTATGTCATACACTGTGCTATGTATGCTATATACAACATGAAGTGTATATTATATGTTTATAAATATGGCATAAGCGTTGTGCATGCTGCTGATTTATGGGAGGCTATGTTGTGTTTCATCACTAAAGTCTTCTGACCTGGATATTCATTAAACAGTGAACTGTGCTTTGGTTAACAATTTTTTTTTTTTTTTTTTAAAGTTTCACTTATTCAAACTGGGAAAATGAGCTGGATTTGATTGTGTTCCAGTGCAGAGAGGGGCTTCCTGACCTGTATTTGCCGAGGGCCTCTGTTATACAGAACCCCATAAATTAACTTACAGGGTTGTTCACCAACGTGAGTAGGAATTCATGGTGAATTGAAAGGGAGTTTCAAATTTAAGGCAAAAATAGTAGAAATTGAAAAATTTGCTAAGTCAGGTATGCTTCCAGTTCTGCTAATCTGGCCTTAAATTTGAATTCTTACTTTAGTACATAACCCTGTTACTGGTTCCATGATAGGAAATAGAGACTTGTTTAAGTTTCATTCCCATTGAAACCTTTACATTGTTTGAACGTATTCTGACAATGTTTGAATGGAATTTATCCAGTGAAGGCAACCAAGTATCAGAGATTCCCGTGTTAATAATGATCGAGTTGTGAATTTAAAAGATTTTCTCACGAAGTCTGGTTCAGAATTGATCAGCTGATTATTGGGGACACAGGATTTGGCTTATTGTATAAAGAACGATTTGCCCTGTGGTTAGTACTCTGACAATCCTTGGATCACAGATTTAGGTTTTGTCATGGTGAACATTTTATTTTATGAGCTTGATACAAACAAGTATCATTACATTGGGAAATAATACTTGGAGTCTCGGACAGGCATCAAGCAGTCAGAAACGAAATGTATCAACGATTAAATGCATTGATCTGATTGCTATTGAATGACGGTGAGATGTGTCCTGGTTTCCAAGTCAATGGCTGTCAGATGCCAAAATAACTGAGATTTTCAAGCATGATCTAATGTTAAAATTATGTCAATCGGAAGGTTAAAATGGGGAAAAGAGACAAGAGGTAGCCGAGAGAATTTGGTGGTGATGGCAGAGAGAATTACTAGTATAACTGCAGTAACTGGTAACAGCGATGCCAATCAGCGTGAAGAGCTATAGAGTTATATAGTTAGAAGGAACCCGGGTGGTTGGGTAGAGCTGGGTAGAAATTAAGTGAGTGCTTCAATTCGCTTGTGGAGTTGGGCCTACAGAATACAGATACAAAGTTATTTTACATCTATGAGGGGCAAAGTGTGAGGACTTTTTTTGTGTGTGTGTGTGTTTTTTTTTGTTTTGTTTTTTTTGGGGGGGGGGGGAGGTGGTAGAGCAATGCAGACCTGTCTTGTATAAAGTTGATATATTTGCCAACCAACTTCTATCAGCCAAATATTAATAACAACATGTGACTGCAAATACAACATATTACAGTAGTAATCTATAGGTAGCATTGTTATAGTTTATGACAGGGGTCAGCAACCTATGGCACGTGTGCCATGCATGGCACTCAAGCTCCCTTTTCATGGCACACAAGGCTGCCAGAGCCAAACAGGCTTTGGCTATTAGGAGTCCCAGTGGGACTCCAGTTCTGCTATTGCCAACCAAGCTTTGATTGCAGGTGGTGAGGGACAATCCTCAATTTACACATTGCAGTAGTGATCACTTCCTCTCCGCACTTGTGAATGATAATCTGTACTGGAGTAGATCAGCCTGAAACTGCTATCGCAGCTCCTGCCCTTGACTTTTACCTTGCCTGGATGGTCTCTACTGGACCCCAGGGAAGCCACCCACACTGCTAGATATACACAAAGCTGCAGAAGAAGTCACTCATTCATACAATTAATATAAATAGCCCACCCACAAACACACATAGTACCCACAAACACAACACCACTGACAATCCGCATACATTCACACAAGCCCACAAGCAGCCTCTCACATTTAATACCAGCAGCAGCACCACACATATACACATCGCCAAACACACACAATTCCACAAGCAGCCCCCATACACAGCCCACATTCATAGGTATCATCCACAATACCACAGATTAGTCATGAACATATACAATATAACAGCCAACATATGCAGAAATAAAGTGCTACAAAGTAGCTGCAGCACTTATAAATATCACAAGCAAAATATGACAACGTACCTCAATTTAACAAAATAGGAAAGGCACGCAAAGGGACTTCAACATTTTCTGATCAAGTTCTGACCAAAACAAAACCTAGAATATGAGCTACAGGGTTAAATATAAGGATTGCCCATTTCTGTTTTTGCACATTGAAATTTGCCAGATTGGTGATGTTGCCTTTTAGACTGTATGGCAGCTCAGAAATGAGAATTACCCCTATCATGACATACCGTTTCAAAAAGTAGAAAATCCAGGGTATTCAAAATGCGGTATGCCAGGTCTGTTTTAGCAGCCACTTAGTCACAAACAGTGGCCAAATTTAGCGCTAATTCAGTGGAGTCCCTCAAGTACAACAGTACCCTTCATGTACAGGTTTTATAGCGTTTTGGAAAGTTGCAAAGTTACAGGGCTAAATATAGGGCTAGCAAATTAAATTATCTGGACTTTCTGCCTGGGTTGTCAGGCATGTCCCTCAAATTGTAATTAGTAAAATCACATAAAAGCACTGTGGTTGTTTGGAGTTTAACTATATTAAGGTAGAGTGCCAGATTTCTTATTTTTTGTTTTCTATATATATATATATTTGTAAATCCTTGCACTCAGGTTATATAAACCAGGGTCAGTTGATACAGAAATAGCAAAAAGTTAACTTGCACTCATGTTTTTTTTCAAGATTAAAATTTCATGCTTTATTGAATATTCATTAAAAAGTGGATCGACATTTCAGTCCCTGTCCGTGACTTTCATCAGAATCATCCTGGGGGCTGCCTGACAACCCATTAATGCTGCTAAGGGTTAAAGTTTCAGGCAGAGGTGAGAATGGAGGGTTTTGTTTCGGTTGGTTGTGGAATTGAATCTTAAAGGGATCCTATAGTGCCAGGAAAACAAACCCATTTTCCTGGCATTATAGGGTTAATAGGTCGCCTCCCTCCCTCGGGGCTGAAGGGGTTAAAACCCATTTAGTTACTTACCTGAATGTCCCTCGGCGCTGGGTCAGGCTCTGCATACGCTTCTCCCGTTAGCGGCTGCGCACATTTGACCTCCCCACAGGAAGGCATTATTCAATGTTTTCCTATGGGGACAACCTGAAGCTGGAGGTCCGTGAGGACGTCCAGCATCCGATAACGGACCAAAAGTCAATTTGGATTCCGGAAATCCTCTAGTGGCTGTCCACAGGAGGCAGACTTATAGCTGCAATGTAAACATTGCAGCACTAAGTGCAAAAGGGTCACAGCACCCAGATTACTTCAATTAGCTAAAGTGGTCTGGGTGCCTACAGTGTCCCTTTAAAGTCGCTGTTCATATTTACTGTCCATGTAGAGCATGGTATCTGTGTGCTGCTCCCCCTTCTCTTGTGGTAGGTCTGTTTGTTGAGATCAGTGGTGAAATGGGTGTTGGAAGCAAGAGCTTGGAGGGACAGATATCACCAGATAATTTGGAGGATTATGAGGGTACAGTTGTAATTTACCATCATTTAGATTATCCACAATCTCAAAGGTTTTTAAACTAAGTGACTCAAGTAGGATAAGTATAAGGGTATTTTACATACCACTGCCAGAATCATCAATGTACCCCATTGTGCAGATCCTACATGTTTACCAACCTCCATCCTAACACACTTACGTGATCCGTCCTCCTAGAGCTCTCTGTAGCCCTAGGTTTAATTGGAAAAGAGGCACCTGTGACAGAGAGGACTAAGAGAGAAATAATTGAAGCTATTAAGAAATAGTATGCTTTTTGTTTAATCACTCCTGTACATTTAGGGAAATCCCCATGTGATTTCCCCCTCCCCTCCTCCCCCCCCATGAGATATTGCATTTCTACAAGTGTTCGAACAGTGAGGCCTGGTTGCTTAAATAAATTGAGAAATATATTAACCTGTTAATCTGACACCACTCAACTTGAACTCAGAATCCCATGTACCCCCTGCTCACTGATAGTGACTATTTAAAAAATTGTCTTTTAATATAAGCTTTTTTATTTGCCTATTAACTATTTCTGTGCCATACATCTGTATCCTTTGCTAACCCTTTTGCTGTATCCTACGGCAGAGCTTCTCAATTTGTGTCCAGATGATTGAGGGGTAAATAATATATATCACAGATTGTCTCATTTAGTAATATACCAGATTTGCAGCCCATTACGTAGGCAAACAGTTGTATACATTTTGCATGATGGTAAAATCCATTAAAAAAACAAAATAAAATCATAACAATAGGAATTAAAAATAAAGTTGTTTTTTCTGTAATAGATCTTAGTAAGGTTTAATATATGCTCCCTACAGAGATGATATACTGTGCTCAGGATTACAGTTTTTAAGTTTTTTACGTTTTTGATCAAATGAGAAACCTGACTGCCAGTTTGAAGTCAAGAACATTTTTCCCCCCTAGTTTATGGCAAAGTTGAAAATAACTTCAAATTTGGTTCTTTTACCTTATTTTAAACAATCACTAGTGATCCAGCTTAATGAAAGGTCCAACTTGATTGACTTGAGTCTTTTCTAACTCTACAGAAAAGTATAGTATTACAGGCTATAATATAATAATATAACATAGTATAGTACTGTAAAATATGATATAACAATATAACAGTGTAGTACTATATACTAATATAAAATATAGTGTTATATAATATACAGGCTACAATATAATATATAAAACTATTGAGTATAGTATAATTAATTTTATGTGTGTGTGTGTGTGTGTGTGTGTGTGTGTGTGTGTAAATATGTATATTGTTTGTATATTGCATTTTTGTAATATTGTATCCTATTGTAACAATGCAATGTTTTGTTGACCCAGGACATACTTGAAAATGAGAGAAATCTCAATGTATCCCTCCTGGTAAAATATTTTATAAATAAATATATAGTACAGACAGACAGTTTTACACACACAGGCAGTTACTGCCAGACAGTTACACACAGTTACAGACAGATTGTCTCACACATATACAGTTACAAGCAGACACTCACACGCACATTTTCAATGTAGAAAAATAAAGTTCACACACACAGTTACAGGCAAACAGTCACATACACACACACAGTTACAGGCAGACAGTCACAAACAGTCACGGACAGTCGTACACGCACACGCAGAGTTACAGACAGACAGTCACACACACAATTTCAGTCACGCACAGTCACAGGCAGACAGTCTCAAACACACATACACCTTCACAGTTACCTCTTTCCATTATGGATAGTGGGGGAGGAATGGAGGAACTGCAGTCCCTGGCCAAGCTTCATGTTCAGGTTGCATTTAGCGTTTCCCGCACTGCCCATTTAGCTCTGTCCATAGCATATTTACCTCTGCCCCTAACAACTTTTGAAACTCTGCCACTGCACTGCTGGCCCCTCGTGTGCAAGCTATGTCAGCCACCAAGTGCCCCTGCTGCCATGGCACCCTGTGCAGCTTGCACGCTCCTATCCAGAGTAAGGATAAGAACTGGTACAAGTTCAACAGATAAGCAATATTCAGGGAACCCTCTCTTTGTACTCTACAATTTGTTTGGAGTAGTGGATTGGGGTAAAATTTAAGTAGCCTTTTTATTTGAGAACTTTTTGAAAATTCTGACAACTGTTAGTCTTTAATCTCTAGTCACAAAATTGTGTGTACACATTTTTACTTTGCAATATGACGTTTAGTCCATAAAGCCTCACCCACCTTCATTTATATTCTAGGAGTGATTATCTGTCTGTTAAAGAACACATTTCTGTGTCAGGTACTCATGCCACTCATGTCTGAAAATGTAGCAAAAAACCCTGATCCCTCCCCATTCCAAACAGTAAAGGAAGTTTCAGTGAGTCATACCATACCTACAATTGGAGGAGGGAGGACACAACTAATAAGCTCTCACATTTCACCTATTTCAAAAACGGTATAACATTTAAAGACAAGAAGGCTCCAGTGGACCTCAGAAACCATAACCACATCATAAAAATTAAGTTTTGTTGTCTGTAATGGTCATTGTATGTAAACATTATGCAGATTTTTATTTTATTTGTTTACATTCTGTTGCCATTCTCAGTAAGCTATAAGCTAGTACTGCTTATTATATTGTTTTGGGAAAAGTCATTTTTGCTTAAATGGTGCCAATCATTTCTCACTTATTTCTCATGTGAAATCATGGATTTCTCAAATGAAACTGATTGTGTTTTTATTAGCATTTGTGTCAAATATAATTAGTGTACAACCAATTCCACTGCTGGAAAAAGGGACAAACCACGTATAAATACACCACATCATGGACCTGTTTCAGTATTCTCACAATGTAGCACTGTACACGAATCTTGGTCAAATAACCGCTTTGAAAGAACATGAACAAAACTGAGGTCCCCGAGGCACCTTCAGGCCAGCCTTGATATTCTACAATTATTTCCACATTCGCAACATGTGTTTCATTCATATTTTAATGCCATTCTTTGGTTGCATCATCTGACAGTTTATATACCATATGGAATGACTCTGATCATTAGAGGCGGAATATTTATCTCTCTCCAATAATCTGTATATCTTAACTACCCAGTGGATGTTACAATGTATCCACTGCTGTTTCATTATCTGGATACGGTATCCTGCCTATAGGTCCCCATACTATGGGTTCCATCATTTGGTTGCAGTTATGTTCTCTGGTATATTCTGCTATTTGGTAAAAAATTGATAATTCTAATGTAGCTGTACAGAGAAACTTTAGATCTCACTAAGCTCTTCATGCAATCCATTTTTTCTACCTGAACTGTGGTGGAAACACATCGAGGAGAGAGCTCATACCTTTGCTTATTTTTTGTTTTTGCAGGTTGACCTCCATATAACATGCTGAATTCTCTGTATTGTACAGAGGTTGAATTGAGATTAGATTTTATAGGTGGGATATACACTGTCCAGCCACAATATTAAAACCACCTGCCTAATATTGTGTAGGTCCCCCTCATGCTGCCAAAATAGCTCTGATGTTTTGAGGTATGCACTCCACAAAACCTCTGATGAATATTAGCAGCAGTTCTTTTAAGTCCTGCAAGTTGCAAGGTGGGGTCTCCATGGATCGCATTTGTCGTTCGAACACATCCCTCAGAGGCTCAATCAGATTGAGATCTTGGGAATTTGGAGGCCAAGGCAACACCTTGAAGTCTTTGTCATGTTTCTCACACCATTCGTGACCAATTTTTGCAGTGTGGCAGAGTGCATTATCCTGCTGAAGGAGGCCACTGCCATCAGACAACACCAATGCCATGAAGGGCTATAGGTGGTCTACACCAATCTGCAACAAAAGATGGTATGTGTCAAAGTAATGGATGCCAGGACACAAGATTTCCCAGCAGAACATTGGACAGAGAATAAAACTGCCTCTGCCGGGCTGCCTTCTTTTCATAGTGCATCCTGCTGCCATCTCTTCACCTGGTTAACAACGTTAACCTGGCTATCCACCTGATCTAAAAGAAAATGTGATTCATCAGACCAGGCAACCTTCTTAGATTGCTCCATGATCCAGTTCTGATGCTCACATCTCGACTCAAACTGCAATGCACTGAGTTCTGAGTTTTGTTTTGTTTTTTAGCAATTTGAGTTACAGTAGCTCTCCTGTGTGATCAGACTAGATGGGCTAGCCTTCACTCCCCCACATGCATCACTGAGCCTAGGTCATTCATGACCCTGATGCCGGTTCATCAGTTGTTCTGCCTTCCACCAATTTTAGTAGGTACTAACCACTGCATACCAGGAACACCACAACAGACTGGTCGTTTGGAGATGCTCTGACCCAGTTGTCTAGCCATCACTATTTGACCCATGTCAAAGTTACTCTTTTCTTTTCACTTGTCAATTATTCCTGCTTCCAACATGTAAAATTCAAGATATACCCAACCTCTTGCTTGGTGCCATTGTAACAATATAATCTATGGTATTCACTTCACCTGTCAGTGTCTTATCAACACAAAGGAAAGCTGTCATTTTGTGTTATTACTTAAAATAAAAGATTCCATGTTCTGTAGCATCTGTATTATTCTAATATGCATGCATGTAAATACGTAGCTTAGTGCACCTCCTGGCTTAGCCTTACTGTATGGGGCAGCCATCTTTAATTCCACATTAATCAGAATCACAACTTATCCAACCAAAAACGGTGCTGGTAATCAAGGATTAGTGAGTTTTACACAAGTTCCAGGTGCACTTTAGGATGGATTCAGACCTTCTAATTGTGTACAAGTAAATGGTACTTGTGGCAAAACAAGGCTACAAATGGACACCCTCATACAGAAAAATAATGCCAGGAGATGCAATAGAGACAGTTTAATTGACTAAAGTAAGAATTCTAAGAGAATTCTAAAAGTAAGGCCAGAACACTCGAACTGAAAGGAAAGCTGACTTTGATGATTTTTCCAGTTTGACTTTGTTGACCTTCTGTTTGAAATGCACTTTGAATTCACCTTGAATTCTTACTTTAGACAATAACCCTGAGAGTTCTTTAATGTATACAATGTTACATATAATCTTTATTTTCTGTAATATTAAAACATGACAGAGCCAGAATGGTGAGCTGGAATCCATTAACCCAGAGACTGCCAGAAGGGTGGGTTGGGCGGATTGTGCAAGTTGTGTGCTCACTCTTCTGAGAATACATAGGAAGGCATTGTGTACCTGCAGAGCATTTCGCTACATGCCCTACCTGCAGAGCATTGTGCTGCATAGCCTATCTATATCTCAGCTGCAGAGCATTGCACCGCATACCCTACCTGCAGATCATTGTGCTGCATCCCCCATATATATATCTCAGCTGCAGAGCTTTGCACCGCATACCCTACCTGCAGATCATTGTGCTGCATCCCCATCTATATCTCAGCTGCAGTGCATTGTGCTGTGTCTGTTACTTGCAGAGCATTGTACTGCATCCCCTTTATATCTCTCAGCTGCAGAACATTGTGCTGTATCTTCTACTTGCAGAGCATTGTGCTGCATCCCCTATCTACATCTCAGCTGCAGAGCATTGTGCTGTATCCCCTACTTGCAGAACATTGTGCTATATCCCCTACCTGCAGAGCATTGCAATGTATCCTCCAACTGCAGAGCATAGTGCTCTAGCTCCCAGCTGCAGAGCATTGTGCTGTATCCTCTACCCGCAGAGCATTGAGCTGTATCCCCTACCTGCACAGTAGTGTGTTGTATTCCCCACATGCAGAGCGCTCTGCTGCTTCATCTCTCAGTGTAAATTTGTGCATTGCCTCTTTTTATATATTTCATTATTTTACTACTAAACCACAAACAGATGGATGTTCACATGTAGTTTACACTTTTATTTTTTTGTTAAATAAAAATAAAATTATTTGTATTATAAAGAGAAAAATAATGTGTCTAAAAAAACACGTCATAATATGTTTCTGCAGTCTAAGAGGAATCATTATGTTACGTTTGCCTCTCTTTGCACCCTCTGACTGCGCAATGACACACTGCTCTTCCGGTAGCCATTTTGGGAGGGCACAGGGCGTGGTGGGGGGCATACTTTATATCTGTAGAGCAAAGTGGTTTCCATCTGATTCATAAACAAACCTCCCCCTTTCCCTTCTCCCTCCTTCCACCGTCTCCCAAACATCATCTGGCATTCATTTTCCTGCGCATTTGGACAGTAGTTTTAAATTGAACCATTTTAAAGGAGGGGGGATTTCAAACACAAATGTTATGCTTGGCGTGATGAAGAGGCATTTTTTTTTTCTTGAATGTTGGAAAACAAAACTGTAGCGTTCTTCGCCTCCTTCGCCATACGTTCATTTGAGGAAGCTTCAAGTGGTTACCTGGGGAAGAGTCATTCGACACAATTCTATCACATACATCCTTATGGTTACTTAAATAGTTAATTATTATGTAAACATTTATATCACAAATAGCATTACTATTCTTATGCCACACCTGTAAAAACACATCATGTTGGTACAATAAAATAAAAGGGAACAAGTATTCATCATTTTCTTCTCTCGTGTAAAGGTTTTTTTTGTAACTGCCCAACTATGGCAGCATTTACTGATGGTAAATACCAAGCATGAAAACCAGAAGTAAATATCTATTTAAAAATAAGCCGTAATATTCTATTTTGAAAGACTGACCCTCTAAAAGATCTTTTGGCCAAAGTAAACAATCCCTATCGCTCTGATATGCAGACAATCGTGTTCAATGGTGCTAAAGAATGATCCGTTTCCCACTCTCATACATGGCGTGGGCAAACGTCCCAGAAGTCCATTAAGACAAATACTGCTCTGGCTGAGTGTGCTTGGGTCTCAGAAGAACAGAAATGGTTTGAGCTCAGTATGCTTTAGATGTGGCCGAGGTCACGCAGTAAGTTGAAGTTGTAGCCGTTTCACAAATCCAGTAAGTCTCAAAAACTTGAATATCTTTGAAAGTCCTCTCAATGTACGCTGAGGGCATGCGTACAACCTCCTGATTCTTCCTCTTCAGATGGAGACAGAAAACACAAGTAGACAGGAGACTGTCCTGATTTGTCGGGAAATTGGTAACTATCTTGAGTAGAAACTGGAAGAATCACTATATTTTCTTATGGAAAATAGTTTGAAACAAATAGGCTTGGTTAATTGAATGCTCTCAGCATTAGCAGAGCTTTGAAATTCGAAATCATGAAAACTGCTCTGTCACCCTAAACTTACCTTGCTTCAATCTGTTCCTCTTCTCTTTCTCTCTCTTAATCCATTCTTCCTTTCTTCTTTTTTAAATTTTTTTTCTCTTCAAATACATAAGGCAAAAAAATCACGACTACTGTCTTATGTATTTTTCCTCCACGTGATAAAACTTGACAAAAGGCAGAGCTATCACTACAAGGCTTCGTCACCAGTGACGGCTGGGGAATAGGGCATTATCTTGCAAGACAATATCTACAGAGGCTCTTGGAGGATTCAGGCTGTTCATTAATGAGCCAAATTGTCCCAAACAATATCCTCTACCGGAACTTCCACCTGAACGAATTGATTAATGTTGAAAATAAAGGCAAATTATGATTTTTTTTTTGAGTGTAGATTAAAAGAATTTCAATTCGGGACAAATAATTTAATTTAAGACAGAACAGAATTTTTGCACTTGTCTACTGGAATCTATTATTTAAAGTCGACTTCTTGGGTCTTTGCATATTCTGGAAAGACCCCCAATGGACTCTTGGATGGAATTTTTGCACATGTCTGGATTTCAGCAATTTGAAAGGTCATTTAGTCAAGGCCTAGGGCACCAGAGGTAAATCGTAAGGAGGGTCAAGTAGAGTTATGATTCTTATAACTGTTTTCAGGAAATGGGACCCAGAGGCCAACATATAACTGTGACAACTGAAATGGGAGTGATCTGAACCTTATGTGAACTCTAGCTAAAGCTCTATTCTAGTCTGGCCTGCAGAAAATTCAGAACTTATTCCAAACTTTTTTTTGAACATCAACATTAAAGAGGATGACCCAAATCTACGAAAAAACAGATACTTTATACTGGAGATAGAATGCAGGATAGTAGTCACAGTTGCCAACAGGAGAACTTAATGTCTGCGCTGTCACTAAGCTTATAGATCTTGAAAAAAGAACCAGAACTCAAGTATGCTTATGCTTTCTGTTTGCATATCTTTCCCAGGACGGCTAGAATCAGTAGCTGGAGTGATGTGGCTTTATTTGCATGGTCTGGTCAATTGTGTATGTTCAACACAGTTCCAAAGTTGAAACAGTATGCATATTAGACCAGAGTAGAGCATTGAAGTATCTCGTAGTACCTTTAAATTGTGACCAGACCAATAGAGTTGGCTAAGATGAGCAAACTGCAAAGCATTTCTGAACGGGAAACCACTGTATTACATTTTTCAGATGATGGGACAATGTGTTTGAAGCCAAAAGTGATGATGGCACCAGGACGTTGATGCTTAGTGACTATAAATGCATTTCACTACGCCAATTTTTAAATCCACCTTTTCCGAGTCTTTCTCTATTTCCATAACCTGGAAGATTGCTGTTAAATCACGCATATGAGCTCCTGATCGATGGCGTCTCTGCTGTTAAATATGCTTTAGTTACATGTTTTTTTAGTAATGTAGCATTACTTCGTGAGCTGGGATCAGCTGGTCTTTTAGCCACTATAACAAAAAATGAATCTACCTTCCTGTCCATATGTGTGGGACACATTTGTATGTGGTGCCATGTTTGGGATATGAGAATAGTTTAGAGCTTCTGTGGTGAATTTTATCTTAACTTTATGTTTTTTTTACTCTACTCTCTACATCAGGATACATTCTCAGCAGACATGGGATTTCTTTCCATCTTAGCTAGGTTTGCTTACGTTTTGCAGATATGTTCTCAGATCAACACAACTTGCTATTTAGTGAATATTTCCCTTAGTCGGCTTCTTGGTTGTCTTGCTTTGTATCTCCGCCCTTCCATTTTTATTTTAACTCCTCTTTGTGGTGAATGTAAAGAGCGCAGTGTGACATTCAGCACTAACATGAAAATAGGATGGTATAACTAAGGAAAACTAAACCCAGTAGGTATGCATAAAGCTTTAGGATGGAGCGACCATAAAAAACAAACACACACAGATTTACAGTTTCCTTTGGCTTAGAACAGGGAGGTCAGCAGAAGAGTAGAAAAGAAAATGAGTATATTTACTCTCTCGAGCCGAAAATATCTGTGGTTAGAAAAACAGGAAAGTAGGGTCATTCATAGAATGGTGGATTTGCCACTGAATCCTGTTCTGGCCACAAGCCGTAACTGGAAAGAACATTTTACTAAAGTTTCTTATAAAAGGTGCAAACATATTTCAAGGTATACCTGAGGCTGAATGAATCCCATGTGTATGTATTATGGAGAAAATGTACTTAAAAAATGCAATAATAAAATACAAAGTAGAATGTTGACAATATAAAGTTACAAGTACAGTGTAAGTCTATTGGGCAAACACACTTTACAAAAAAGGCTCATTTTATAAAAACATGCGCAGTGCTGTACCAACACAGATTACAAATGTTATTTAATCCTGGAACCTCAACGTGTATTCACAAAAAGCAGATAAACACTTAATAGTCATGCAAGAACCAGAGCACATGTAACAGTAGACTGGAATTAATAGATGGAATGAGTATGAAATAACATTTATTTAAAATGGATACACTCTTTCAAATGCTAGCACGTTATCGGAAATGGGAGTGTAAGAAACACACAACAAAAACAAGCAGTTTTCAATGTATTCCTGCATGAGGCTCAGTTTTTTGAATGTGTCATATCAGTGGGATTCAGAATCAACTTTATTATCACTGTATTATGTGCATACAAGGACAATGCAACACAGTTAACCTCCGAACGGAATGCAGCAGCAATTAATATAAAAAAAACCAAACTATTTATACAATCTATACCTAATACCATAATTCCCCTAGTACTCCGTAAATACCGTCCTTCATTGATATATATTTTAAGTCTAATAACACATTGACATTATACAATAGTGCCAACATATACAGATTCAACATACAACCCATAATCCCTATCTAAGTAAAATATTTATCCTATAAAAACCACCATACCTGTGCAGTAAAGGTGCCAACTGCCATGCAGTTAATACATTAATCCTTAACAATATACCTTTATCATGTAACATAAAGTGTTTAATGTGAGCCCAAAATGCCACATGCAAAAAATGCAAAGTGTAAGCACATAAACCATATGTATATATATATAAAGAGCAAAAACAATGAACACATATGGTAAGTGCAAACAAATACATAATGCATACAAAGTGCAAAATGTGAAATGCAATGTGAGCACAATGCCACCGACATAAAGTAAAAACGATATTTTAGACATACTCAAGTGTACGTAAAACCACTAAATGCAATTTACCAATCAATATACAAAGGACTTGTACAGGCCTTATGTATCATCCTAGCAAACAAACCAGCATCACTAAATCTCAGTACAATTCTATTCCTAAAAATCCTCTCGCTTATAGATTGAATGCAAAGACATCACCGCAGAGGGAACAACGCTATTCCCAAACCTACAACACAGACCTCCTAAATATGATGGTGGTTTTTGTTGTTGCGGTTTGAGATTTGGTGTGGATATTTAATAAGGGTTAAATCCACATCCACCGAATGCGGGTTAATTGGGAGAATTTTCATTTCTCTGTTCCTGTTTTTGCCCCTTGCGCATAATTAGCAGCGCAGTGATCCTTATTGCTGCTGACATACCATAGTAACCTTTGATTTTTCTCTCTACCATTTTTCTTGGCCCCTGAACCCACTGTATTAGCTGGGGCCCTTATTAAATGGTGTTCCTGCAGAGTTCTTCTATTCAAGCTGTTAGCCCTTTCGAGTACTGAGTTTGCTGCCTCTTTAGAGTGTCCTGATAGATTACTCTGTGTGAAGGTGAGAGTTTATTCCTGATTTATGTAGGCGTGCACAGCACAGTTTATTAGGGTGTGAACCCAGGAATTGTTTTTTTATATTCGAATATTAGGTGAATATTAAACATTAAATCTAAAGCATTGTAAAATTCATTGAGTTGTGTGTATATGACTCTGTGTGTTTGTTTTGTTTGTGGGGGTGACTAGCTGTGTGTGATTACCTGGGAATGATGTTTGTTGCTGGCTTTATGTGATGTGGCTCTATGTGGGTAGCTGTGAGCGATGTATTTGACTGTCTGTGTGTGACATGGGTGGCTTTGTGTTATGTGGTTAAATGGTTGCGGATTGCACATTTTTGTGAAGGAAAAATAAAAAAATATTCTAAACAAGGCACAAAGGTGGAAGCAGAAAAAAGGTATACACAAGATTCATTCTAGTACACAGTTCATTAGAGAAGTAGATCACCCCCAATACTATATGATAAAGTAACGTGACTATGTACATCCCATGTAATTAATAAGTATGCCATGCTATTGGGACCAGAGATGGAGATGTTTGGTAGATGCCAAACTCATAGGGGGAGGAGGGGGGTCTGTAATGCATGTGAGAATTCACAAATATTGCTTTAGATAAATACCAAACAAACACATAATATGTAAACCATAAAGGCTTAAGCAAAACTAATACGTTTGGAGGCATTCTGACAAATTTGGCCCAACATTTAGCAGACCTTATGAAATATCCATCTGCTGCCAGTCACTCTGCCCCCTCCTTTTCTTCTGTCTCCTGGTTTTATTGTACTAAGTTAAAAAAAGAACCATACCACAGGCTTGCTCCGATCATTTTGATCTTATTCAACTCCTCTTAAGCATGCCAGCCTGCCCCCCACATTCCTCCTTCCTTCTCCATTCTAAGATTAGAACCCTGTGCAGTGCGCGCATGGATAAAGGCTTTCTAAGGCCTAGCTTCATAGGAACTTCTAAGATATACCTCTAATAAATACATGTAAAATGCTTGGGGTTATATCTACTAAACTGTGCTTTGTTTGTTTTTTCATTTTATTATTTATTTCACTTTGGCAGTGGTGTGTCCCTTTACTCTTTATTATTTATTGCACTCTCCCTTCTTATCTGAAATGGAAAGACATAGCTGATGTCTGAAACTGCCCATGTATCCAGTTCAGTAGCAATAGGTCCAGTTTAAAGATGGCGGGGCACTAGTCTCATCTCTTGGAATTTGTCCTTTGAACTGGGAATTTGGGAGACTAGGCAAGAGAACTGGACTAGCCATATTGGGGGTATTTGCCTGTTCAGTTTTGTAGTCTGCAATTTTCAGTTTGTTGTTAGCTGTGCAGTTTATGCTGCTAAACAACAGCCAGGATTTTTTTTACAGTTACTTTTACCAAACTGAAGGCCTCCCGACTGTCCTGCATTTGGTGGGACAGTCCCAATGTCAGGGTTTGCTTCTGTCAGTCCATCCTTGCATCCAGTGTCCTGTTAGCCAGAGATTCAACTAGAATATATGAGCTTTGCAAGCACAGATAGAGTTTGTTCCTGACATTCTAAAAGAGTCTTTATGAGCCACTCCCTGTATGCTGGTTGCTAAAACTGGGTACACAGTTCAGAGTTCACTTTGTCTGTTTAATATGCAAATAAGCAGTGCTTGGGACTTTCAATATAGAAAGTGTTGCTAGGAAGGCGCAAGTTGTAATACATTGTGTCTCTGCTAACTTCTCGCAAGGTGACCCAATCTGACTACATTTGTGTACAAAAACAAACCCTAGGAAAAAAAGACAAGAAATATTCACCCATTTACCCATATTTGCAGAGATTTTCTTTGTCTGGCTTTGGAGGATCCCGCGAGACCACAGGATCTTCCTTCGATAATCTCATACACGTCCCCATCAGCAGTTGTAACCGATGGCTGATGGGAAATGGAGGCTAAAACATGGCATTTTGCCAAATTTTGGCAATCACATGGGACAAAGTATATTTTGACAATGTATAACTTTTGATTGGCCTTCCAACACAGTCTCTAAAAGATCTTTTAAGAAAGATTTTAAATTTGTTAAAAATGTTAATATGACAGAGCTATAACAACTGTGCATTTCTGCAGGGGTCTTGTAAGAATTGCATTCCTAAAGCGATCGTGTCCCTCTGCCCTAAAGTTATTGTCCGGCCACCTACTGTTTAAAGGGTTAAAAAAACCTTTAAACACTTACCTCTTTCCAGGGCCGAGATCCCTGGGTGCTGGCCCCGTCTCTGTCTCCTCCAATGTCATCAATGGGGGCAAACTGTGCATGCCGCAGGCACATTAGGCCTTCTCCATAGGAAAGCATTGGGGATATTTTGGACAGCGTGAGAATATTAAGTTTCTTTTCATGGAGTCAAACTCATTGAAAATGCAGACAGCCACTGGAGGCAGTCTTAATTCTGCAATGTAAACATTGCAGTTTCTCTGAAATAATGTTTTACATTGCAGGGCTTAGGACGCTGTACCTAGACCACCTCAATGAGATGACGTGGTCTGGGTACATGTAGTGTCCCTACGAATGAAACTATGTAACTGTTTTAATTATGTAATGTTAATGGTATAATCAGTGATCCTTTGTTCCACGCCCGAGGAGAGATTTGTTGGGTTAAGCTGTAATATATATGTATATGATTAGCAAATATGTTCTCTGTTCAGGAATTCCATTCATACTGAGAGCTCTTTGCTTCATGTGCGTTCATCCCCCTTCTAAGTAAATAGTATTTGATTGTGGAATCTCCCAGGTCCCCCAGCCTCTCTCTCTCTCTCTCTCAGTGGTGAAGTGCTTTATGTTAACACACTCTCCGTGTGTTTTTTTATGTTCTCTGCTGTCCATGGCCTCCTGTTGCTGCTGTCCTTGAACCGAGAGAATTTAAAATAAACCCACTCCCTACCCTGCAGCTGCTGCCCAGAAAAAGTCTACTCTGTGGGATTTCTTTTCTGAATGTGCAATTATCACATGGCTGTAATGGAGATCTTTAGGTTACCTGCAAGATCGGAGGTCACAGCACCAGGGTGAACTACAGAGCACTTGACTTTCATATATAAATTGCCAGCGTTGTGTCACGCTTGAACATTTAGGGACCATCTCCAAATTAGTTGAGCTGGGAAATAAATCTGTTATTTTATTGCCCCCAGTAAGAAGCATATGAGAGCTGAAGTCTTAGTTTAGACTTGATTAAGTTGTTAATTTATAAGACTATTACTGAAATAACATTTATAATAAAAAAATTAATTTGCTATTTTGATAGTGCATTTCGCTGTGAGACTCAAAGCACTTTACAAATCTATAAAACAGACATAAAAGTTATGAGTTTTGATAGTTACATGAGCTGACTGAATGCCTTATAAAAGAGGTGGTCTTTAGCTTTTTTAAAAGCCTGAAAGGATGGTGCCTTTCTGATTGAGTGAGGTGAAGAGTTCTAGAATGTGGAAGCAACGTGGCTGAATGTCCGAAAACCTGAGTTTGTCTTAAGTATGTGGTATATTGCGTAACATTGCACTGTATAGCATCTTAAATCTGTTACTTCAACAGTTATTAGGATAATGACACCGAGCTAGGTACACCCAGAGGTGATTTATTCCATGGTCTTCAAGCAATAGAAATTGTGGATGTTAAACTCTTTGTATCATAGGTATTCATACGCGATGGAAACATCTCATGCCATTTTTCCTTCCTTCCAGGTTTCTGTCACCATCACTCCCCTTGGACACTGTGTCTCAGTGTAACCCAACACTATGCTTCCCTACTATGGCTGCTGGAGTTCAGCACTTTGCCTGTGGTTACTGACCCTTGCTGCACGTGCCAACTCGGGTAAGTAAAATCAGAACATTAAATTGCTCCCCCTTTCTCCTAATAGACTGAAAAACATTTTGTGTTTTTAGGAAACATCGAGAAATACTATTTGTTTTGTTTCATATTCCACTTCTGCTGGATGTGTGCTGCCACTTGGGCAGCCCTGCCCCCAAAACGATTCAACACTTCAATATTGCTTGCTTCCATGTTTGCATCTGTTTCCAGAAAATACTACATAATATATCAATCTAACTAAACAGTCATATTTGTTTATCTTCCTTCTTGGAATTTCGGGCGAGAAGGAATCTGTGTCAAAATTTTATGTTAATAAAAGTAGGTCCTGTTTCATAATCTGACTATCAGAGAGAAGGATCAGTGTGTTAATTTCACTATCTGCAGATTATCAGTGGATTCCTTTAGTTCATTTTATGCACCAGCATTTTCTTTGTCTCACTAGTGGTGACACATTGGACCAGTGTGTAGCCATATAATAGTGACAATTGACCGTCTAAGTGCTCCCCTACTGCCAGTCACTGCATGTAGTGTGGCCAAGCAACAGACCATGGTAGAGAAGTTTTTGTTCCCCTACCTGGTCTGACAGGAAGTGTTCTTCTCAGTGAGCACTGAACTGCCTTCTGTCAGACTGGGAGAGGGAACAGAAGCTCCTCTTCATTGCCCCCTAGGGACACCGCCAAGTGGCCACTGGAGATGCTTCATAGGGCAGTGCTGCACAGTAGGCAACTCTGCCGTTCAGTGTCTCCACGCTCTGCATGGAGGCGCTGAATTTTCCTCATAGAGATGTATTGATTCAATGCATCTCTATGTGCTGATTGGCTCCACCTCTTTGCCGATTTTAGCCAATCCAATCCAATTGGATTGGCTAAAAATCTGCAATTCTGATGATGTCAAAAATGAGGTGGATCAGGGGCATCGCCAACACTGGCGGACCAGCGCAGCGCTGGAAATAAGGTGAGTTTTTATTCCTTTTAGAGGGTTGGGGGGGGGGGGGCAAGGCACCTAAATAAGGTTTTTAATACTGTAGGGTCAAGAATTTGTGCTCCTGATCCTATAGTGTTCCTATAATATGTCAAGGTAGTTGGACTGAAACTATTATTATATACAAATACACGTCTGCTTAAAATAAATCTGCATTTTGTTTATTTGAATTTCTGTGAGTGCTTTCTTGGAGTAATCATTTTTAGTTTTCAATTTAAAGTAATCTTTTCTGCCGCTATATATGCAGACAAGGCTAGTATAGAATGTTTTCAAAGGCTGTGTTTTATTGCCGGCACGGCCCTGGTAACAAGGTTTGCCAGGGCATATATTACTAATAAAAATAAGTACCTGCTGCTTTTCTGTTTGAATTTTTTTTTCTGGTGGGGAGAGGGTGGGGGTGGCAGATGAGTTAATACACAGCATTGCACATTCACAAACTGGTTCACATATTCTCTAGTACACCTTAAAGGGACACTCTAAACACCATGATAACTTTAGCTTTATGAAGTGGTTTTGGTGTATAGATCATGCCCCTGCCACGTCACTGCTCTATGCTCTGCCATTTAGGAGTTAATGCAGCCCTAGTCACACCTGGCCAGATTCAAATAGACTGTTTTTGAAAAACTGAACAGTCCAGCATTACAAATATTGCAAAGTAGTTTTAAGCAATGGCATGTATTGCTGCACCAGTCTTTTTCCATGCTGACAACTGCATTTGAAAGCATTTCTCTCATAAGTTTCTCAATTGTCTCTTTCTCTTTAGATGTAACACCTTATTTTATTGAAGAACCCCTTTCCACCATCCAGAAGCCCAGAGGCCACTTAAAGCTGCACTGTTCTGCTAATCCACCATGGTCCCATATTTCTTGGCTCTTTAATGGTAAACAAGTGGACACATTGGAGACTCAGGATGTGGAGATTAAATCAGGGTACCTGACCATCACTTCTCTCGCCATGTCTCATGCTGGGAAGTATCAGTGCGTTGCCAGTACCAGCGAAGGTGCCACACTTAGCACTCCCGCATCGGTGTCCATAGCCTGTGAGTATGTTGTGTCCACTTTATATATTTCACTTGACAATACAATTTGTGTAAAAACTATTTATTTTAATAGATTTGGGGATGGAGTCTCAACTTTCAGATACACATAGTGTATGACACTTTGTTTTGTTTTAATTATTTTTGTAATGGAATCGGCCATTTAGGGTATTGGAAAATGTAACCCCGGCACATACTGAATCATTTCCAATTTACATTTTTGGATAGTAAATAGATTTCGGGGAGGGATTAAAGCAGAAATGTGGGGTGACAGCGAGACAGGAAGCATTCAGTGAGTCACTTTGTATCAGTTGGGACACAATAGGGAGCAGTCCCTATCGACTAAGAGGCAAAATTCTGTAAAAATGTCTGAATTCCAACCAGAATGGCAATATTCACAAATCTACACCAATCCACTGGATGCAATTCAGGGTGTGATTTAAAATCAGAGCTTTTAACATCCAAACTCTGTACAAAGTATAGGATCCAGAATATTTACAAAGCACCGATTTTAAACCAAATCATGTATAAATAAATCTGTTGGCATGTACATTCCCAAATGATTGTTCACTCGCTTTTTGAAAATGAACGATAAGTCAGTAGTATAATTTGCCCTTTGGGTGACACTAGCCAGGCTAATGATTATAAAACCCTTGGCCACCAATAAAAAGTAAACAAAAATTCAATGTTTAACCTTTGGGGTAAATATGACCCCTATATTACTATAATGCAGGTTGCAAACCTTCCTTATGCCCCAGCCACCATGCTACGAGCGTGGGCATGTGTGTATCTGCAGTGTTTCAGGTCATTTGGCAAAAAGATTTTTGGGCTGGCTAATATCAGTTCTGTGCATATTTCAATGTATAGAATTATATACATTGGCTGAGAGCGGTCAGCTGATGCTCTTAGCCAATGAATGTCCATCAGGTTTGGTACCCGGCTTATTCAGCTGAGCAGAAGCTGGATGGACATTGTCAGATCTCCAAGGACGCTCAGCTTTCGGTGGGGACCCAGGTAGGAGGGCAAACTGTTACAAAACGATTTTACAAATTACCAGGAAACAGAGCCAAGATAATCCTTTCATCATAACCACTGCTGGGGACTGTAGTGGTTATGGTTCGAGGGGGTTATAATGGTTGAAGTTCCCTTTAAATAGTGGATTCAATCTTTAGTGAATAACACTGATAGAGGTCAGTTAATCTATGAGTATTGGTGAAATTGCAACTGACCAGCTAACTTTCAGTGAAGGCATGTTTTTGTTCATCATTATGGCTTTTATAGTATAATTTGCATTCTGAGAGTTTGGGTTATCTTATCCTTTCTTTTCTCCCTTCCTGCAGATCTGGGGGAGTTTGAAACATCAGCCCAATCTAGTGTTAAAGCAGATGAAGGAAGCAGTGCGCTGATTGGGTGTAAACTACCAGCCAGCAACCCCAAGCCACACATACGATACAAGGTCCGAGGGAAATGGATAGAGAAATCCACAGGTGGGTTGGTTAGCTTGTGGCTATATATTCTACAAAATGTAGTGTTTTCCCACATAAGAGTCATTGGGGGTGAGCCCAGCTTAATTGTCTGAAGTTCAATCTGTTACGCTGTGGCAGATATTTCTTAAACTGCGCAGAAAAAAAGGCACTCCATTCCAACATTCCATCATAAAACATTGATAAAAAGTTGATAACACATTTATTGAAAAAGGTTACATCCAGGCTACATTAGGACAACACATTGTATCATAGGCCTTTAAAGGGATACTATAGTGCCAGGAATACACTATAGTATTCCAGCTCCGATGTCCCTCGTAGCTGTGTCGAAACTCCTCCATTCCTTGACGAATGGGCTCTATTGCAAATGCATGGCAAATGCCGCGCGCACTTTTAAATAGCAGCGTGGTTAATTGCAAGGCGGTTTATGTAACCCTTTCACTGTCTGTGCTCAGCATTATAACCGGGGGCAGCATTCAACATGTAAAGTCCACCACATGAATCAATGATACTAAATAATACATAAAGTATGACATAAACAACACTATCTATAAAAATACATGTACATTGAAACTAATGATAAATAAAAAGTATGTACATTAGAAACTATTGATTAACATATTGTAGGTGTGCATAATAAAGGAGTACTCTCTCTCTCTCTCTCTCTCTCTCTATATATATATATATATATATATATATATCTCAAAACAAAATCACTCCTACAGGCCTGTCTATTTATTTAAATGAGGACAATAAGCCTATGATATCATAGATTTCCTTCAAACCCTATTGTACCCTGAAAAAACAGTATCATCAACAGCACAGACCCTTGTTTGCATATGAAAATCCATTTTGTTTTGAAATAATTGACTATGTTATTGATTATGTTTAACAATATAAGTTCACCTATTTTTAAATGTAACTTTTTGTTCTCCCTGTTTCTGTTAATACTGTGTGTCTGCCACAGGAGGTAAATGATCAATATCTAGGATAGAGCTATTGGATGCCCTCATTACTTGTGACAGAAATCCATTAAATGTAACAGCTTATTACTGTAATAAGATCCACATATTTATATGTCTGTCCGGTACATGGCCTAGTAAATCTGTCTCTGGCTATGTCCACAGGTCATGCATGGCCAAACACTCCACGGGCAGATACCTCTCTTATGAAGCCACTTTGGACTGATATAAATAAATAGAGTGACAGTATAGATCCCAATGTGGATGTTTCGTTTTAGTTTTTAGTGTGGATTGCAAATCTGGGCCTCAATAGTTTTCTTAAAGCCTATCATAGCACAAATAATTCTGAATCTAACTAATAATAATGCACACATATTATGTACTGCACTCATAATGAGTAGCGATATAATCAATATCCAGGATGCAGATTTGTAGCACAGAGTTTGAATCGTTCTGCCTTGAGTGGCCCCTGTCTGATTGGTTTTCCTCTTAGCGGACACGTCGTGCAGCCAAAGAGCTCCAAATGAATAGACTATGCCACCCTCTGCACATCCTGTCGTGACTTTACACAGCACTTTATAAATGACTTTTACTTACACTCCCAGCAGTTCATTAAACTATTTATTGTCCATGAAAGACACTTTATGCTCATTGTATACAATTATTTTTTGTCTAGACAAGTTCCTGATTCTTCCTTCTGGAAACCTGCAAATCCTCAATGTGTCCAGTGAAGACAGAGGGTCTTATAAATGTGCTGCGTATAATCCAGTTACTGAGGAGCAGAAAGTGAACCCCACAACATACAAGCTGACAATAAACCGTAAGTGCTGTATGCAGCTTTTCCAGGGTTCTATTCATTTAGATGTGTCTGTGCTCTCTCTCTCTCTCTGTATATACGGTATCTGTTATACAGTATGTGTATGCTATATCTCTGTAAATACGGTATCTGTGCAATATATCTGTATATATACAGTATGTGTACGCTATATCTCTGTAAATACGGTATCTATGCCCTATCTCTGTATATTCGGTATCTGTGCACTATCTCTGTATATACAGTATGTGTACTCTATATTTCTTTATATACGGAATCTATGCCCTATCTCTGTATATTCAGTATCTGTGCACTATATCTGTATATACAGAATGTGTATGCTATATCTCTGTATGTACAGTATCTATACACTATATTTGTATATACAGTATGTGTACGCTATCGCTATGTATATACGGTATCTGTGCACTTTCTCTGTATGTACGGTATCTATATCTACCTGTCCTATCCATATTCTTAGTACTCCATGCACTTCACACACACATGCTCAGATTCACACGCAAAGTCCTAAATATGCTCATGGCCTGCAAGCCCCGTGCCAGTCCAAACCCTGTGAGAATTAGAGCCTCACATTGGTAAGATGTTGTGACAGGTTCTCAATGTACTTTGCCTTCAGAGAGCTGGTGAAGCCAGGACAAAGGTCCTCATCCATTACGCCACTGGTACCGCTATTGACATAGGGATGGATATGGTGACATACATTGCTAATGTTTCCATTTCCCATGAAACGAATGTGAGCATTGCCGTTAACATGATTTGTTCCTGCTACGGCAGTATACTCTATAATTTGTCCATTCAGATCTCTCTTTCTGTACGTCCATCCACCCATCCAATCTTCTTTTCTATCTTTATTTAATTATTTTTTTTGATTGTGAATGAAATATCTGCTAATGTTACAATGTGTTGATAATCTTTATGTTTTCTGTCCTCCATTCTAGGTTCTCTGCAGCACAGTTCCAATATTCTAAACCCCATTCCAACTGAGACCTTGTCTGTACAGATCCATGAACCATTGACCCTGGAATGCGTATTTGGAGGAGTTTTGTATTCTCATATTACATGGACCAAGGATGGCCATGACATTACGGAGCTCGACCGAAGAAGAGTGTTTCACACACACCTTGTGATAGAGCGAGTAGAGCGATCTGATGCCGGAAACTATTCCTGCTTTTTAAAGAACTCCCATCATCTCCATTATGTTAACTACACTGTTATTGTTCTAGGTAACGTGCAGTGGATTCCTGAATATTCCTAATATTCGTATAAAAGTTTAGAAAATGCTACTTTGGGAAGTTTGAAATGGAAAAAGTGTGAGGCATGATATAACAGACTGCCTTTGTATCTTTTCTATCTAATTGTAGCCTCTTGCACCTTCCCTGCCCCCAGGAAATCAAGCTTTCTGTTGATCATAGCTGCTCATCTCCTGTTTTCATTTAATTTGATGCTAAATGAGGAGAATATAGTCAGACTATACAGTGGCTTAAGCCAGAATTCACAGACAATGATTGCCGTCCAATGCCAGAAAGGTTTGTTTGGATAATGAGAATTCATGGCAGCTCAGGGGCAGGGTGATTTATAAATGTTTAATTTTGGACAAAAACTAGAGCTAAATAATCACTACACAAATCTGTAAGAAAAAAGTTTTGTCTAACACATTAATGAATAAGCAATAACTTAACAGAAGGTCTTCCACAAGACAGAGGCTTGAGCCCTCCGATATATAGGACATACTGAAATGTGGAGGTGAAATCGTAATGTTAAAATGTAACATTTATTGAAGTACCTAGAAAAATAAATTGGTAATATGTAAGAAATCCACACACAATCAAAAAAAGGACCAAGGATCCAAACAAATGAATCAAATTATTTAATTTCTTCAGTTACCTAACCATAAAATTGCATCCGTCAAGAAAATAACTGTACTGCACTCGAGTAATAAATGTTTGACACAGTTTGTCAGAAAATCTGTTGCCAATTGAACTGAAAACTAATAGTATAACTTCCCTCCAGTATCCAAATTAAATCAAAATCGGAACAGTAGAAAATAGTTAGTAAGAGTCCTAAAACAGTTACATTGACTGTGCAAGTCCAACAAAATTGTAACAATAAATATCCACTTCATTTATTTCCTATACTGTTGCCAATGGATTAACTATACTTATGGACGTCCACCAGATGTCGCTGTTCTATTGAATGCAAACATGACTCAATGTAAACGAAAACTGATTCTAATAACAGCGATAGACTAAAATGGACCAATACAAAGAGATTCCCTATTGAAGGGGTGCACCCGTTGGCTGCTCCCTAATCTCATCCAAATTAAATTGTCAATTGCTAATACCTACTTATTTGCCAGCCGACCCATGTTCCCTTTGTTTGTCAATAAGTAAAGAAATGAATTGGAAGGTGAAAGAAAAATTAATAATATATATGTGGAAAATAAATAAGCTAAATAGAAGCCAAAATCACCAGAGTGATGAAAGATAAGTAACAAAGTAACGAGCGTACTCAACGCGCATTTCATCCAGCTAGAGTCACCAGAATCCTTCTTTAATTTTTTGAGATCTATGGTCCTTTTATATGATTGTGTTTGGAACTCTGGAATAATTCCATATTGAATGACATCCATTTTTAGATACTTTAGGTTAAAACGTAACGTTTATTTAAAAATTCATACCACCTCGACTTAAGTTTGTCACAAATCTGTAATAGTTATGGTGGTTATAGTGTCCCTTTAATATATACCATTGTATCTACACATTAGGCCATTTAAATCATTATAAAATATATAATCCATGAGATACAAAGTGATAGATCTTATCATTTCTTGATAAACGTATTATTATTATTGTAAACCAATAAAAATGAAGTATGTTTAAAGAGTGAATAAAAAGTTATTTTCTAAATTCCTGTAATGTCGGACTTTAGTAGAGAAGCTACCAGCTTTCTGTCTCAGATCCCTTACGCTTTAAATATGCTTCCTAACAATAGTTCCATGTACCGTAGCAACAAACCAGTCACACTGACGCATTTTACTTGTATTACATGCAATGGATGCTGCATCAGGCTCTATATTCTGCCATTTTGTTTGTATATTTGTGGCTAGTTGCATCTGTACTCTTTGATCTTAGAACTCTGTGTGACCCATATTTATTTTCATCCTTTCTTTGTAGAACCTCCTGCTATTACACGGGGCCCTGAGGATCACGTGGCACTGATTGGCAGCACCGTGAGGTTTATCTGTGAGGCACGTGCAAATCCAGTTCCCAATATTACCTGGGTGCACAATGGAACTCTGATTCATCCAACTTCACGTTACCACCTTTTGGGGAACAAATTGAGGGTCAGCAACATTAACACTGAAGATTCTGGGATTTTTCAGTGTGTGATGGACAATGGAGTGGGTGTCGCTTTGGCTGCAGCGAGGCTGGATGTCCAATCGGGTAAAAGCAGACAGATTTCACACCTAGACCATGAATGTGTAATTGAAAGACGTCAATAAACTTCCACAGTGTCACACAGGCATGCTCGGTGGGGACCGCTGTAATACATATATGGTCTTTGGATGCAGCTCGTGTTTTATTTAAAATATCTCAGAAAATATTAATACTTGTAATAATAATAATAATAGTAATGGCAACTCTACTGCTAAAATGATCTCAGATCAAACTATATTAAAAAATAATAGTAATAATGTTTCTGACTATACTACTAATATTACTAGTAGTGATTGTAAAATATCAGAATGTATCGTCCACCAGTAATAATCACATCTAAGACTAATTATAATTGTAATAATATCGCAGAATATACACGTACCTAATCATAGTTCAAAATATACTACTGCAAATAATAGCTCAGAATATAATAGTAATTATTATAAAATAATAATACTACTAGTGCTACTATAATACTATGTATATAAGACCATGTTACACGTATTAATAAGTAGATTTGGGCGCAGATGAAAAATTTGACATGTTCGAATAGTTTTGCCTGACAATGAAAAACCAATCGGACAAACCAAATTTTGTTTGCATATTTTTGTTGAAAACGAAATTTGGGTGAACCCATTCATTTTTTTTTTACCTTTTACTCATTGGCGGCAAAAGAGGGTTTTAAAATGGAAGCATTGGAAAGCTCCCCACCAGTTCCTTCCCTCATAGCCTCGAGGGCTTTAATAAGTCTGCATGCTTAGATCAGGAGAGTTATCACCTGAACAAAGAAACAAACAAGGGGACATATTTACTAAACATTCTACAAAACAAGTAGAATATGAATTCTCCACTCACCCTACTCATAATAATATCTCAGCATATAGTACTACTGCTAATACTAATATTATCTAAGGATATAGTACCACAAATTATAACAATTGTATAACAGCATATAGTATTACTACTCCTAATTATAATATTATCACAGTATAAAGTACTATTTATAATATATAACAGCATGTACTAATACTACTAAGAAGGATAATAATAATATTAATGGTTTAATACTACTAGTAGTTACTCTGTATTGTACATTATGTTCTGTATTAGGGGAAACTCTTGTATATAGGAATGTGCAGCCATTGGATAATTGGTTTAGAACTTCAATAACCGGTAACACAGCATTTTATTCATCTGCAGACAATGATTCCAGTCCAATTATTGTGTCACCCCCCACAAATGTTAGTGTCATTTCTGGGGACTTGGTTACATTGACCTGCAATGCTTCAGGAGTCCCAACGCCATTTATTCGCTGGTACGACGCTCATGGAATAATCAGAAGTCATCCTTCTCAAGTCCTGCGCCCAAAATCTCGAAAAGCAGCCCAATCCAGAGCTGCCGACACAACATCCAAGCAGGACCTGGTGCCACTTCTCATTTCTCAGGCTGGTTCCAGCTCATTGTCTATCCGATTTGCAACAGTACAGCATGCTGGGAAATACAAGTGTGAAGCATCCAATCAGTTTGGCTCCAGCAGTGCTGAAGCTTTTCTGAGCGTTGGTATGTCTGCTTATTAAAAATATGGAAATTTTATTTATTTTTATGGATAGAGGAATACAAAATAACTATTGCTTTCGGCAATGGTCATACCTAATTATTTGCCATTAACCTGGCGAGTGTGCTACAATATGAGCATGATACAGAGCAAAACACTTCCTTAGCATCTAGAGAGGATTAAACTAGATTACTCGAATACTGGTTGTTAATTTGATTTAGATTTACATGATACTCAGTGTTTGCACCTTTTATTTCCAGGACTGTTCTATTCATTGTCTGTAGTTGATATTTTGTAACTTTATGCAGGTTGGCTCTCATGACTATGCACCCACAGATATAACTTAGGTCCCAACAAGAATTCAGAAAGAGAGGCTCCTTGCTTTCAGTGTTAGAGGGCATTTCTCCTATTTATAAGGAACTGCTGCAGTCAGCTCAGATAAATGCAAGTCATGTATTCCGCCCATTTTAAACTATACGATGGGAATCAAATGTTTGGAGGTATGAAAATATCAAATAAATGTCCACATTAAAAAGATTAATTTGATGATTGCGATGAAACCATCCACTGCTAATGTCTAATAGATTGTTTCTTGTGAAATCATTTTAATTTAGAATGTTTTATTTGCACTTTTCAGTTCCCTATGAGACAAACACCCAACCTAGAGACCAGGAGCATGTTCAGAGTGATGAGGAGGATGATGAGTCTGCTGTTCGGACATCTACTGCCACTTCTACATCCGCAACCACAGACAAGCCACCAAACGGAGCAGCCTTACCTGAAGCCCCTATCATCCTCAGCCCTCCACAGGCCACCAAACCAGACATGTATTTCTTGGTGTGGAGATCTGGAAAGGATGGCGGTTTGCCTATTAATGCATATTTTGTTCGCTATCGCAAGGTGAGATTTTGACAGATAAATATATTAATAAAAATTACAGGGCCCCAGTACAAGAAATGAAGACCAACCCTCATCCCTACCCCAAGTGTTGGGTGGGGGATTTTGGCAAAGTGTGATGTGTGTGGGGATTACTGAGTGTGATATGTGTATGTGGGCTGGTTCAGTGTGATATGTGTGGGGGTTTGGCTGGATGGGATGTCTGTGGGATTGACTAAGTGTGATATGTGTGAGGGGCTAGGCTGGATGGGAGGTCTATGGGATTGACTAAGTATATATATGGGGTTTGGCTGGGTGGGATGTTTGTGAAATTGGCTGAGCATAATATGTGTGGCGGTTTGGCTGGATGGGCTGTCTATGGGATTGACTAGGTGTGATATGTGTGAGGGGTTTGGCTGGGTGGGATGTTTGTGAAATTGGCTGTGCATGATATGTGTGGCGGTTTGGCTGGATGGGATGTCTATGGGATTGACTAAGTGTGATATGTGTGAGGGGCTAGGCTGGATGGAATGTATATGGGATTAATTAAGTATATATGTGTGGGGGTTTGGCTGGATGGGCTGTCTATGGGATTGACTAGGTGTGATATGTGTGGGGGGTTTAGCTGGGTGAAATGTTTGTGAAATTGACAGAGTGTGATATGGGTGTGGTGTATATTGTGGGAAGATGTGTGAGTAGCTTCCTCCCATAAAAAAAAATAATTTAGAAAATGTACCCCCCTTCTGTTTACTTTTTTGTAGCACTCAGTGAATGAGTTAGAGCGTTGCCGTGGTAAAGCAGCAGCATTTACTTATTTACTGAGTGCCAGGAAGACAAGGGATGTTTAAAGTGGCCTGCGCCTGCCAGGGGTGCAGACCACATGCTTGCTAGCAGGATTTTATTATTTCATTTTTAATAGTCTTGTGTGGGCCGGCCAACAGGCAGAACTCCAGGACCCAGTCACAGCCATCACTTTGCGACCCTGATATTCCCTCCTGTGCTGCACAATTATTACTGATGCACACCCACTGTTTTTATACAGTGCGGGCATTCATTCGCAGCGTTACTATACAGAGAGTCATGTTAAAATCACCCCCTGGGTTTGAGCTCAGGGTGATGTTACAAATCTCTCCCTAAACAGTAACAATAGTACCTAATGTATGTGTAACGCTCATCTCTTCTATTTCCAGGACAGTAACATTTTAATTTATAGCATAGCATCATTTTTCACGTGTTACAAGCTTTCAGCAGAATGAACAGTCTGTTAAATATAGAACTCCCCTTTTAACTCTTTACTTCCATAGAATGTAATGCATTTTTTGTCGTTTGTATCCTGCAAACTGGTTTATTAATAGACTCTCTATAAAGGTGATACATAAAGATCTTGATCACACATCTCACAGGATGCAACGTGGGGAATCAAAATACCAGCTTTATATCTTTAAAATTATGGCACAGCAATACAGCGGTCGAACACATTAGCAGTAGAACCAATTGCACTTACGCACGGCGGTGTGTCCTTCAGTTTTTATTTAATTTCAATTTCCAAAATCTCAGAGACGTTACTGCTGCTGTGTGAAATCAAGCGGCGATATCCTATGATTTTGTGCATGTGGCCAGCAAAAGCCCAGATGTATGAAATACCTTAAAAAAACAGTCCCTTGTGGTGTTTTCCTAGGCAGTAACATGCCATGACGTACTCGGAATGATTTTCTGGGATTAGTGGAAAGGGGTCTAAAACCACCTCATAGGTCACACTTCCTGTTTAGAATAATGATTGATCCAATCTTGTATCTGTATATTTGTTTAGAAATTGTTTCATTTTAAAAAAACCTAAATTCATATAGAAAGTAGCTTCAAGAGAACATCTACCGGATATGTTGTACAGTGCTCCGGAATATGTTTTTGTATATAAATAATTTGTTCTTTTCAGTTGGATGATGAAGGAAACATGGTTGGAAACTGGAACTCCATCCGTGTACCGGCGAGTGAGAGCGAGTTTCCACTGACAGAGCTTGAGCCATCTAGTCTCTATGAAGTCCTTATGGTGGCAAGAAACGCAGCTGGCGAGGGCCAGCCAGCCATGCTTACATTCCGTACAAGCAAAGGTGAGTATTTTGGGGTGTACCAGATATAACAACTAAACAGATCTTTATTGATGTACATTTAAGATATTTTAAGAGAAGGAAATATTGAGTCCTATGATCTAACTCTTTAAGTACAAGAGATGTGATTTTACAATGATTTTGGCTCACCTCTAGTGCTCAGAGAGGTTCCAGACTGACCCATTCATTTGATTCTTGCTTTATATAGATAACTCATTATAATATATACAAAACAACATTCGAAATATAACATAAAAAACAGATACTCACATGGGAAATTCCAGCATTTGCCGAGGCCTTGCTCCATCTGCAGGAAGCTCCTCCCTGTCTGGGGTAAGACACTTCAAACAGGAGTTTTAACCCCAGGCAGGAAGTCAAACTATTACTAAATGGTTTCACTACTTACATTGTAGGGATTGCCATAATCACTATAGCCCACTATAGTGGTTATCGTGCTTGGACTATTCTCTTAGCTATAAAATCCCACAATCCCTCACACATGTAACTAGTCCTAACTATTACTTACTTTTGAAACTTAAGAACATTAAAAAAAAAGCCCACACACATTATTATTGTTGTACCTTTTCAGTGCATCTGTCATGTAATGTCACGCAGTGCAGACAGCTGTCCAGTGCACTGTAGACCAGGTTAGCTCACTGTATTGCAGCAGCCCAGCTTGATTACCGCATCTTTTGTCCTGAAATTTAACAATGGCACGAATAGCGCTTTTGATATGCTTTCTTGTCTGTGATACAGAGAGAAATTCTTCTTCCAAGAACACGCAAGCTCCGTCTCCAAGACACACCTCTCCACATGAGGGCTCCAATGCCAACTTTGGTGTGGTGACTCTGGGCACGTTCCGGCACAGTGGGGGTAAATATTGTGATCACCCATAAATCTCACTCCTCGTTATGGGATTTAACTATTTTGTTTTCTTGAAAGTGACCAAATGCTTTGCTGATTGATTGAAGGATTTTGTGACCTTGTAAGCTGCCGCACGGTTTGATTGGCAGGGAGTACAGTACGCAGTTTTGCATTTGTTTTAGGAGCAGTGATAAATATCCTTTTCATCAAAATTTATTTTGATAAGACTGCGCTAATTCCTCCTCGTACAAATAACAAATACCTGCACGAGGAAGCCTTTCCAGTAGTGTTCTAACTCCATTCTAATACTAACTGGTTATTTACTGGTTTATTTATGCAATCTTTTGTGGACCCAGGACGTACCGGTATCCATCCTGGTAAAATATTTTATAAATAAATAATTCACTAAAGTGAGAATTCAAACTGGATTCAAAGTGTATTTCAAATTTAAGGCCAGAGAACCGGAACTGAAAGCACAGCTTAAGTAAAGAATATTTACAGTGTGGCTTGTATTCGTCCATATCCCTTACTTTATATATTACAATGTGATTTCTGATAGATGTGGTGTTATCAGTCTATGTATTATATTTCAATGATTTTACTCTTAACTTCTTATTGCTAATTTATTCTCTTTCTTCTTTTCAATTCTTTGCTTTCCAAGTGACCTGTGTAAGTATTTGCTAAAGATTTTTTATTTTAATACTTTTATGCTGTCCTACACCATACCTACATGTACACTATAATTCATTATACAATACCTACACCTATACTATAATTCATTATACAATACATACATGTACACTATAATTTACTATATAATACCTATATGTACACAATAATTCATTATAAAATACTTATACCTATACTATAATTCATTATACAATACCTACACCTATACTATAATTCATTATACAATACATACATGTACACTATAATTTACTATATCATACCTACATGTACACTATAATTCATTATACAATACCTACACCTATACTATAATTAATTATACAATACGTACATGTACACTATAATTTACTATATCATACCTACATGTACACTATAATTCATTATACAATACTTACACCTATACTATAATTTACTATACCATACCTGCATGTACACTTTGATTTATTATACAATACTATACTATCATTTACTATACCATACCTTAACCTATGCTATAATTTATTATACAATAAGTACACCTATACAATAATTTACTATATCATACCTACATGTACACTATAATTTATTATACAATATCTACACCTATACAATAATTTACTATACCATACCTACATGTACACTATAATTTATTATACAATACTGAAACCTATACTTTACTATACCATAACTACATCTATGCTATAATTTACTATACCATACCTTCATGTACACTATATTTAATATACAATACCGAAACCTATACTATAATTTACTATACCATACCTTGACCTATGCTATAATTTATTATGCAATACCTACACCTATGCTATGATTTACTATACAATACCTTGACCTATACTATACTTTACTATACCATATCTTCACCTACACTGTACTTGCTATACCATACCTACATCTACACTGTACTTACTATACCATACCTTCACCTATACTATAATTTAATATACCATACCTATGCTATAATTTATTATACAATACCTTCACCTAAACTATAATTTACTATACAATACAAACCTATAATATAATTTACTATATCTTATCTACATCTATACCATAATTTACTATATCATACCTACACCTATACTATAATTTATTATACCATACCTACACCTACACTGTACTTACTACACCACACCTACACATATACTATACTTAACTTCCCCTATACTATCATTTACTATACCATACCTTCACCTATACGATCATTTACTATACCATACCTTCACCTATACTGTACTTACTATACCATACCTTCACCTATACTATAATTTACTACAACATATCTACACCTATACTATAATTTACTACAACATATCTACACTAGTGATGTCGCGAACTTGCCGCGAACGGTTCGCCATGAACCATTCATGGCGAACTCTGGTCAGCTTACACATCCCTGCCAATCTCCGGCAGACCCTCCCTCCCAGACCCTCCTACTTCCTGGACAGCATCCATGTTGAAGGCAGCTTCAACATGGATGCTGTACAGGAGGTGGGAGGGTCTAGGAGGGAGGGTCTGCCGGAGATTGGCAGGGATGTGTCAGCTGACCGGAGTTCGCCGTGAACGGTTCGTGGCGAACCGTTCGCGGCAAGTTCGCGAACGGTTCGCGGAAAGTTCGCAAACGGTTCGCGAAATCACTAATCTACACCTATACTATAATTTACTCTACCATACCTAAACCTATACTATACTTTACTATACCATACCTATGCCTATCCTATAATTTACTATACCATACCTATGCCTATCCTATAATTTACTATACCATACCTATGCCTATACTATACTTTACTATACCATACCTAAACCTATACTATACTTTACTATACCATACCTATGCCTATACTATAATTTACTATACCATACCTACGTCTATACTTTACTATGCCAGGGGGTATTGGGTTAAATCCTTTTTTACTATTCAAACAGCAGCAAAAGGAGAAAAAATAGTAAAATGCAAACAAACTTGAAAAAAGAACTTGGTGACAACAGGTATAATATATCCACCAATCACAGAAGAGCATAGTCTATATAAAGAAACACCAAAGTCCTCTTTTTTTGACTGCGACCATCAATACGAAAATATAATAAAGAAGAACAAGAACACAAGGTACCAAAACCAAAATAAATCTTGTAGAAAGAAGGAAATATTCATGAAGAATAGGCAAGGACATATTTGGCAGAAATAGCTGATCAATACTCATTAATAGTCTGTGTGTATATATATATATACTTTACCTTGTTCTAGAAGTGTGATGAAAAATTCATGATTATAGGAATAGAGTCATGGATCCAAAAGACCTCTCCAAGCACCAGTCAGACCAAGATTTCCAGGCTGATCGATAATTGACTTTGGTGCCTTGTGCACATGCTTCTGATAAGATGTCTTGCGTCGATTGTGAAAACGCTTTGTTGTCGCGGTTGGCGGTATGGAGACATGATGATGATAGGAGTCAACCTCGGGGAAATGAACAAACAGGGCCTGGTGCAGGGTAACCACAGGCCCCCTGGTGTTGAGCACCAGGGTTTGTGTGGCCACATACCAGGGCCCTGATGTAGCTTTTGTGGATCCCAGAAGCTAGGAGAAAATATGCAGACCTCCCAGGATCTGGATAGGGAGGCTCTGCAGCAGATATGTATCCAGTACTAGAACCAAGGCAAGACTGGAACAGACACCAAACAAGATAAGACTAGATGAACCCAGAACCGGAGCAGGACAGAAAGCAGAGTCGAGAACATGTACACAAGACATGAGGGAAACCAGAACAAGGCATGGACAGGACAGGACTGTACATGAACTGGGAAAACAAAATAAAACAAGACAAGAGATACAAGGCAAAACAAGAGGAGACATAACAAAGTACTAATATGTGTAATAAACACTGGAGATTTAGACATGCATAAATGGCCAAGATGTATGCAACCCACCACTGCACCAAAGAACTCCAATTACGGTGGGTCCTAACTGCCTAGATATGCATGACTAAATAAACCATAATAAAACACACACAGCACTTACCTGCAACCACTGTCTGCAGGACCAGACTGAAATAAAAAGGATTAATGGCAAAGGAACGGGTGTGGCAACAAAAAAACAAACATTTAAAGGAATCCAAAAGACTGGGAATTCCAGGAACGGAATAAAGGAATGAACCCAGAAAATCCAGCATAAAGAAAACCAGACATAGAATAAAAAAACAGAAAAACTAAACAAGAATTGTAAAAAGTGTACTGGATACCAGAAGCCATCGCCATAGCTGATCCGCAGCAGGAACAGGACGTGACAGTTGTGAATTGAAGATTTCCCGAAGCTAGCCAAGCAACAAGAGTTAATTGATGCTCCAGAATCAAAGGATGATATTCCCCATTGGGATTCAATACAAGATCCTCCTGGAATTGTAGGATTTGAGGAAAATTCACGAGAAGTAGTTCCAGGAGATTTGTAAACCACAGTTGAGTTGGCCATAATCGTGTTATCAAAACTAGGGCAGCCACTTGAAGTTCTTTCTGAAATTGCACTCTCTGAACGATTGTGAAAGGAAGAAACGTGTAATGTTGTCATAATTGCCATGCCCAGAATAAATAAAATAATTTCTCAAAAAGACATAAATAAATTGGTTGCATAGCTTGGTGCATATCTGGTCCTCATATCTGTACCCCTTAATTGCAAAGAAAAATCCTCCTTCAAACCATGGGGGCCAGGTTTGCACCAAGCTATGACAATTTCTGATCTATATCTGTGCCAGTATAATTTCCAGTATAATCTATACACTTTTACTTTACTATACCATACTTAGCCCAATACTTTAATTTACAATACCATACCTGTATCTATACTTTATTTTACTATACCTTTGCTATACCTATACATAACAGAGTATTTTGGCTGTGACATTTAGTTTGCTTGTCATAACAGAATGTGTAGGCCGCTGTGGTAATCCCTCTAAAGAGTGACAGCAGTGGTAATGGTCTATGCCTTAGAACTGGTAAACCTAGATTGGAGTCCCACTACTATAATGATAGGCTTTCTTTACCTCTAAAAGAGACACTTCTCTGCATGTGACTTACACAGTCTTCCTAAACACTCCCTGTAAAAAGTAATCTACACTTCCTTTATAGCACAGTCTGTTTAATTTAGAATTTCTGCAGGAGACAAAAACTTTGTCTGATTGAAAATGAAACCATTTTGTTTTCATGCAGGCTGTGTCAGTCACTGCCAGGGGAGGTGTGGCTAGGGCTGCATAAACAGAAACAAAAGTGATTTAACTCCTAATGGCAGGGAGTTGCTCAGTGAGACTTCAGAGGCATGATCTATACACTAAAACTGCTTCATTAAGCTAAAGTTTTGTTGACTATAGTGTGCCTTTAAATAGAAATGCTTTACACTGGTAAATGCTTTTCTTTCCCTAGTCCCAGAAGCGCCAGATCGACCCACTATTTCTACTGCTTCAGAAACATCTGTATATGTCACTTGGATACCCAGAGCAAATGGCGGTTCCCCCATAACCTCATTTAAAGTGGAGTACAAGCGGGCAGGAAAGAACTGGCTTACAGCAGCTGAGCATATCCCCCCATCAAAGCTCTCGGTTGAGGTCTCTGAGCTGGAACCAGGTTTGTTACAAAAATGGCATTGTTCTATACATATTCGACCTCATTAAAACATAACTGCTAATTATATATATATATATTACAAAACATTATACATGCACACCCATCAAGTCTCAAGCACTTATTTTGATTGGTTTACAAAGTCTAAGGAAAATCCGGAGAGTGAGCTTATAATTTAAATCAGGGCTGTCCATTAGCTAGATCCCAGATGTTGTAGAATGACAACTCCCATGATGCTTTGCATGTATTTAGAATGTCAACACATAATGGGAGTTGTAGTGTATTCTCTGGAATACAATCTACGGAATTTCCTGGTTAATGAAACGTCTTGTCATATGCTGTTCAGGCTACCATCACCGCACAGTGACATCAGGTCCTTTGTTTACTAACTAATTGTCTCTTTAATGATAATTAACACTGCACAGTTATAAATCTATCCTTTATCCAATTCTGATGTTCATAGACTCTTCTGCTCATACTGCTGTAGTAGAACATTGCATTTAATAAGTTTCTGTTTGTTCTCGTAGGATCTGTGTATAAATTCCGAGTCATTGCAATAAACCACTATGGGGAGAGTCAGCGAAGCACTGTGTCACGGCCTTACCAAGTCGCCGGATATAGCAACCATGTTTCAAATCCATTGATTGTTGGTCCGCGTATCGACCACACAGAGGCTGTGACTGATACACAGATACTGCTAAAATGGACAGTAAGTCTGTTTTATGTTCTCTTGTATATGAATTATGTACATGTATAGCCCTTGTGCTTCTCCAGTGAATATATGAATACCAATAAATGAGAGCACTCATTATATATATATATATATATATATATATATATACATATTAATGTATGCATGTTTGTTTCTATGTATTTATTTGATGTATATTTAAAGCTGATAGAAGCTCAATATCTCCACCTTAACTCCCAGCATTGGGGCTAAATTAAAGACAGCAGCCAGAAATAGAATGTGACTCCCACTCATCCCAGGCAACCCTTGTGCTCCCGTGAAACCCTAACCCTAATTAAACAATGTAATATAAAACCTATATATTGATGACACTTGTACTATGGCAAAATAATGACATCTTGGGGTTCTGAAGAACGATCTTCAGTTTTGTGGTTTATTATAAACACTTCAATGCCTTTACTTTCTCATAATACACTCGGCTCCATAATGTATTTTGTTATATCGAATGATTTATTTTACAGTTGAGGTTAAGGTTCTTAACTATATGCTCTATATGAAAGTAGAAAGAGATGAGTGAATGGCGCTTACACAATAAAATCAGATAGAATAAGTACAGAAACAGTGGTGGAATGATAAGTGTTCCCCAACACCTCAAGCACAAAATCTGAAATGTAGGCACTGAATAAACAAATGCCAAAAACCACACACCACTCTCTGTGTCCCAGATAGTAAATATATACAATACTTATATATATACAGGTGTATATTGCTGGTATTCCATATAGTTGGATCCTATAATAATAAAAAACAATACACAGTATAGACTGTATATATAAAATAGAAAATAAAAATAAATGAATCCACTCACGGATTGCAGAGCCGTGCCAGGCTCTGTATATAATGCCCAAGGGTGCCTCAATAGGCTAAATGCAGAAACTCCACGATATCCCTCAGAATCAGGAGAAGCAGCAAATGATGGTGAAAGATGAACAAATTTATTTTAAATAAAAATATAAAAAAAAAAAACTGTGTAAGTTGTATATAGTAATACACAGAATGATAATAATGCAGACGCGTTTCAACTCAGCCAGAGTTTTCCTCAGTGCACTTTCACCATCATTTGCTGCTTCTCCTGATTCTGAGGGATATCGTGGAGTTTCTGCGTTTAGCCTATTGAGGCACCCTTGGGCATTATATACAGAGCCTGGCACGGCTCTGCAATCCGTGAGTGGATTCATTTATTTTTATTTTCTATTTTATATATACAGTCTATACTGTGTATTGTTTTTTATTATTATAGGATCCAACTATATGGAATACCAGCAATATACACCTGTGTATATATATATATATAAGTATTGTATATATTTACTATCTGGGACACAGAGAGTGGTGTGTGGTTTTTGACATTTGTTTATTCAGTGCCTACATTTCAGATTATATGCTCTATATGTTTATAAATGTGTGTGCAAGTAATGTATTTAAATAAGTGATATATATTTATATATAGACATATAAATATATACTGTGTGCTTATCAGTAACCTTCCTGGGGCAAAAAAGAAAACACAGTTTTTAATGACTATGTCTTTCTTGTTTTTACTTAAGTACATTCCTGCCAACAACAACAACACGCCCATCCAGGGTTTTTATATTTATTATCGCCCTACTGACAGCGACAATGACAGCGATTACAAGAGGGACATTGTAGCAGGTGAGTTTGGCTTCATGAGGGAAAAGTTTTGTTTCAGTCTATTCTGATATCGAATATTTTTATTTAATGAGATTCTCTGCCCATCACTGCTCTTTTACCTTGGAAACACTTACCACACGGAAAGTTGGACATGTTAGATTCACAATTTATTAACTTAGATTGGCGAAGGAAACCACAAAAGAATGGGTTCTTCTTGTGATATGATTTATGGACTTATGAAACTCATACATTACACAACTCAGGCAGACCTGCCTCACTTTCTATGAAACCAACACTATTAGGCAACTGTCTGGTTAATCCACTAATCTACGTGGCTCCAGAGAGTCAGACAGATCCTGCTGTTCTAGCTCAATGGCAAGGACAAGATCCAAGCCATCAACACATATGCCCAACCAGTCATCAGGTACCCAGCTGGAATAATAACATTAACCTGGGCAAGGGAAGGACTGGTCACCATGGATGTCAAAACTCACTAATGAATGGAGAATTCCACCCAAAATCCAGCACCCAGAGACTGTACACCAGCCAGAAGGAATGAGGTCAGGCCTGATGAGTGTCAATGCCACAGTTTTCATGAAGATGGTGCCCAAAGACGAACTGCTAAGGGAATGCCTGAGACAACAGAGGATACAGAAAGGAGAGGATTCCTTGGCAAGACAAACCTCTCAATGTGGTGTACCACTTCCAGATAGTGGATGTGTCTCAAATTACAAAATCCTACCAGTGGTTGGAAAAGGCAAGACTGAAAGACCACACAGAGAAGCTAATCACAACAGCCTAGGAACAAACACTCAGTACCAGATCAATAGAAGCAAGGGTCTTCCACATTAGGCAGGATCCAATGCGCAGACTGTGCAAAAAGGGGTCTGAGATAATCCAGCACATAGCAGCTGGGTGCAAGATTTTAGCAGGGGCAGCGTACACTGTGAGGCACAACCAAGTTGCTGGGATTGTGTTGGTAATATATAGATTGTGTATATAATATCTGCACCGACTATTTGCTGGACCTTCCTAAGTCCAGATGTGAGATACCGCAAAGAGTAGTTGAGAATGACAGGGCTAAAATCCTGTGGGGCATACAAGCAAGTAGTGGCCAACTAACATGACATTGTGGTGGTAGACCAGGTACGGAAGACTTGAGTGGTGGTGGATGTGGCAATACCCAGTGACTATAACATGAAGGAACATGAGAAGATGGGCAAATACCAAATACTGAAAGAGGGGCTAGAAATGATGTGGAAAGTGAAGGCAGTAGTAGTCCAGATTGTGATAGGAACACTCTGGGCTGTAACCTCCATGTTGGGGAAGAGGCTTCTACAGATTACAGGTGTGACATCTGAGATAACTGTCCAGAAGAGTAGAGTTCTAGGAACAGTTAAGATACTGCACACGACCCTCAGGAGGGATGAGAAAAAAATAATCTATAGACACTGATCAGCCACAACAACCTGCCTAATATCATGCGCTGCCAAAGCAGCTCTGATGCGTCAAGACATGGACTCCACCACACCTCTACATGTGTTCTCTGGTATCTGTCACCTAGACATTAGCAGGAAATCATTTAAGTCCTGCAAAGTGGTGCTTCTATGGATCACATATGCTCAGTCAGATTGATAATTTGGAGGCCAAGACAACACCTTGAACTCTTTGTCATGTTCCCCAACCATTCCTGAACATTTTTTGCAGTGTGGCATTGTGTATTACCATGCTATAAGAGGCCACTGTAATCGGGGGACACCATTGCCCTGAAGGGTTGTACATAGCCTGCAACAATCTCTAGGTAGGTGATATGTTTCAAAGTAACATCCACATGAATGCCAGGACCCAAGGTTTCCCAGCAGAGCATTGTCCAGAGCATAGCACTGCCTCTGTTGGCCTGCCGTCTTCCCATAGTACATTATGCTGCCATCTCTCCCCCAGGTTAATGATGCACATGCACCCAGCCATCCACCTGATCTAAAAGAATATATGATTCATCAGACCAGACAACCTTCTTCCATTGCTCCATTTTCCAGTTCTGACGCTCTCGTCCACATTGAAAGCACTTTCGGTGGTGGACAAATGTCATCATGGGCACTCTGACCTGTCTGCGGTTATGCAGCCACATACACAGCCAACTACGATGCACTGTGTATTCTGATATCTTTCTATCTTAGCATTAAGTTATTAAGTAATTTGAGGTTCTGTGTAATTGGACCAGACAGGAAAGCCTTCACTCACCATTTTAGAAAATTGATAAACATTTAATTAAGAACAATAAACATTAATTATAAGCATGATGTTAATAAAAAATATATATCTTTTTCAAGCAGGCACAAAGCATCGCCATTTAATACGAGATTTGCTTCCTGAGACATCTTATGACATTAAGATGCAATGTTACAATGAGCGAGGGGCAAGTGATTTCAGTAACGTCATGATCTGTGAAACAAAAGGTAAAAAATATTGCAAGTGTGATCCTGTTAGACAAAAGTATTACCTTTCTTAGATGTATTATGTATGCCTTGTGTTCCCCCTATTCCCCATTCTCTCTAGATTGTAAGCTTGTGAGCCGAGCTCTATCTACAGCTTGTGTTCCCCCTATTCCCCATTCTCTCCAGATTGTAAGCTTGTGAGCCGAGCTCTATCTACAGCTTGTGTTTCCCCTGTCCCCCATTCCCTCTAGATTGTAAGCTTGTGAGCCGAGCTCTATCTACACCTTGTGCTTGCCCTGTCCCTCATTCCCTCTAGATTGTAAGTGTGGGTGCCATTCTCCCTCTATACCTTGTTTTTTTCTCATGATCCATTTCCTCTAGATTGTAAACATGTCAGTTGAGCTTTCTCTATACCTTGTGTTTCATTGTCTCTCTATTCCCTCTAGAATAGATTGTAAGTTTGTTAGCCAAGCTTTATCTATAACATGTATTTCCACTGTCCCCCAATCTCTTTAGATTGTTAGCATAGGAGCATAGCTCTTTCTACACCTTGTGCTTCTCCCGTCCCTCATTACCTCTAGAGTGTAAGCGTGTGAGCTGTTCTCCCTCTATACCTTGTGTTTCCCCTGACCCCATTCCCTCTAGACTGTAAGCTTGCGAGCCATTCTTCCTCTATACCTTGTGTTTCCCCTGACCCCATTCCCTCTAGATTGTAAGCTTGTGAGACATTCTTCCTCTATACCTCGTGTTTCCTCTGACCCCATTCCCTCTAGATTGTAAGCTTGTGAGACATTCTTCCTCTATACCTTGTTTCCCTGTCCCCCATTCCCTCTAGATTGTAAACTTGTGAGTCAAGCTCTCTATATCTTTTTTTTTCCTTGTCCCCCATTCCCTCTAGCTTGTAAGCTTGTGAGCAGAGATCTCTATACCTTGTGTTTCCTCAGGATCCATTTCCTCAGGATCGTAAGCTTGTCAGCCGAGCTTTCGCTATACCTTGTGTTTCCTTGTCTCTCTATTCCCTCTAGATTGTAAGTTTGTGAACCTAGCTTTCTCTATACCATGTATTTCCCCTGTCCCCCCATTCTCTCTAGATTGTAAGTTTATGAGCCGAGCTCTCTCTTTACCTTGTGTTTCCACTGTTGCCCATACCTTCTAGATTGTAAGCCTGTGAGCCTTTCTCCCTCTATACTTTGTTTTTCCCCTTACCCCATACTCTCTAGATTGTAAGCTTCTGAACCAAGCTCTCTCTACACCTTCTGTTTCATTGTCTCTCTGTTCCCTCTAGATTGTTAGCTTGTGAGCCTTTCTCCCTCTATACCTTGTTTTTCCCCTTACCCCATACTCTCTAGAATGTAAGCTTCTGAACCAAGCTCTCTCTACACCTTGTGTTTCATTGTCTCTCTGTTCCCTCTAGATTGTAAGCTTGGGAGCCTTTCTCCATCTATACCTTGTTTTTCCCCTTACCACATACTCTCTAGACTGTAAGCTTCTGAACCAAGCTCTCTCTACACCTTGTGTTTCATTGTCTCTCTGTTCCCTCTAGATTGTTAGCTTGCAAGCTGAGTTCTCTCTGTACCTTTCTAGATTGTAAGTTTGTGAGCTGAGCTCTCTCTGAACCCTGTGTTTCCCCTGTCCCCCCGCCCCCTCCCCCCCGTAAAATAATACAATTTTCATGTCTGCATTAATTAAAAATCTACTTTCTCTGTCTTGTAGCCAGGAGGAATCCCGGAGCTTCAGAATATACAGTTTTAGATTTCAGCACGCCATCAACAGTGGAACATGCTGCGGGCAGCAGCTCCAGTTCATCTAACTCCCTGACACGAAGCGGTGACATGCTCTATGTGATAGTGGGCTGTGTACTTGGTGGAATGGTGCTCATCCTCATGGCCTTCATTGCAATGTGCCTTCTGAAGCATCGGCAACAAAGTCTTATGCAGAGTAAGTAGCTAAATACAGGGAAAGACAGATACAAATATCAACAGATATTCAATGGCGGATGGACAGACAAGAGACAGATTGATAAAACAGACATATATATCGATAGATTGTTGCGAAAAATAAGTCAGACAGATAGACAGACAAATAGTTATTGTATGTATGTTATTATAAACTGCTCAACTGTATTTAACATTTCTCTTTATTTGCTTTTTCTTTGTGTTTAGAGTTTGAGCCCCCCGGATATTTGTACCAAGGAGCAGATCTAAATGGACAAATTATAGAGTATACTGCCTTAGCAGGAACAAATCATGTTAACGGCAATGCTCACAGTGGTTTCATGGGAAATGGAAACATCAGTAATATATGTCACCATATCCATCCCTATGTCAATGGTGGTACCAGCGGCGTTATGAATGGGGACATTTGTCCTGGCTGCACCAGCTCTCTGAAGGCAAAGTACATTGAGAACCTGTCACAACATCTTACCAATGTGAGGCTCTAATTCTCTCAAGTTTTGTGCTTGCATGGGGCTTGTAGGCCACGAGCAGTGGAGGCATAGATTTAGAACTTTGCGTGTGAATCTCTGCATGTGCGTGTGAAGTGCATGGAGTACTAACAATATGTAAATATGTTGGGTCTCACTCTTAAAATCTTATTAACTGGTGGATCATTTTATATTTTTATTTTATATTTGGTTTTATTTATTTTTATTTTTGGTTGTGAAGAAGATACAGGAGCCAATAAAACGTAGATTAGCTGCTCAAACGCAAGCACACATTTAAAAGGCATGAGAAAAATAGAACATGATGTAATCAAGTAGCTGCAGAATTTTAGAAAATCATAATGAAGAAATAAACGTCAGTGATTAAAGTTTCATAAGAGTATAAGTCACCCAGAGGCAGCGAAATTTAATGTGGCAGAATATGGAAAACAGCAATTCTTAGTAATAGATAAAGACGGGGTAGCGGGAACTTTGACCATTTCAGGGAAGGTGATCTCTGGGAGGGCATGATTGGTACGGGGATGGGGGGTGTGCCACCGTTTGCTGGTTGTTCCCAGCCTGTTGATGACAGACAACAAACATGCGAAGAACTGAGCTTAACCAGCCTGGAACCAGCCAGGACATTGCCAGACGTGGAGTTACACCTTAGGCAGATAAAAGGTTAACTCTGAATGTGCAGAGAATGTCATAGCATTCACAAAATGATATTCTCCATTGACTTGCTGTAGTACAATAATTTTTATATTTTCAGGGTGGTGTCCTGTACACAGCAATCCCCCAAACAGATCCAAATGACTGCATTAACTGTCGAAACTGCTGCAATAACAACAGGTCAGTCACTAGACATTAGAGCAAATATTGTGCATACTCTTCCTGCCCCTCTATTACCCCTCATCCTGCCCTTCTGTTACTCCTTTTCCTGCTCCTCTGTTACTCCTTTTCCTGCCCCTCTGTTACTCCTCTTCCTGCCCCTCTGCTACTCCTTTTCCTGCTCCTCTGTTACTCCTTTTCCTGCCCCTCTGTTACTCATCTTCCTGCCCCTCTGCTACTCCTTTTCCTGCTCCTCTGCTACTCCTTTTCCTGCTCCTCTGTTACTCCTCTGCCTGCCCCTCTGCTACTCCTCTGCCTGCCCCTCTGCTACTCTTCTTCCTGCCCCTCTGTTACTCCTCTTCCTGCTACTCTGTTACTCCTCTTCTTGCTACTCTGTTACTCCTCTTCTTGCTACTCTGTTACTCCTCTTTCTCCCCCTCTGTTACTCCTCTTTCTCCCCCTCTGTTACTCCTCTTCCTGCTACTCTGTTACTCCTCTTCCTGCCCCTCTGCTACTCCTCTTCCTGCTACTCTGTTATTCCTCTTCTTGGTACTCTGTTACTCCTCTTTCTCCCCCTCTGTTACTCCTCTTCCTGCCCCTCTGTTACTCCTCTTCCTCCCCCTCTGTTACTCCTCTTCCTCCCCCTCTGTTACTCCTCTTCCTGCTCCCCTCAGTTACTCCTCTTATTGCCCCTCTCTTCCTCCCCCCCCCCTGTTACTCCTCTTCCTGCCCCTCTCTCCCTTTAATGTTTTAGATAAACTAGAATAATTGCTCTAACTAAAATTAACTTGGTGATGATGGAGTGTGATTTATATTTTTTTGGCATCATATCCATTGTATCTGAAATAAACTATTAAGAGATAATCTAAACCCATCCCAACCATTCCCCCCTCCTCCGTACCTACCAATGGCTGTGTACCTGGCCGTGAACTTTGTGGAATTGCTCAGTAATTATTATGTTCCACAAACAGATGTTTCACCAAATCCAATGCACCCTACAATTGCGTGAACGCATTGCCCGTCGTACCTACATTCCTAGAGGACAGCTTGGAAGCTCCAGCCCAAAACTTTGACGTGACTGCTTCATGTCTGTCCTCCTGTGAGGCAGAAGATGTTGGAGAAATCACTGAAAACCAATCTCCAAATTCTCAATGTCCTTCAACCCAAGAGGAAGATGAAAATACCTTATGCCACAAAGGTGAGAGCAAGTGGAAAAGTGGGTGCAATGAACCCATATATTCTTCACTGTTGATGTATATATGAAATGGGGATTATGTGAATTATGGAATATTGCCAATCCGCATAGTTGTAAAATTTGAGTTGTTCAACCTAAAACGTGTCTTGTTTTGACAAGTCATGGTTTAGTGAACACATTTATACAAGTGATAATTAGTGGGGGGAGGATGGGGTCTAATTGTTGTCACTTTAATTTCATGTAATAGTTCCATTTAGATGTAAGTTAAAGTGAATTTGATCAAAGCCTATATTTTACAGTTCATTGTACACTGGAATTCTCCTTAGTGAATCCACATATTAAAATATTCAGTATGCATCATCTAGATATCCCACAATGTTCTATCAGGGTTATTCACTGAAGTGAGAATTGTGATGGGGATGCAAAGTGAATTTCAAAAAGGAGGCCAAAATAGCCAACATGTAAACATTATCCAAGTTAATTCTGTATTCAGTTTGGCTACTTTGGCCTTAAATTTGCCATTCAGTTTGAATTCACTGACATGTTGGTGAATAACCCTGTAAATGTCATCAAGAACATTCATCTTTGGTCTTAGATCTGTGTGATCTACTACATATAATATTGAGGTGACAGATTCAAGATAAAGATGTATTCCAGCAGTAAAAACATTTACTTTTTATGGAGATGCAGACATCTTCCACAATAAAAAGGGGAAATCTACTGTTTTTAATATGTTGATTAAACCTGTTTGAATATGAATGTTTTAATTTGTTCTGAATTCCATTGTAAACTTAAGTATGTAATGTGTGTGTTTCATGTTGGCACTTTTTACCTTTCTAAGATTAATTTGTGCTAATAAATCTCAAAAGACTTTATAAAATACTGCAAAAGTAGCCTCAACGGTCCCCCATGGCATTCGTGGAGTCCAACAGTTCTATGAGATGCAAAATCATCATATGGGCGAGGCAAGAAGTAGTTGTAAAAAAACATAACTTTAAATGCATAAATGTTCTGGTCTTTCTCATAATTTCCTCTTCTTTAGTTGTAGAATCTTGAAAATTGTCACATGATTTATGGCTCAAACACACAGAATAAGATAGACATTCATTATTTTTAGGCTTAATAATTAATGAAGAAAACGGTCTTCTATATTTTGCAGGTGAAGATTGTCCCAACACAGTTGTCAGTTCTTCATCTATAACATGGACTCCGCTCAGCCTGACTGCTTTCTCGAAAGATTGCAGTGAGAAGCCAGACTGGACTACAACCGATATCACACTTTCTGGCTGCACGGCTGATCAAGCAGCGCTGTAGCATCCCTGGGATAAAGGAGTCCAATTTATCTGCAATTCAAAACGGTCATATGTAGAGACTGGCACGGAGAGAAATTCATTTTCAGCTTGGTGGGCATTGTCTACAGTTGAATATTCTTTGCTACTGATGATTACTGAAACATCAATGTGTCAGTGACGATTTTTATCAATATTCACTAAAGTATTAGAGTGTCAGAAAAAATCCTGGATTTTGGGGATGTTAGCCAGATTTTTCTTAGCGATGTCTCATTGCTTGGTGATTAGCAGATCGCTACATGAACGGTAGGATTAGTGGCCTGCTAAGACTTGCTCTCTGGTCTTAAAAAAGATTTCTGGTCTTAATAAAGATCCTGCATTAGAACCTTGTAAAGGTTTAACACTCAAACTCTGGCATAGATTTGGCATTTAATGAGCTGTATTTCATTCAATAATATCACTATTTATTTTTATAGTAGTCCTAGGTATATGAATATATTGTTATAAAATATTTTCTTTTTTTATTATTTATACCTTAAAACAGGTAGCATAAAAAAAAAAAATCATTGTCCGTTTTAAAACGTGCCCACAATGTCTTTCTTCCCACTATGAATAACCTTACACATTTTCCTTACAGCAATGGGATGAAGATATTACCCCCACTATGCTATATAATTTATTTTATTAAAGATAGGCAGGAGATGTGAATAATGTCAATTGAAAAGTCCCTTTTAATTTAATTTGAAACCAACAATATTTATATCTGATTTTACCTAACTCAATATTAAATTGTCATTCTCCTCTAAATTACTCATGTAATGGACCCAAGTGGTGCAAAATGAGTTTTTATTAGTCACAAAAGCAATTTCTATCCTAGTATTTGTTGCATTTGACTCTAACTGATCAAATTGTGAAGAGTTTATGTAGCAGTATAGGGAAGTATGATTAAAATCAGGGTGAAATATACATAATCCAGATTTAACCAATGAGAATGTTGCTTTCAAAGATCCTGTTGTAAGATGTTGAAATCTTGCAACTTTCTCCGTATATTCATATTTTATAATGATTTCTAACATAAAACATTTATTTACTTAAAAGCCAACTTAGAGGATATTAGTTTGTTCAGTTTAGATGAAAATACAACCAAATGTGAAAACGCTTTTAACATTTCGAGATTCTGAGTCTCTAATATTATGTTTTGCAAAGGAAAGCATAGATTCACCAGGATTCTATAGGAAAGGTAAGGAGTTACATTTGCTTAGTGGTCAGCGAAAAACAATCAACGGTCCAATAAAAATAGTCCTCTGACCCTCTACACCTAGAGCCTTTAATACTGTTGCAGAAGAGGCAATTACAGACTCTGCAAGTAGTTTTTTTTAGTGTAATTAATCGTATTGATACTGTTTTAAGTGTCCTATTTTATTATTTATAAAGAAATTCTATTAGCCTGGCAGTTTGATGTCCATATATTGATGTAAAGGAGACTGCTAGGAACATGTTTTCCGCTGAAGCCAGCAATGGGTTTAAGAATGATGTAACGAAAAATCCCTGGTCACCCTGATGATAAATGAGTTGAAAGGGTTTAAAGAAACCGCTAACTCATGGAGGTCTTAGTGTTGACATAACGCTACATTTTGTAGGACTCAGCAGAGTGACACAAAGCATTCGTTGAAATTTTCTTGTTATTACATTATATAAATTACATACTGTGTTTTTGGTTTTTTTGGGGGGACCAGATCTAAAAACACATAAGACGCCATGTATGCCAATCATTTTGGACCCGCATCATTAATGGATGGCAGTACCAGCTTTACATTTAGATGCCGGCAAAGTATTCTGTGTACACATTTCTAGTCCTTCGTAACAATCTATATGTTCATCTCACTGAAACAGATTCTTACTGTTTCTTAGACTAGATGACTCATTGACTGATACATGTATTGTCTTCTGTTCTCTCCAACTGGGATATACAAATTTTGCACTTTTCTTTAATTACATTTTTTTTTTTTTTTGTCATTTAAATTCTGCTCAGATTTGACTTTTTTTTCCTCAGACAACAAATTCTCACCATCTTTTTCCTTAACCTATTGAGCAGTAGTGCTTCCCGGGAGTCTTTTTAATCAATATACAGAGTCCGAGGTTCAGTCAAAACCACTTGGCCAATCTTTCTGCCTTTTCCATATTCTTGTCTTGTGTCAAGGATTGCCCAGTATCTGCCATGTGTGTCTCTATACTGAGCAGGGAGTGGACTTGTAGAAGATATTGATTTTGTCAACCCCATCTCTTTTTAACATGAAGACTTATTGTTTTAGGTAGTCATGGAACTTCACACTGGCAATTTTTGATCACATGATCTTATGAATATCCTTCACTCTTAATTTTACCTTCCTTTCATCTGCCAGAAAATATGGGTATATTTGCTCATTATAAATGTTTCATGTTACAGAGTAAATTCTTATCTGATGCAATTTTCATTTCTTGTCATAGAAATATATACTTTATTTTCCTATGAAAATAAAAAAAAAAGTTGTAATTTTTTTTTGTTTTTATTTTAATTGTACATAATGTTAAATGATGTAGTATTTGTTTTTTGCCAGGAGTTCAACTTTTCGGTTATTTTGTGAAATAATGTTATTAAACAGATGCTTAATATAAAAGTATTTGTATAAATATTTATTTATTTCTGGTTTTGAGTTACTAAATGGTCAGCAGTTAATGATAAGAATGCTCTATGTTCCATCATTTTATTTAAATTGTAAAAATATGTAAAAATCACGTTTTTCTGTCTGATAAATCTGAAAAATCTTTTGAATAGGGTGCACTGTATCACTCTCAGCAGCAAGACTGGTACTGCTAAAAGTGCATATGCTTTTGTGATCTTGGTTTGCAGAATTTTTGTTCCAGTTTAGTTGAGTTACTAGAATCAAAGAACATTCTTAACCAAGTTTGTGAAACTTCTCTGACTGTTTTCAAGAGTGATAAACATTGCTTGCAACCAAACATACATACATAGTCCTGCACCCACAAGAAAAAACTGATTATTTGCAACCTACAAACAAAAGGTTTTGATAAATGGCACCTCACATACTGATATTAAAAGCTTTCTTGTCAAGGTGAAAAGTAGGTGGTTTGCAAGACCTTGTCAACCACAAATTATTTGCTATCAAGTTATTACCTGAAATAGAAACCCGAAGATTGAATCCTTCTCCAAGGCATGGTGATCAAGAATGGATTGTGCGGCTGATCAGTTGGCCAACATACCTCCAAATGATGTGCACAGTGTCTCAAATTGTAAAGTGTGTAAATGCTGCAGATCTGTGCCTTCACTTCGAAGCAGTGTAGATGTACCTACAAACACTCATGGCTTTCACTTTAACAATACCAAAGAATGAAAGCTTTTTAAAAGAGTTTAAAAAATTGCAATGTAGACTTGGGCATTGGTTTTCTTTTGAATTTTCATCAATTTGTCCAAAACACGTGAAGTCTTGAGACCAGTCAGAGTGCTATGACGCTTTCCCATCCTAGGAACTCAGTCTGCAGAGTGAAGATGGATTATTTCTTCATCTGGTATTTACAGTTGTGCTCAAAAGTTTGCGTGCCCTTGGAGAGTTGGTAATATATGTTTTCAATTTTCTTAACATTAAGGTATTGCGGTGTTTGTGTTTAGCTGTTATTTTCCTCTTACTCATTTACTGTACCCAAACATATTATATACTGTTTTTCTCGTCATTAAATGGTCTTTCTAAAAAACCATTTTATTCGTCATATCATATAATTTACTTTAAAACAAATGATAAAATATGATGAAAAAAAACCCCAAAATCTGTTAGGCATCTACAACTGCCAAAAACATCTGTGCTAAATATCTTGTACATTTTGTCCTAAGTTTAGAAATACCCAATGTTACCATGTTCTTAGCTTTTTTTATGCAAGTTATAGGGCAATAAGTATAAGTAGCACTTTGCTATTTCCAAACCATTTATTTTTTTTCAAAATTAACTAAAGTTACATTGTAACACTTAAATCTGTCAGGAATCCCTGAATGACCCTTCCCATATATATTTTTTTAAAGAAGACAAGGTAGGGTATTAAACTTGGGGTATTTTCACTCTTTTCATGCAACCATTTTACCACCAACCAAATTAAAAAGAAAAGAAATGGTTATTTTTTTTTACACACACAGCAATTTAAGAATACATGTACTGAGAACATTAAGGGTTACTGCCAAAGAAAACCCCAACATGTGTTCAACAACATATCCTGAGTACAGTAATACCACCCATATATAGGTGTGTCAGGTTATCTGGGGACTAAAATACCTTATTTGGAGGGTGCGCATTCCAGTTTTCCAACTTGGAATTTTCACAGCTGGTCATCATGCACCCATGTCCTATTTGGGAAATTTTTGAAGCCAGCCAATGTAATATACCCCCATCAAACCATATATTTTTGAAAAGTAGACACCCTAGGGAATTTCAAATGGTGGTATTTTAACACTTTCCCTGCATTAATTCTACCACCAGTCTTTGTCAAACTTTTGGGTAGTCATTTTGTTGTGTTATTTTTCTCTCACATGGTACTTTAGACATGGATTCTCAGTTCGTGTTATGTGTTTCTGACAAAGAACACCACAATATGTGCTCAGCAACATCTTCTGAGTACACCAGCACCCCCAATGTATAGGTTTTATGTTTTTTTGCAAACTTACAGAGGTCAAATGTACGGCTTTCTTCTTTTCCATGTTTGCACACTGAAATTTGCCAGATTGGTTTGTTGAGCCTATGTTGCCTTTGAGACCGTATGGCAGCCCAGGAATGAAAATTAACCCCATCCTGGCATACCATTTGTAAAATGTAGACAACCCAGGGTATTTAAAATGTGGTATTTCTAGTCTTTTGTAGTAGCCACTTAGTCACAAACGCTGGCCAAAGTTAGCGTTTTTATTTGTTTTAAAACAAAAACTGCACTTTTACTGTTGAAATCATCGTTGTGATCAGTTTTACTTTTTTAAACACTCATATTTGTGTTCAGTGAAGTCTCCCGAGTATAACAATATCCCCCTTGTAAAGCTTTTATGGTGTTTAGGAAAGTTACGGGGTTATATATAGGGGTTGCCAATTAAATTCTCTGGACTGTCTGCCTGGGTTGTCAGGCAGGTCCCTCAAATTATAATTAATACAATCAAATAATTATGTACAATTTTTTTTAAAAATTTATAATATTTATATATATATATATGTACTGCGGGAGGGGCGATAACACTTAGGGGGGAGAAGAGGAGAGGGGGGCACTAAGGGGTTGGGAGATGGATGACCACTCAGGGGGTGGGGGAGAGAGAACCACTAAGGGGGGCAGACCACTCATATTTGTGTTCAGTGAAGTCTCCCGAGTATAACAATATCCCCCTTGTAAAGCTTTTATGGTGTTTAGGAAAGTTACGGGGTTATATATAGGGGTTGCCAATTAAATTCTCTGGACTGTCTGCCTGGGTTGTCAGGCAGGTCCCTCAAATTATAATTAATACAATCAAATAATTATGTACAATTTTTTTTTTAAATTTATAATATTTATATATATATATATGTACTGCGGGAGGGGCGATAACACTTAGGGGGGAGAAGAGGAGAGGGGGGCACTAAGGGGTTGGGAGATGGATGAACACTCAGGGGGTGGGGGAGAGAGAACCACTAAGGGGGCCAGACCACTAAGGGACAGGGAGCGGAATGGAACACTGAGGGACAGGGAAGAGAGGGGGGAAACCACTAATGGACAGGGGGCAGGGGAGAGCACTAAGGGACAGGAGGGAGGAGCTCTGAGGCACAGGTGGGGAGAGCACTAATGGACTGGAGGGGAGGGGATATAAATAAGGGAAAGAGAGAGCACTGAGGGACAGGAGGGAAGATCACTAATTGACAGGAAAGGAGAGCACTATAAAACATAAAAATAAAGAGCTGCTCCCCTCTCAGCCCCTATCCTACACTACAAATCCTCTCTTTCATACTACACACATGCACAATGCATCCTTACACGTACACAGAAACACACAATGCATACACACACACACACACACACAGGCACACCGAAACACACAATGCATCCCTTACGCACACACACTGCTTCTCTTACACACACTCAATGCACCCCTTACAAACACACACTGCATTATATTACATACACAGAAACATACCTTGCATTCCTTACACATACAAACACAGATTTACACAATGCATCCCTTTCACACCCAGAAACACACAATGCATTCCTTACCCACAAACACACACTGTGTCCCCTATACACACGCTACATCCCTTACACAAATTGGTATCCCTATACACTGCATTCTATAAGAACACACACACATTACATCCTCTACAATAACACATCCCCTACATACATACACTCCACTCCCTGTGAGCGAACTCATGTGTGGGCCATGTAGGTGGACTTATGGGCTGGCCTTGTAGGCATTCTCACAGTCAGGCCCTGGGGGCCCAGACCTTGAACTCTGTAAGGGGCCCCAAAAAATGGAGCTGCTTCTTCCTGTTCTTTGATTTTTGTGAGCACTGTTACAAACAGTCTCCAGAAAGCCTTTTCTACACCAGATCAGTGGAACCAGAATGCAGCCTGAACCCATCATCATCCTCTTGTCCTCATCTGTAATATATAATTTACCTCACATTAAAGGGCCACTATAGTGACCAGAACCACTGCAGCTTAATGTAGTGGTTCTGGTGTATATAGCCTGTCCCTGCAGGCTTTTTAATGTAAACAGACTACTTTTTCAGATAAAAGACACTATGTGCAGAACTAGCATTGGCCCATATGGCAGATCAATTGGGTGGGGCATTGTGATGTCACATGGTGGGCAGAACATATAGGGGGGGGGGCAAATTTTTGTTTGCCTAGGGCGGCAAAAATCCTTGCACTATCCCTGATTACATTATGAGTGTATTTTGAGATATATGTGTGTATATCTCAAATTACACTTATAATGCAATCATATATATGCATTATATATGTATAATAAATATTTTAAAATGCTTTAATTATTTTATAATATAGTATACATATATTTTTTTAAACACTTTTAGCTGCCTGGGGGACTGCCTGACAGCTCAGGCAGTCCCCCTGCTCCAAGCTCCATAGACTCCTATTTTGGCCATGTGATCATGGTGATCACATGGCCCTGGAGTGCAGGAGAGGTCAGAGCTGCAGGGGGACTGCAGAGGTAATGGGCAGACCAGGATCGCCGTGGATTTCCGGTCCAGGTGAGTACAGGGCTCCGATTTGCCGCGGACGTACCAAATACGTCCAAGGTGGTCCATTTTTTGTCTGACGTACTCTCAGTGGTCTTACGTGCTCCTAACTTGCTCCGTTACAGTCCATAAAGAATGCGACGGGGAGGCTCATCTCCCTGTCCGCCCGCACCTCCCACGCCTCACCCTTCTGTCAGTCCCTACATTGGCTTCCTGTAAGATATAGGGCTCAATTAAAAATTCTGGTTCTTGCTTTCAAATCTCTACATAATGCTGCTCCCACCTATCTATCCTCCCTAATACACAAGTATGTCCCGTCTAGGCCCTGACTTACGTCTATCTTCTGTCCGTACTCCCACCTCTAATGCTTGCCTTCAAGACTTCTTGAGGGCTGCACTGTTCCTGTGGAACTCCCTTCCCTCCTCCGTTAGATGCTCACCCAGTCTCCACTCCTTCAAAAAATCATTAAAAACCCACTTCTTCATAAAAATGTTAAACTGTTAATAGCTCCCGACTGATTCCTCTCTTGCAACTGTCATTAGTCTAATACTATCCTTACCTTTTGTGTCACTTTACCCCACTCTCTCTAGCATGTAAGCTCATTGAGCAGGGCCCTCAACCCCTCTGTTCCTGTGTGTCCAACTTGTCTGGTTACAACTACATGTCTTTTCGTACACCCACTGTAAAGCGCTGCGGAATTTGTTGGCGCTATATAAATAATAACATAACAATAATAATAATAATAATACGTCCGAGGTCAGAAAGGGGTTAAAAAAGTAGCCAAACAACTATTTGATAATAAATGACTTCATATGATCACTATCCTTTAATAAAATAATTTTTTTTTGCATGAACAGTAATATTTTAAAAATCAATCCAAAAATGTCACAATTTTGGGAGACTACTAACGGATATACTCAGTGGAGTATAGGGGATCTGTTACATGTGCCTTATTCCACCAGCTCCCTCAATATGTGCCACATTCCTTCCCTTCCCTTCCTACCATATATGCCTCAATCCCCCAACTCCCGATTTATATGCCTCAATCCCCCAGCTTCCCTATGTGTGCCTCATTCATTCAGCTCCCCCTACGTGTGACATATTCATCCCCTTCCCCCCATATGCACCAAATTAACACCTATATAGACCTTAATCACTTAGCTCCTTTTATACATATATATTTTTTTTTTAAAGAGTTAAGTGGAGCTAAAGTCAAAAAATAGGGAGACAGTTTACTGCTTAAATGCAGTAAAGTTAGATGGGTAGAGAGAAATAGGGAAACTATTAACCTATAATGAAAAATACAAGAAATTAGAAGTGCTCTCTTCCTGTCATGTGATGACTCTGTCTCATAGATAATACAATAATCTGATAAGAAATTTATGAGTAAAAGTGTAAAAAAATTTAAAAATAAAAATTAGTAACAAATAAAATTGATGAGTGAAAGTACAAAAAATAAAAATTAGTAAAAAAAATAAAAGATACATTTTAAGTTATAAAAATATCTAAATATATAGAAGAATTCTCTGATGCAGTGTATTGTATAAAATGATCCTTACATCCAGCCTTATGTATTCACAGCTATTATGCACATTCTTTCACCAATATGCAGATTTGTAAAAGCACTTAATAATGTTTAAAGGTATGTAACCTTATAACTATAAACATACGGATCCAGTATATTTAAAAATACAATACTTTATTAAAAAAGATATAATAAAAAAAATGACGAAGTTAAACTAGTGCTTGCAGTTTTGCCAGTTACGAAATACAAAAGGAGTACATAGTTACAATATGTATCTGGTACATGGTTAGTCTGTTGTTCGTTGAAGAATGAATTCTCGGCGTCTTCAGTGGTTTTCAAGCTGTTTGAGGTTAGAGGTTTGCTGTCAAGATTAATGTGCTGCTGTGTAAAGGTCCTGGCTAAGAATGGCAAGGTGTCAGCTTCCAAACGCGTTTCTCCGCTCCTGCAGCTTTATCAATGGAACCTTTATATGTGACTCATTCCCCCAGCTCCCCCCAATATGTGCCTCATTCCCCCAGGTTCCACGTATGTGCCTCATTCTTCCCCTACCCCCCTATATGTGACTCATTCCCCCAGCTCCCCCCAATATGTGCCTCATTCCCCCATGTTCCACATATGTGCCTCATTCTTCCCCTACCCCCCTATATGTGACTCATTCCCCCAGCTCCCCCCAATATGTGCCTCATTCCCCCAGGTTCCACACATGTGCCTCATTCTTCCCCTACTACCCCCCTCTCACCCCTCCCATATGTGCCTCATTCCCCCAGGTTCCACATATGTGCCTCATTCTTCCCCTACCCCCCTATATGTGACTCATTCCCCCAGCTCCCCCCAATATGTGCCTCATTCCCCCAGGTTCCACACATGTGCCTCATTCTTCCCCTACTACCCCCCTCTCACCCCTCCCATATGTGCCTCATTCTTCCCCTACCATCCCCCCATATGTGCATCATTCCCCTAGCTCCTTCTATATGTGCCTCATTCCTCACCTTCCTGGCCTATGGTAGTGTCGGCCCTGTACTTATCAGTGAAAGTTACACGTTCTCAGCACATGCTGAGATTAACTGTATATAGTAATTCTCCACATAAATAACATGTATATGTGTATAAATGTGTACATTCTGTGCATATGGGAGAAGAAGAAATACTGGATCCATCTGACTTCTAATAAAATATATCAGTCCAGTGCTATTTAAGTTTTTTATTTATAATGTTTATTTACAGGTCACAAGTATTACTCATAGTGCATCCAAACTATAGGGTAATTGTACAAATCTATTTTTATAAAACACCGTTTCATGCAAAGTGTAGATAATGCAAATATAATTTGCAAACTGATTAAATTATGAGTAGAAACAAAAAACAAATGGCTTTATAGGGGTGACATTAGATATCATGTTCATTCAATTATAGTGAAACCTCATGGATAAATGTTAAGATATGTAATTAATAACAGATACATTTATATGACCAGTGTCCATGCTTGGTAATAGAAGATCTTATAATGAACAGGTATTCTGGGGTGTATAATGTCCAGTGCCCATTCTTAGCATTGGAAGTCCAGACTAATAGGTACGTGTTCCAGAGTCCATGCTTAGTACTGAAAGATAAACAGGTATTTAGGGTATATATTGTTCAATATCCATGCTTAGTATTGTAAGATCATATGGTAAACGTGTATTTAGGGTACATATTGTCCACTGTCAATGCTTAGTAGTGGAAGATCTTATGATAAACAGTTATTTAGGGTGTATACTATCCGGAGTCCATGTTTAGTATTGGAAGATCTTATAATAAACTGGTATTTAGGGTGTATATTGTCCAGTATCCATGCTTAGTATTGGAAGATCATATGATAAACAGGTATTTAGGGTGTATATTGTCCAGAGTCCATGCTTAGTATTGGAAGATCTTATGATAAACAGGTATTTAGGGTGTATATTGTCCGGAGTACATGCTTAGTATTAGAAGATCTTATGATAAACAAATATTTAGGGTGTATAATGTCCAGAGTCCATGCTTAGGATTGGAAGATCTTATGATAAACAGGTATTTAGGGTGTATATTGTCCGGAGTCCTTGAAGATCATATGATAAACAGTTATTTAGGGTGTATGTTGTCCGGAGTCCATGCTTAATATTTGAAGATCTTATGATAAACCGGTATTTAGGGTGTATATTGTTCAATATCCATGCTTAGTATTGGAAGATCTTATGATAAACAGATATTTAGGGTGTATATTGTCCAGAGTAAATGCTTAATATTGAAAGATCGTGTGATAAACAGGTGTTTAGGGTGTATATTGTCCGTAGTCCTGGAATATTGTATGATAAACAGGTATTTAGGGTGTATGTTGTCCGGAGTCTATGCTTAATATTGGAAGATCTTATGATAAACCGGTATTTAGGGTGTATATTGTCCACTGTCAATGCTTAGTAGTGGAAGATCTTATGATAAACAGGTATTTAGGGTGTATACTGTCCGGAGTACATGCTTAGTATTAGAAGATCTTATGATAAACAAGTATTTGGGGTGTATTTTGTCCAGAGTCCATGCTTAGTATTGGAAGATCTTATCATAAACAGGTGTTTTGGGTGGATATTGTCCGAAGTCCTGGAAGATCATGTGATAAATAGGTATTTAGGGTATATATTGTCCATAGTCCAGGAATACTGTATGATAAACAGGTATTTAGGGTGTATATTGTCCAATGTCAATGCTTGGAATTGTAAGATCATATGATAAACAAGTATTTATGGTATATACTGTCCACTGTCAATGCTTAGTAGTGGAAGATCATATGATAAACAGGTATTTAGGGTGTATAGTGCCCAGAGTCAATGCTTGGTATTGGAAGATCTTATGACAAACAGGTATTTAGGGTGTATATTGTCCATAGTCCAGGAATACTGTATGATAAACAGGTATTTAGGGTGTATATTGTCCAATGTCAATGCTTGGAATTGTAAGATCATATGATAAACAAGTATTTATGGTATATACTGTCCACTGTCAATGCTTAGTAGTGTAAGATCATATGATAAACAGGTATTTAGGGTGTATAGTGCCCAGAGTCAATGCTTGGTATTGGAAGATCTTATGACAAACAGGTATTTAGGGTGTATATTGTACACTGTCAATGCTTAGTAGTGGAAGATCTTTTGGTAAACAGGTATTTAGGGTGTATGGTGCCTGGAGTCCATGCTTGGTATTGGAAGATCATATGATAAACAGGTATTTAGGGTGTATAGTGCCCAGAGTCCATGCTTGGTATTGAAAGATCATATGATAAACAGGTATTTAGGGTGTATAGTGCCCGGAGTCCATGCTTGGTATTGGAAGATCATATGATAAACAGGTATTTAGGGTGTATAGTGCCCGGAGTCCATGCTCGGTACTGGAAGATCATATGATAAACAGGTATTTAGGGTGTATAGTGCCCGGAGTCCATGCTCGGTATTGGAAGATCATATGATAAACAGGTATTTAGGGTGTATAGTGCCCGGAGTCCATGCTCGGTATTGGAAGATCATATGATAAACAGGTATTTAGGGTGTATAGTGCCTGGAGTCCATGCTCGGTATTGGAAGATCATATGATAAACAGGTATTTAGGGTGTATAGTGCCCGGAGTCCATGCTCGGTATTGGAAGATCATATGATAAACAGGTATTTAGGGTGTATAGTGCCCGGAGTCCATGCTCGGTATTGGAAGATCATATGATAAACAGGTATTTAGGGTGTATAGTGCCCGGAGTCCATGCTCGGTATTGGAAGATCATATGATAAACAGGTATTTAGGGTGTATAGTGCCCGGAGTCCATGCTCGGTATTGGAAGATCATATGATAAACAGGTATTTAGGGTGTATAGTGCCCGGAGTCCATGCTCGGTATTGGAAGATCATATGATAAACAGGTATTTAGGGTGTATAGTGCCCGGAGTCCATGCTCGGTATTGGAAGATCATATGATAAACAGGTATTTAGGGTGTATAGTGCCCGGAGTCCATTCTTAGTTTTGAAGATCCTAAGGTGTTGTGGTAACTGTAATTGTAACATTGACTGGATCATCTCCAGGCTGTTCGGACACTGGCATTTGGGTCAGGATTATATCTGCATCACTGTTAGGGGTGGGTTCACTGACAGCTAAAATACAGATAGTAATAATAAAGGAAACATTATTTACACACTAAACAAAATACAGAAACACATAATTATACACATGTACATATATTAATACATGATTATGTAACGTACTAAACAACGCTTGACGTTAATTGTCTCAGTTCTTTGTGCGATGGCATAAGGTTTTATTTTTGACTGCGATGTCAGTTATGTGTGCAAGGGGATGGCTGTAACATATGCCTCTTATGTTCTGTTTAACCCCTTACTGACCAGGCCATTTTTCAATTTTATTACCGTTACGGACCAGGGCTCTTTTTACATTTCTGCAGTGGTTGTGTTTAGATGGAATTTGCCTCTTACACATTTACTGTACCCATACATATTAAATACCATTTTTCTCGCTATTAAATGTTCATTCTAAAGATACCATTATTTTCATCATATCATATAATTTACTAGAAAAAAAAAAAGTAAAATATGATGAAAAATGGAAAAATAAAACACAGCTGGCCATCATGCACCCATGTCCCAGTTGGAACATTTCTGAAGCCGGCCAATGTAATTCACCTCCGTCAGACCGTATGTTTTTGAAAAGTACACACCATAGGGCATTTCACATGGTGGCATTTCAACACTTTACATGCACTAATTCTACCATCAGTCTCTGTCAAACATTTTTGTGGTGTTATTTTTCACTCACACATTCTACTTTGGGCATAGATTCTCAGCTCATGTTAGGAGTTACTGCCAAAGGACACCTCAATATGTGCTCGGCAACATCTCCCTAGTACAGCGATACCACCCATGCATAGGTGTGTCGGGTTCTCTGGGGGGTGCAAAGCAAAATGTCTGATATGCGTTTTTCAAATTTGACATATCTTGTTTTCCTATCTTCCTTTTGGGGGCCTTATCAGATATCCCAATGTATTTTCTTGCCATGACCGTGCATATATTTGAAAAGTTGACAGTATTGTATATGGAGTGTTTTGATGCCTTAGATGCAATAATTTTAGTCAAAAAAAGTTGAAGAACATCTGTGGAGGTAACTGTTCAATTCTCATTTTTACACACGCACACTGCTTTTTGACTGTGATTTAGGAGAGCCCGTTGTTGGTTATTGCAAGAAAACACCCCAGGTTGTTTTCTGCAAGGCCTCCATAGGACACCCATGCCCCCCATGCATACGTTTGCCAGGATTTTGGGAAGGTACGGTTACAATTGTATGACTTGCAATTTGAGTTTAAATTGAGAGTATTTCTTCTGATAGGCCTACCTTTAGCTTGGGGCTAATCACATACCCCAGTTTTATATATCGCCATGAAAGGGTACATACTTAAAATGTAGACACCCCAAGGAATTGCATGTGGAGTGCTTTGATGCAACTTTTTTTTAGCCAGACAAAAAATAAAAAAGTTGAAGAATGTGTGTGGAGGTAACTGTTCAATCCTCATTTTTACACACGCACACTGCTTTTTGACTGTGATTTAGGAGAGCCCGTTGTTGGTTATTGCAAGAAAACACCCAAGGTTGTTTTCTGCAAGGCCTCCTAAGGACACCCATGCCCCCCATGCATGGGGTAAATGTAACAAAACCAAAAAAAAAGAAAAGAAAAAAGACACCAAAAAAAACTGAACGGCAAATGTTAAAAAATAAATTAAAAATGGACCAGCGTGTGGTATCGTTTGAAGCAGTCTCCAATGCAGAGTCCAGGCTGTCCAGGGCAATCAGGACAGTAATATACACTATCTTTTCTCTGCCCCCTCTTAGAACAGACCCTGCATCTTTTTTGGGGATTTTGCTTTGCCGCAGTAGGGGGAATTTTAAAAATAAAATGTGTAGCCCCAACTCTGCTCTCTCCCATCACCGCCTGGGGAGCAGGTGCATCACGGTACAAAATCCCCGAAATGATCTGGAGCTGAAACTGTAAAACTCTCAGTTGCATCCCGGGGTTTTCTTTTATGAACAACAAGAAAGCGTTGTGGGTTGCAATCTGCATTAGGTAGATTGCAACCTTTTTGTACCAGGCCCTTGTCTTTCGTATAATTAGGTACGGCTGGAGCAGCTGATCTGCCAGATCAACCCCACCCATATGCTGGTTATAGGCCTTGATGCACACTGGCTTCCTTGTTCTCTCAGCTCTGCCACGTACAGGGACCTCCACAGTCCCCTCAGTGTGGATGGTGGTAAGAAGGTACACATCCTTCTTGTCTCTGTACTTAACTGCCAACAGCTCCTCTTGGCGCAGAGCTGAGGTCTCCCCCCTTCGTAGCCAGGTGCATGCAAGTTGTCCTGGGAAACCTGTCCTGTTCTTTTTGATTGTGCCACAAGCTACTGTATCAAACAGTACGGTAGCTTGAACAAAGGGACACTTGTATAAAAATTGACAGTATACAAGTGGTACCCTTTGTTCATCAGGGGGAATATCAGGTCCTGGACAATCTTGCCACTGGTTCCCATATGTTCTGGGCACCCTGGAGGGTCAAGGTGGCTATCCTTTCCCTCTTACACCCGGAAGGCCTGAGTATACCCAGTCTTGCTATCACAGAGCTTATACTTCTTTACACCATACCTAGAGCGCTTGGAAGGAACATACTGCTTAAATCCCAGACTTCCATTATACTTCATCAGGGATTCATCTCTGCATATATTCCTTCCAGGTGTATAAGCCTCTGCAAACCTGGCAGCGAAGTGGGTAATCAGGGGCGGATTTTATACAGCCAGTCAAACTGGGGAGGCTCCCTAGGGGGACACAGGCTGTTGTTGCGGAAGTGCATGAAATGCAGAATCATTTCATACCTCTTCCTCGACATACATTGGGAGTAAATGGGGGTAGAGCAGATGGGGCTACTGCTCCAGTAGGAGCGGAAGGAGGGCTTCTTTATGATGCCCATCAGCATAGTCAATGCCCAGAATCTTTTAAATTCTGCAACATCGATGGGGGTCCATTGCTGCTCTGCCAAAAAAGAGTCAGGATTTGTAGCTCGGAATTGATGGGCATATAAATTAGTTTGGGCGACAATGTTCCCCAATACATAATCGCCCAGAAACACCTCCATAAACTGCTGAGGGATAAATCCTGTGACATCCAAATTAATGCCAGGATTTGCAGTAAAGGATGGGATGTCTGGCTTCTGGCGATGAGGCACTACCCACTCCTCAGCAGTTCTGCCAGCTGGAGCAGCACGTCTCCTTCTGGCAGGGGGACTAGCAGGCACAGATACAACATCACTAGATACATCACTAGCAGCAGACACTGTATCTAGTGATGATGTGTCTGAGCACCTGGCTGGGTCAAAATCAGGGTCAGAGTCTGACAAAGACGCGTCAGACTCTAGTGCAAGGGTGGCATATGACTGCTCAGCGCTGGTTGACTTCCGTGACCCATGTGACATGATCACAATCACGTTACATAGTGACCTGTCACAAAAAAAAAGACAAAAAAATTAACCCGTAAAAAAATGAACAGACAGCAAAATAAGTGCTGCTGAGCAAGAGCCCGTGATCTATACAGTGATCACTGGCAGGCCAGGGGTTAATCGTTCTGAAAAGAGCTTTTGGGTCTCAAGAGTTTACAAATCCCTACCTAGAAATACCTAAATCTCTCTAGCTAAACCACAGATCTCTCTCCCTCTCTCACTAAAACACAAGTGAAGAGAGGGAGGCAGATCCACACTAATCAGAGAAATGGGGAACACACTTGGGATGAAATTGCTAATGGGCAAGCTGTGATTGGATGACCCCAGCCTGCCCCTTATGATGAGGCATGCTAGGGACACCCCCAGAAGCCCCATGATTCACTGCCTTTAGAAAGGGAGGGGGGGTTAATATTGATCATTTTATTTATTTTATATTTATTTTTTTATATATATTATTATATATACACTGAGTGCTAGGACCCCTCGAGGCACTCAGAACATGCAGAGCATCACTGCAATAGTATCAGAGCTTCCAGCGCTCAAAATAGCTGCCGATGTACCAGGTACGTCCAAGGTCATTATGGACCGTTTTTTGCCAGACGTACCTGATACGTCCGTGGTTGGGAAGGGGTTAATCATCTACATGGCAATGATTTGGTAGAGGAAAGACACAGGTGGAATAATAACAGTTATAGCATAGAAGATACAAGATGGTATGAGCGGAATAAGAACAGTTATGACATGGAAGATACACCATGATACTGATGGAATGAGAACAGTTATAGCATTAAGGTTACAGGATGGCTCACGGGGAATAAGAGCAGTTATAACATGGAGGTTACATAACAGCACGGGGGGAGTAAGAATAGTTATAGCATGAAGAATACAGAACAGCACAGGGGGAGTAAGAACAGTTATAGCATTGAGGATACAGGATGACATGATGGAATAAAAACAGTTGTAGCATGAAGGATACAGAATGGCATGGGTTGAATAAGAATTGTTTAAGCATGGAGGCTACAGGATGGTACTGGTGAAATAAGAACAGTTATAGTATAGAGGATACAGAATGGCACGGGTGGAATAAGAATAGTTAAAACATTAAGGATACAGGATGGGATGGTGGAATAAAAACAGTTATAGTATGGAGGATACAGAATGGCACGGGTGGAATAAGAATAGTTAAAACATTGAGGATACAGGATGGGATGGTGGAATAAAAACAGTTATAGTATGGTGGATACAGAATGGCACGGGTGGAATAAGAATAGTTAAAACATTAAGGATACAGGATGGGATGGTGGAATAAAAACAGTTATAGTATGGAGGATACAGAATGGCACTGGTGGAAAAAGAATAGTTAAAACATTGAGGATACAGGATGGGATGGTGGAATAAAAACAGTTGTAGCATGAAGGATACAGGATAGCATGGGTGAAATGGGAACAGTTATAGCATGAAGGATACAGGATGGCACCAGTGGAATAAGAATAGTTATAACATTGAGGATACAGGATGACACGTAGAATAAGAACAGTTATAACATGGAGGATACAGGATGAGATGGGTTGAATAAGAATTGTTTTAGCATGGAGGTTACAGGATGGTACGGGTGGAATAAGAATGGTTAAAGTATGGAGGATACTGGTTTGCACAGGTGGAATAAGAATAGTTGTAACCAGTGGTGTATCCTGGTTTTGTGCTGCCCTAGGTATGCCAAAACTCAAGCCTCCGCACCACCTCCCCTTCCCCGCCTTCTAAATACACACACATTCAGTGACAGACACGCATACACTAGCTAACAGATATACACACTCACTAACAGACATACACACTCACTAACAGACACATACAGTCACTAGCAGACACACATATTCACTAACAGACACATACACTCTCACTAACAGACACACACAAACTAACAGACACACACATAGTAACACACTCCCTAAAAGACACACTCCCTGACATACACTTACTAACAGACACACACACACTCACTAACAGACACACTCACTAACAGACACACACACTAACAGACACACATTCACTAACAGACACACACACACACTAACAGACACACACACACTCACTAACAGACACACACACACACACACACACACACTCACTAACAGACACACACACACTAGCAGACACACACACACACACTAACAGTTACACACACTAACAGATACACACACACACACTAACAGACACACACACTAACAGACACACTCACTCACTAATACACACACACACGCAAACATTAACACACTCACTTTTTCTTTTAAAAATTTAACCCCCCCAGCCTCCTTACCTTTGGGAATGCTGGAAATCCAGTGGCTGCTGGCGCACCACCAAGTGATACTGGGAGCGGAAGATGCGTCATATTCGGCTCACATCCTGCTGTCAACAGGCGGACAGCTAGTAAAATCCATGCGGCGGCGCTGGCGAGGGATCACTTTCCCCTGGCTCTCTGCTCAGCTCCCTCGCCAGCGCCGCCTGCACGGATTTTTACCTAACCGCCTGCCTGAACTGTAGCCGCAAGGCTAACAAGACATTTGCCATGGCATTTGGGGGCAGCTTTTTTTTCTGCCCTGGAAAATGCCGCCAAGGCAAATGCCTTGTTTGCCTCGCGGCTAATACGTCCCTGGTTATAACATTGAAGATACAGGACAGCATGGTGGAATAAGAACAGTTATAGCATGAAGGATACATGATGGTACGGGTGGAATAAGAACAGTTATAGCATGAAGGATACATGATGGTACGGGTGGAATAAGAACAGTTATAGCATGAAGGATACATGATGGTACGGGTGGAATAAGAACAGTTATAGCATGAAGGATACATGATGGTACGGGTGGAATAAGAACAGTTATAGCATGAAGGATACATGATGGTACGGGTGGAATAAGAACAGTTATAGCATGAAGGATACATGATGGTACGGGTGGAATAAGAACAGTTATAGCATGAAGGATACATGATGGTACGGGTGGAATAAGAACAGTTATAGCATGAAGGATACATGATGGTGCGGGTGAAATAAGAACAGTTATAGCATGAAGGATACATGATGGTACGGGTGAAATAAGAACAGTTATAACATTGAGGTTGCTGGATGGAACAGGTTGAACAAGGAAAATCTGAATAATCTGAACACATATGGGATGAGCTATATGGAATGGCCTGTTTAGAATAAGAAAGATGTTGTCATCATAGATAGTTTATGATCTGGGTGGAATTTGAGTTGTGGAACCATTTTGAATGTGGGAATATACTGGTGGAATGTAAATGGCATGACTATTACCGGATTGCTTTACTGGAATACACTTAGTAATGACATATAGGAAAAGGATTGATATGGGTATTATATGACTCACAACAGCATGAGGATGAAGAGTGTTTTCCATACTACTCACTTTACAGCTTGAGAATAATAACTGATAAGTTTACCATTTGAAGACTCTCCAGGCACTTCTTCTGCAGCAGGGTTAGTAATGCCCTCCTCTGCATCGGCTCCGGTCTCCGCATCTTCAGGATTTCTAATGTTTTCTCGAGCATCAGCAGGGGCCCTGTATGATTTATTAAAGCATAGTATCAGGAAGGAGTAAAGATTTGTATAAAAGATTGATGGTATTAGAACAACTTGCCCTTGTAATGGATAGAGGTAGTAATATTGTCTATGCACAGTTGACACACAGTGTCGAGTGTTAATACAGTTAGCGTCCTAGGGTGTGGAAATAATGTCTTACTGCCTAAATACAACTCTTACATAGAACATATGATGTGTGATAAGAGAACACAATGCTAACATACTTGTGTATGATATTTATATATAGTATCAGTTATTGAACCTCCAATCCACTTCCATGGACAAACTTATAGCATCTTCTGGTTTCTGCTACAACCTTTAGGTTAGATGATACACAGATTTATCTTTCAGTCTTACCTACATCTGTCACTAACTGCACGCTGTCTTTTCTAAAAGAACTAATCGTCATAACACCTGACACATTCTCCCCATGTACTAACCTTTCCCCAATGCTTGATTACATTGCTACATCTCCAACTAACAAAGCATGGGTGCTATGCGTGATAACTGGTTCCCGTTCACCTTTTTCACTGCTTTACCCTGTTCTCAATTAAGATATAACAATAAATAGTATTTTATTATGATTTTCATAACTCTGCTCCAGCCTACATCTCTGACAAGTACTAAGTACTCCCCTACATTACATTCCTTGTATTACCTTATCCCCAGCACATCTCCTCTAAAATATCCTAAAATCTAACTAGTTTTCCCAACAAGGTTACCACCCAGGTGGACCTTGTGGGGCACAGGACATGAAATTCACAATCCAATAAAAACACAGTTTTACACTTAAACACTCCCAGATACTGTACACAAGCCCTCCCCTCTGTTTGGGAGATAATCGAGTTAATTACTGGATCATCTCAATTATCTCCAAACGAAAAATACAAGTTTGTACCCATATTTGAAAACACCCTGAAAACATATGGGAACCTCATAAAACACATATCCCCTGATACAGAGAAAGGATAGGGGGCACTCCCGGGACCTGCATTTTGCATGAAAGGTGCTGCCGCAGTGACCAAACTTCATACATGAAGGTGGCCATAGGTGTGTGTATATATAGGAGGAGTTTTTCAATAGTCAGGTCACTTTTATTATTTTCTCCAGTTAGCACAGATATCATCTGCAATAGTGAATATACTCATTTTAGCACTAACACATTAATTGTTTAGTTTTAACACTGTTTTTAATTGCTTTTATCACTTATTTTTGTATACTCACTATGCTCTAACCAGGATTTAATTTAACACTTGTTATTTACAACACTAGTACTATTTAATTTGTCCCCCACATTTTAGCGTAGGACCCACCAATATTGGGGTACTTTGTAAGTAGTGGTGGGCTTAACAACATATGGCCATATGGTGGAACCAAATGCCCATATTTATTCTCAGATAGGCATTTTAGTAGCCTTCTTTGTGTTATATTTTTTGTAGTCTGAGTGCGCCGCAACTATTAATTCTCTCACATATCCCCTGATAGTCCTGATCTGGGGGAACAACATATTGAAAAATCACCCAGATCGGTTCAGGGGTTCAAGAGTTAGGTGGAAGTCTCTTTTGACTGAACGCATGCATGTTTTCTCTTTCGTACAGTCAAAATCCATTAAAAGGATCGAATGTGGCTGTTCGTACACAGGAGCATTGAATGTAACTAGGTTTAACGAACGGTGCTCCATTCGTGCAATAACTGTTGAACAGAATGAGGAGTGGAAGTCCCAGTGGTGTTCGTGCCGTCGAGTGTCCGATTTTACTTCCATACACTCAACAACCAAACACAGCTGGCTGCATTCGTATCCCAAGATGGCCACCACCACGTGTTCATGCATACGAACACCAACCACCCAGTTGATCACTTAGAATGTTAGGGTGTTCTTGATTTTTAGAGGTGTTAATAATGGCATTGAGGTTAACAAGCACCACGCTCCAGGTCTGGGTGGTAGGTCGTTCGGTAGATAATTTGTTATTCGAATGGCCACTAACAAAATAAAGGTGAATCTTTTCCATACGAACTGTTTGACGAACAAAGGGTTTAAAAGAGGGTCTGTCACAGGGGGTTTGATAATACTGATGGTTCCACCTAAAGGCAGCTAGTGGGGCACTGAAATTAATATTGAAACAGTAGGGTGGATATGCCAATATCGACTCCCCCAAAATATTTTGATAAGTTTACCCACTCCCCTCCCAGTTAGCTCGGGGGCAGCAAGCCTCTAACCACTCACCACTACAATTAAAGCTAGTACTTACCCCCCTCACCCTAATAATAGTGAGGTGGGGCCAATAAAACTAATACCTGTAGAAGAAAAAAATCATACTTAGAATCAGCTGTCTTCTTTCTTCTAAGTCTTCTTTCCTTTAACACCCACAAATACCAACATAAATTCCATAATAATACAACACAACTATTAAAAGAAATAAGTATGTACTCCATAAAAAGTATGTACTCCAAAAAAGTATGTACTGCAAGCTCAGTCTGTTCTGAACCTTTTTCATGGTGAAAATGGATTATTTGTATTCTGCCATGATTTTGTTTCTATTTTTTTCTTTTCTGATCCAGTAGTTTTTTTTTATTTTAATAGTTGCTTGGCGTTATTGTACATTTTATTTAAACCTTTTGAGGGCAGAAGAAAGGAAGACTTAGAAGAAGAAGATATCTGATATTATGTTTCTTTCTTTAGAGGAAGGAATTGACGTGGGGATTAGCTAGGGGACTGGGGCCACAAAGTCAAAATATTTATTAGGGGTTGGACAATGGCATGTCCATCCACCTTTCAGTGGGTTACCATTGGCACTATATTATCTTTCTCTTTATTTTTATGTATCTGGTATATATCCCCATAATAATCAAGACTGTTAAGGGTAAGGAACTCTAATAACTTATTCAAAGAGTAGAAGGTTTTTACTTATACCACTGAATACATTAAATTTCATTTTGTACTGTTTTACATTTAAATCTAAATTTAGCACATATTTACACATTGGGAGGAAAGAAGTCACATGGCAGTGATGGAACTGCTGTGAAACCCTCGAAACATCTAAAGGATAAATATATATCTATAATAATTTCAAGGAAACAAGGTATGATGTACATGAAAATATAATAACATCACTTACGGTCTGAAGAACAGATCATGGAGCCCTGTGTAATAAAACAAATTAATACAAATATATAAAGGTATATCAATATTTATATATGAGTTAATTATTTGTAAGTTTTGTATAGGCATATCAATATTTATATATGAGTTAATTATTTGTAAGTTTTGGTTACATACAAATTATTGCAGTTAACACCTTACCTTATAACACAATGTTGGAGTACAGATTTAATTTACTACAAATATAAAGTCTTTAAATGTGCTCCTGCACACAGTGTGATGAATTCCCCAGCTTCATATTAAGCAGCAGAGTTATTCATTTACAGGTTTTTCCCTGTACAAACACAAAGATAAAGCACTGCGCTTACAGCAGCAGTGGCTTAGTATCCAACAGCTTAAAATACATAGTAAAAACAAAGAAAACGTTACCTGCGCTCTGGCCTAAATCCCCATGTGCTTTTAAACAAAAATGGAGGCTCTTTGGTTTTATTCTAATGGCCATTTGAATATATAAGCTCACCTGCCACGTCAAGGCAAGCCTCAAAGGGTTAAATGTTAAAGGGTTTATAAAATACCCCTTCCTGTCTCACTGGAGACTCTTGGCTGATATCAGCATATCTAATGGCTAGTGTAGGAACTCACCTATTGAGGCTTGCCTTGACGTGGCAGGTGAGCTTATATATTCAAATGGCCATTAGAATAAAACCAAAGAGCCTCCATTTTTGTTTAAAAGCACATGGGGATTTAGGCCGGAGCGCAGGTAACGTTTTCTTTGTTTTTACTAGGTTTTTCCCTGTGATGATACAGCCCTTGTGTCTCTGTTACCAATGGTGCAACAGTTCAGGCTTAGTGTCGTCCGTGGTTACTTGTGTTAACTTGTACAGCTGATCGATATACTGAGTGCTATTGCTATGACCTGGGCTTTGAGTCGCTCAGGGAAGAGACAACCAAACAACAGCAACTGACTTTATTTTATAGTAGCCAGACATTTTTAAACACTCAACACACAATTTACAACTATATTATATGTTACAATTCCCTTCCCCCTTTCACATTCACCCTGACAACAATCGGTTATCTAGATCATCCCAGCAGATATCTCAGCAGGACAGTCTGTATCACAATCTCTTTTGGTCCCAGCTGGAGGGGAGATGTACTGCCTCTTGTGCCATGTGACACATCAGAGTCCCTTTTGTCACATTCCCTAAAGTCACAATTGTTGAAATGCAAAGTTCGAATGGAACAAAACCACCCGGATACAAGGCAATTAAAACTGCAAAATTCAGATATTGTTAACCCTATTTACCAATGTCCAGATTTTGCCACTAAACGGACATCGATTTTGTCCAGATGTCAGCAAGACTGCAGCCGCCAGATGGCTGGAATCCGAACCTGGACACTTCAAATCTGGGCACGGATTTAAGAAAATTTCAAACTATTTTCCATCTGGCAGAGTTAGCAGCCAGAGGGCAAATGGTCAAAGGGATCCTATAGTAAACCAAAACAACTTTAACGTAATGAAGCGGTTTTGGTGTATAGATCATGCCCCTGTAGCCTCACTGCTCAATCATCTGCCATTTATGAGTGAAATCACTTTGTTTATACAACCCTAATCACACCTCCCTGCATGTGACTTACACAATCTTCCTAAACACTTCCTATAAAGAGTTATTTAATGTTTACATTTCCTTTATAGCAAAGTATGTTTAATTTAGATTTTTTTTTTTATCTTCTGCTCTGTTAATAGCCTACTAGACTCGATGAAAGAATTATTAGATTAGAAAATAGTTTTGAGTTCACAGTTGTTCTTTAACATAATATTTTGCCTTTCTAGGTTTTGTGACCCCTTTTATTTTGTTCCTGCAATGTTTAAAATTTGCTGTTTTTAACATACAGCAATGTTTTAATTTCATGGCTATTAAAATTCTGGTGGCTGTCTAAAAACACCACTAGATGGCATTTTCCCTGTAAGAAATTAATCAGACTCTGTTCTTTCAAAAAATCGCATCTGATGCTTCTCATAGAGAGTACGATTGAAGGAGTGTGATGCTTGCTGCGCCTGCACCTCTTGTCCACAATGCTTGCTGACGAAAAAAGAGTTAGAGCGAGTGGCTGCAATGGTGGGGTTGAAATATGGGAGTGGTCCCAATACTGTGACATATGCAATGCTGAATGCAGGGAGTGTTCCCAATACTGTGAAATACACACTGCAGATTGCAGAGAATTGTCACAATACTGTGAAAACTACACTGCCGAGAGCAGCGGGTGGTCACAATACTGCAAAATATATACTACCGAGTGCACAGAGCAGTCACAATACTGCTAAATATGCACTGCGAAGTGCAGAGAGCAGTCACAATACTGCTAAATATGCACTGCGAAGTGCAGAGAGTGATCACAATACTGTGAAATATACACAGCCGAGAGCAGAGAGTGATCACAATACTGTGAAATATACACTGCCGAGCACAGAGACCGGTCACAATACTGTGAAATATACACTGATGAGCGCAGAGAGTGATCACAATACTGTGAAATATACACTGCCGAGCGCAGAGACTGTTCACATTACTCTAAAATATACACTGAAGAGCACAGAGAGTGATCACAATACTGTAAAATATACACTGCCGCGCGCAGAGAGTGATCACAATACTGCAAAATATACACTGCCGAGCGCAGAGACTGGTCACAATACTGCGACATATACATTGCAGAGCGCAGAGAGTGATCACAATACTGTGAAATATACACTGATGAGCGCAGAAAGCAGTCACATTACTGTAAAATATACACTGATGAGCGCAGAGTGATCACAATACTGCGAAATATACACTGCCGAGCGCAGAGACCGGTCACATTACTGTAAAATATACACCGATGAGCACAGAGAGTGATCACAATACTGTGAAATATACACTGCCGAGCTCAGAGAGTGATCACAATACTGAAAAATATACACTGCCGAGTGCAGAGAGTGGTCACAATACTGCGACATATACACTGTCGAGCGCAGAGAGTGATCACAATACTGGGAAATATACACTGATGAGCGCAGAGAGCAGTCACAATACTGTAAAATATACACTGATGAGTGCAGAGAGTGATCACAATACTGCGAAATATACACTGGGAGTGCAGAGACCGGTCACATTACTGTAAAATATACACTGACGAGCACAAAGTGGTCACAATACTTCAACATATACACTGCCGAGCGCAGAGAGTAATCACAATACTGTAAAATATACACAGCTATATCTGTACCTTCTGTAATGTGGTAAAGACTTCCTGTGCACCCTAACCCCACGTTATTAGCATTGATATAATTACACAGAAGCAGAAACTGTATCTAGCCATGTGAGGTCTAACGTTGTGCAGGAAGTAGAAGTGCTGGTCACCTGGCCACACTAAAGGACTAAGCCATGGTCAACCAGAAGGGGTGCATGGGTTGCTCCCTTACTGGTCAGTTGTGAAGTTCTTTAAAAAGTCCAGCCAGCCAACTTGGCTTTATTTGAGCTATGGGCATATTCACAGTGTCCATGAGCCATGTATGTTTGAAAGCCTTGTTTTTCTGCCATTGCTACTGCTGTTTTGCTCTAAATAAAGCTGCTATTTTGGCTTTTATTCTTGAGTGTCCTGAGCGCTCTGGAAACCTGGAGAGTGCGGAATCCATTATCTTTTCTACATAAAATGAAATATGCAGACCTCATATGTGATAGGCAATCCAAAAGCTTCAAGCACATGCCAATTAATGCAGACTCTTTCTCCCTCAGAGAGAAGATAATGCAATAATACAAAAATACAAGAAAGGATAAAGCATCAGGGCAGGCACAAATGTGTCCAGAGTTACTGTAAGTTTTGTTTCTCCCCCCCCCCTTCTGGCAGGGACAGGTTTTTCCATTTTTGTATTTATGTATTATTGCACGTTTTTGTATTTTTTAACCTAAGTCTGTATTAATTGACATATGCTTAAAGATTTTGGATTGCCTGTCACTTATGAGGTCTATGCATATTTTTATGACATGTTGTTAACCATTTTTCTATAATAAAGTATGCACTTTCCATGATCTCCTTGGTGGATTATTCTATGATCCTGATGAGTGTGAACTATTTGGCTGGTTTCGGTGATTTCTACAAAGGGGATTAATCCAACGCCAATGGACCTGGGATACATCTAACCATGTAAGTGCCTATAGTGTCTTACATGTTAAATTCCCCAGTGGAACTGGAGTTGTGGCAACAAGTAACTGAAGAAAGGTTTACCTGTAATTAAGCTGGTTTTATTACCCCACACAGGTAAACTGCTCTTTTTGCCCTGTGTTAAAAAACAAGCCTGCATCTAGACTCCAGCAGGCACCTGAAAACCTGTCAAAGCTAAATGTGGATTTACTGGTAAAATACTTTGATATTCCTGTTACTGTGTACTCCTGTTAAGTTGTTGATTAAACCAAAATTTTAATATGAGAATAGCATTGTTTGAGTGGTTTGTTGGGCAGGTGTTCTTTTCTACCTGTGGCATTTTATTGGCAAAGGGTAGGATGCAGATTCAAATACAGATGGGGAAAGTGGTAGGATTCTGTTCTCACTTTGGGTGATAGGTTGGGTGCATGTAATCATTGTGGTTGGATTGAAAGAGTTTCATACACAATATCAGACATTCCTCCATGGATTTTCAGAAATGTAGGATTCATTTCCACCACATGGCTTCCTTGCACCATGTGATTCTGGCCGTGACATCTGAAACCAGCCTAGATAAGGGAAGCTATCTCTCATAATGCTCTCCAATGGGAATAGAATGTGGGTTAAAGGACCACTATAGTGCCAGGAAAACAAACTCATTTTAGGGTCTTTGGGTCCCCCCCACCCTCTATGTTCCCCTCCCACCGCGCTGAAGGGGGAGGAAGGGGTCAAACACTCACCTTTCTCCAGCGCTGGGCTCCCTTGGTGCTGGTGATTCACCTCCCTCTTCCGACGTCATCCGCTGAATGCTCATGAACACGTGCACATTCAGTCAGTCCATAGAAAGCATTTCTCAATGCTTTCCTATGGACGCTGGCGTCTTTTCACAGTGAGACAGCCAGTGGACTATGGACGCTGGCATCTTCTCACAGTGAGACAGCCACAAGAGGCTGGATTAACCCTAATGTAAACATTGCAGTGTCTCTGAAACTGCTATGTTTACAGCAGGCAGGGTTAACCCTAGATGGACCTGGCACCCAGACCACTTCATTGAGCTGAAGTGGTCTGGGTGCCTATAGTGGTCCTTTAAGTCAGTCCCTTTTCCCAGGATGAAGCCAACTCCTTCGGCATCAGCTTGGGCTTGTAAGTTATATTTCTAGTTCATTTCTGCATTGTACCGTTTCTACAATTCCCTCTTACTTGCTATCATTTGATATATCATTTGATATATGATTTAATGAAGCAAATCAACACATTAGGTGTATTTTCTTTACACATTTTGACCATAATACAAGAAATAATATATAAAGAGGCACTGAATTGAAACCCCTCCTTCTTGGAAAGGTATAGAATAGAAATCCCTCTTCCAAGAAAATGTTCCAAATAGAAACCTCTCCTTCTGGGAAAGGTACTAAATAGAAACCCCTCCTTATAGGAGAGGTGCTTAATGGAAACCCCTCCTCCCGCGAAAGATAATGAATAGAACATCCTCCTCATAGGAAAGGTACTAATCGGAAATCTCTCCTTCTGCGAAAGATACTTGATGGAAACACCTTCTGCTGGGAAAGTTACTAAATGGAAACATCTCCTCTTCATAGGAAATGTGCTAAATGGAAACATATCCTCCAGGGTAAGGTGCAGAAAAGAAACCTTTCCTCTTGAGAAGAATACTAAATAAATCCCCCTGCTCCGAGGTAAGGTACTGAATAGAAACCCCTCCTCTGAGGTAAGGTACTAAATAGAAACCCCTCCTCCGAGGTAAGGTACTGAATAGAGGCCCCTCCTCTGAGGTGAGGTACTGAATAGAAACCCCTCCTCCGAGGTAAGGTACTGAATAGAAACCCCTTTTCCGAGGTAAGGTACTGAATAGAAACCCCTCCTCCGAGGTAAGGTACTGAATAGAAACCCCTCCTCTGAGGTGAGGTACTGAATAGAAACCCCTCCTCCGAGGTAAGGTACTGAATAGAGGCCCCTCCTCTGAGGTAAGGTACTAAGTAGAAACTCATGAATCAAATTATACTTATCACCACACAGCCATCAGCCATTGAGACAAGTTGTAGAGACCAGCTCAGGAAGCAGAGACACTGAACAATAGCGGAACACATTGTAAATCTGGCCAGCTGTGTATATATAGGTATGACATATTGTAAGCAAGGGTGGCTATTCACATTCAAATAAAGCCTGGTCAGATATATGTTATTTAATATATAGGAAAGCGTTAATAGCAATGGCGCTCACATAAACATGTACTTCAATATAACAATGTATATGTATGTGAGGCTGTGTGAGTTACAATACTTACTTGGATTATTCTCTCGATTCCGAACAATGTATTGAAATATCAGGAGGCTGGCAACAGTTGCTACAATCATGCCAGTTACACCAGCTCCTATAACAGCTGGATAGGCATTAAATGGAGGGTCCGCTAGAGGAAGGAAGAATTTATGGTATAAAAAATTGTATATTACAGAATGATTTTTCTCTCTTCAAATAGAAAGTTACATTTAGTTAACATAAAATATGATTTCTTCACTATACACAAAAAAGTAATCACCTGTGTTTTACCAGCACCGTAACGTAATGTAAGAGAGATTTCCTGTGTTAATGCACAGCGATTTGATGAGTGTTATCATTATTTATATGATCTTGTACAACCTACGATATTGTTTAAATTCATGTTTCAAACCAATATTTAATGAAAACAATATCATACACAAAGCACTACGGAAAAATGCACATTCACATTCGTTTCATTATCTCGTGTGATAAAGTAAATTTATCTTATAAATTTAAATTTTAGATCTCCTTATAGTGTTTATCTTTATCTTTAATAGAGTTAATTTATGTTAGTGTTTATATAAGACAGTTATCCCTTTGGGAATGGTTTACCTCTACAAAACTATGTCTTGTACTTCCTCACCTCCTTCTTTGTAAATGTTGAATAATTACTTTCTTCTCGTTCTTCAAGCTGAACCATACTTTCTTTCAACAAATAGTAAATGGTAACAATCTATTTGGCATATATACATTCAAATCAGATTAAAATGAATTGCTGACTAAGCTTTTTAAGAAAGGTGACATTTCCACGTAATTAATCAAGGATGAATAGAAAAGAAAAGCCATGCAGTAGAATTCAAAGAAAAATAAGGAGTCTCTCTGGTCAGACACAATCCCAGTATTTCATTGTATTAGACTGTTTTCTAATTAGTTATTAATTAACTAACAAGGAGTCTCTCTGTTCAGACATGAGTACTTGCATTTCATCATATTAGACCGGTTTCTAATAAGTGATATTTGTATTAGGTACTGGGTCAGGCAGGGTGATCTTGTGATCTGCCCAAGGGCTATTGCTAGGTCCCAAGCATACTGGGGTTGGAGCCCAAAGGAAAACTTAATGAGTTTGACAGAGAGGTGTAGATCTGTCTTGATATTTCCCCCTTTTTTATGTCATGTCCCATCTCTACCTAAGAACAGCTGCTGCTCTTTAGGATCTCAATGAAAGAACAAGCAGAAACTAACAATGAACACTCAACCAGGTATTCAGTGCAATCACAACCCCACATCTGGGGTTTCAGCCCTCCAAGCAATGCATATGGATCTCCCTACTAGTTGCAGGGATTCCTCCCTCCATATACTTTTTGCCATGATGTATGCACCCCATATGGTACACATATTGCAGGTTGGGAACTGATGTCTAAGGAATTAGTAAGATTTCCTTGTGTGATTACTTGTGTACAGAAGTACCTGTAGAACATAGGTTGATCAATGGAATCCTTATTGTCAGTCTAAGTTATCCAAATTGAGAACATTCTTGTAGTCTCTTATAGTCACCAATGCAGTTATAAGTTGGATTGCTATATAAGAGAACTTTTATTGAAGTTCATTATGATATGTGGTTTAAAAGTATCATGTGTAAATATCAACTAATTAAATGATAAAAACAGAGGTTCTGGGGAATATTGAGAGTGAATGCACTAAAGAAAAACTAACTAGCTATGTGGAACTCGAAACCAAATTGAGTAGAATACAGCTATGCAACAGACATCAAAGTGAAGGTTTTTTTTCATAATTGATCACCTGCCCACTAATTGTATGACCCTACTAGCCTGTCATATTTTTAACTGTTCTTCAACATACCTTTATTTACCATATCAACTCTTTAACCTCCCTCATTCACACCAGCTATTGAATCAACGTGTTTATATGCACCCGTAACCATTTAAACCTTTGTATTAGCCATCCGTTGGCCACTGATATCTTCCCTTCAATGCTCCCTAACTGGTTTATAGCCACTATTCAACCCCTATTTTCAAATCCAGCTTATTATTCCTGGCCCAAATGTTTTAAGTGTTTGCTTTGTGTCAAATGCTTAGGAATAGAGGATAGAGAAATCGCTATATTGACATCTTCTCCCCTAATTCCTAATTAAATTCAAACCCTTGAATAATCTGCTGTAATGACTTTCTCTCTTACAGTGAAATGTAGCTGAGTGGGAACACTGAAATAGAAGATTGAAGGACTGTCAAAGTCCCTCAGAAGGTTCACGGCCGTCTTTAAAGCGGGACAAACGGGGCAGCTGCCCCGGGCCCACTTACTCCTGGGGGGGCCCAAAGCAGCTACCCCGTGGGCCCCGCTGTCCGCAAAAAAATGTATTTGCCCCCTGGGCCTGCCGGTGCTGCGGCTGCACCGGGAGCCCCCACACTAAGAGGCCCCGGTCGGGCACTTTGGCCCCCTTGTTTTACTGCAGCAGGCTGGGAGGAAGTGACTGCCGTGAGTCACTTCCTCCCAGATAGAATGAAGCTGCACGGGATGGAGTAGGAGGCCATCAGGAGGGAGCTGGAGTGCAGGAGCCTCACACTCCCAACGACCTCAGCCTGCCGCTGGACCCCAGGGAACCCATAAGGTAGGGCTCGAGGGAGGCTTTATAAATGTAAACTTTGCATGTGTGTGTCAGTATTTGTGTAAGTCAGTATGTCTGTGTGTGAGTTTGTCTGTCAGGGTTTCTGTGTGTGTCAGTATGTCTGTGTGTGTCTTAGTATGTGTGTATGTGTGTGAGTTTGTATGTCAGGGTATTTGAGTGTCAGTAAATCTGTGTGTGTGAGTATGTGTGTCTTAGTATGTCTGTGTGTGTGTGAGTATGTCTGTCAGGGCTTATGTGTGTGTGTCAGTATGTCTGTGCGTGTCAGTTTGTCTGTCTGTGCTTGTCAGTTTGTCTGTGCTTGTCAGTTTGTCTGTCTGTGCGTGTCAGTATGTCTGTCTGTGCGTGTCAGTTTGTCTGTCACTGTGTCAGTATGCCTGTCAATGTCTAAAAATGTAAACGTTGCATGTGTGTGTCAGTATTTCTGTGTGTCTTAGTATGTCTGTGTGTATCTAAGTATGTGTGTGTGAGTATGTCTGTCAGGGTGTCTGTGTGTGTGTGTGTGTGTGTCCGTCTGTGTGTGTATCAGTATGTCTGTCAGTGTGTGTCACTATGTCAGTGTGTCATTATGTCTGTCAGTATGTATATCTGTGTATCTGTATTTAGTATATCTGTTTCTCTATGTGGTCTGTGTGTCTTTGCATGTGTCTCAGGTTTTGTATCTGCGTGTCTGTATGTGTCAGTGTGTGTATCTGTAAGTTATCATTGTATGTCTTTGTGTATCTGTATGTTGTCAGTGTGTGTACCTGCGTGTGTATATCTGTGTGTGTGCATCTGTATGTAGTCAGTGTTTTTATCTGTTTATCTGCATGTGTGTCAGTATATGTATCAATGTGTCTGAGTATTCATGTGTCAGTGTTTGTATATTTGTCTCTGTATGTGTCAGGTTGTGTATCTGTGTGTCTGTATGTGTTAGTGTTTGTATCTGTGTCAGTCTGTATCTGCGTGTGTGTTAGTGTGAGTGTCAGTGTTTATATCTGTGTATCTGCATGTGTTTCAGTGTGTATTTGTGTATCACAGTGTGTGTGTGTGGCAGTGTATGTGTACATGTACGTACATCTCATCATTCAAATCGCCAACAATACACACAAGTACACCCCTGCATTCAACCTTCAACACTACATACAAACACAGTCCTGCATTGAAACGTCAACAATACATACAAATACATCTTTGTGTTACACCCAGCATTAAAAAAAAAATACACATAGATGCATGCTTGCATTCAAACACCAACACCACCTACAAACACACCCCTACATTTACACAAACACACTCCATACAAAAACATGCTTCCATTCAAACACACAAACACAACTCAGTGCTAAATACAACTCTGCAAGCATGTGAAATTGGTTCCGTTACTGCGTTGGGAAGTGGAGATCGTGACTGCATGCCAGGGAGTTAGGGTCAGGGGGCCCTATCAAATGCTTGCCCAGGGCCCAATCATTATTAAAGACGGCCCTGAGAAGGTTATTCAAGGTTGTGGCCACTTCCTCATATTATCTTATTATGTTTGGAAAAATATTACCATGTAATTTTATGGAGTCAATTTAATTTGTGAGGGCATATTTACAATCTATCTCTACTTACCTGGTGTTTTCACTTCTGATGGGAACCCTGTCGTCCTGTGGTTAACAGCAATAATTCTGAAGGCATACACAATAGCAGGGTCTAAACCTCCAAGTTTGTGTCCTCGAATTTCTGGTTCTATGTCACTAGCCACAGTGTCCCATGAAGAAGTCTGGGCAGACCTCCTTGGACCAGTAAAGGACCGGATACTGGCTTGCCTCTGTACCATAAAACCTGTAAGGTCACCAATTCCTTGGGTCATCCATTCCAGGTCCACTTCTGTCCTTTGCCGACTATACAGAAGCTTACTGATCGTAACGTTGGGTGGAGTAGGATATTCTGTACATAGAAATTAAGAAACAAAAAATATCAGAAATATGTTTTGGCAACACTTTATTCATCTCTTGTTTCTTAGTCTTCTCTTGTTTAATTTTGCTTTTTTTGTCTGCTGCAAAGAATTTTAACCTAGTCAATGCTATAATGTGATCACACATGCAAAACTCTAGAACCGTTATCATACCTGCCAACATTTCCACAGTAAACCATAACTTATTAATAGGATGATTGTCTTTCAGTTATAATTCATCTAACATTTGGGGATACATTATCTACTAAAAAGGGAATTGTGGTAAATTAGTAAAATAATAGTAATTGTAATAACAATAATATAAGGTTACTTAACCAGTGACAGAACATTTAACTTTTGATTGTTGTCAAGTATTCCCTGGGGTCACACGGTTACTTTTATTAAACATATTGGTATTGCGTGATTTTAGTTTGTTTGATAAATAGACACGTGTCCTTATGAATATTCAATAAATGCGCACATCTTAAAATAAAATAACGGGTGCGCACCATAACTAAAAAACTGAACTCTTTAGATAAATGGAGGTTATCAGAGTGTGTGGGCTAATCTCTTGATTTTTAGTAAGTCTAATGAGAAAGTCATGATTTTATTAAATACAATACAAGCAAAAATAGATCCAGATAAAAGGTACTATAGATATACACTATAGGTGAAAAACTGACACCCAAATAGCCTATAAAACCAAATAAGAAAGAAATTGATGAGTACAGACCCACCTAATGAGGGCGCTAAACACTACAGACAAATGTATAAACGTAATATTGAAAATATCAAAAATTTATTCTTCACAGTGAATAAAAATATAAAACAGTATACATTTGTATATTGTTTTATATTTTTATATATTTTTATTCACTGCGAAGTGTGCAGAATAAATAATGAGGGCTCTAAACACTACAAACAAGTGTATAAACGTAATATTGAAAATATAAAAAAATTTACTTTGCAGTGAATAAAAATATATAAAAATATAAAACAATATGTATACATTTGTATATTGTTTTATATTTTTATATTTTTATTCACTGCGAAGTGTGCGGAATAAATTTTTGATATTTTCAATATTACGTTTATACACTTGTTTGTAGTGTTTAGCGCCCTCATTAGGTGGGTCTGTACCTATCTATTTCTTTCTTATATGATTTTATTAAAGACACAGAAACTGGTATGATCTCAAGCTCTTTTTTCCCCAATAGCAGCAAAGAAAAAAAAACTAACAGAAACCATCAAATATACAGAGGAAAAGGAATACATTGACACGGTTACAGATTAGATCACTCCTTCCCAACAGGTGATAAATTGCAGTGCACAAATTACAATATTAGCCTTTGTTGCTGGTCCCTGCAGACAAGTATCACCCAATGTAGTTGTGCTGTGATATGATTACATTTTCTTGCAGTGAATTTATGTTTTTCTTTTTCCATTTATTTATTGTTTGTATTGCTATTCTTGGAGGATATTCTGCCTCCGTGTTTTTACAAAAAAAATGTTATTGCTCCTTTTTTTCTAATAGTTTATGTAAATTGTTCTTTACTTTCTTGTTCATTTAGATATACTTCCATAAATTCTTCTCACTTTATTGTGATCATTGTCGTTACTTTTTGCTGTAGTTTTGTTTTTCTCTTGTTTCTGGTAGCACAAGCACTGGAGACCATTGGCCATCACACATAGTTCTCACATCTTCGTTACTTTCATGGTCTCTTGTCATTCATGGTGGCCATTTTACCAGTCGTGGACTTGGTGGCCATCTTTCTTGGGACAATTTGTTTCATTGTTGAGTCTCATCCAGTTTACACTATTTTACCTCTATATTGTGAGTTTGTATCAGTCCTGTCAGATCATTATATTAGGTTTAATACAGCAAGTGCTATGTAAGGGAGTCTTTCAGTGGTCAAAATATAATTTGGTGCTCAGCTATCAGATAGATAATGTATGGAAGATATTTATATGTCAGATTTTTGTTTTCCGCAGTTTTTTTCTAATAACTCTTTTCTGATTACATTCAAATTCAATTCTCATTTATTTGAAATTCAATTCTAATTTAATCTAATATTATATATTTGATCTCAAATGTATTTCAGGTCAACCTGTTTGCATTTAGACAGAATCCCAAATTCCAAACTTTTTCATCTGGAAATCAGACCCAGATACTCTACTGGTAGATTCTTTTGTAGAAGACATGTCTTGAGGTCAGAATTATGCCTTTTCACCATTTCCATTGGGTAAGAGCTCAAAAAGCATTGTTAGTAATTAACAACACCCTTACCCGTTGGCAAAAATGTATTAATTTGTAGATTTTGTTTTCTAATTCTTTATTTTTAAAGCACAAATACAAATAAAATAGGCAGCAACAAAGTAATTGAACATTTTTAAATCAATTAAAAAAGCACAACTGATCAAACAGGTTATGGAAAAGAGAGGAAACAAACACAATAGGTCAAAGGGGGCGCTTCCTGCTTAGGTGATGGGTTATGAAAAAATGGTTCCAGCCATCCTGTAGGAAATGGGGCATAAGAGGCATAAGCCTATTATACCTCTCTGTGGAACTAGTGTTAACTAGCATGCATAGGGTTAAATGTAAAAAGAAAAATTAAAACACAACAAATAAGTAAAGAAAACAGGAACCAACTTTGAAACCTAAATCTTCTCAACCAAATGTGTTGAGGATCCACCACAACAAATCCAAAATAAATGCTTTGTTGTAGCTTGGGCTAAATGAAGAAACACCTTCCTTTTTGGAAAACACAGAGGTAAATTAGGGGCCCCATCAAATGCCATGTCCCATTGCTGCCGAACAGAGTTGCCGTCAGCCCAAGCTGTCACTTTGTCGAAATTATTAAAGAAAGAGAGTTTATCTGTCTCCTAGGAATATTCACTCAGTGTCCAATCTGATTGCATAAGGTGTTTCTTTTCTGCTTCCCCTTGGAAGTAAAGCAATACTTTCCTTGCCAACCCTGTCGGGATCCTGGGAGAGTTTGCCAGTTTGCCAGGCTGCACCCGTGGCCATAGATTTAGCCTGGGTGGCTTTGATAAGGGAGGCAATCATCCAGATGGAACGCTGAAATGCCAATCTTTTTCAGAACCCTCATGATGCTCACACTGAGGCTCCAGACTCTGACTTCAAGTTAATTTACTTGTACCTTTCAGCAAACCTTGGATCATTGGATATGTATAACTGAGGCTGCACACATCCCCCTGACACCACAGCCTTTCACATTGATTAAATCTTCCCTTATAGTGACCAAATGAACAAGAAAATAACGGTTTTTGAAATCCCATCAACATTCACTTTGGATGAAGGAGTCATTTGATCTGATCGGACCGTATCTAATGCAAATGCTTTTCGATATCTTTAAACTTGAATGCCTCAGCTACCTTGACTTTCTTCACTTCTCTCTTGTGTCCCTAAAACACTACCAGTGGTGATAATTTTATGTATTTAATGCTTGTCAACTTCAGGCCTCGCATTATATTCGAACACTTGAGTCAAACACTGCTCATTACAAAGAAAACGGACTGTGGAACGTGTGCACTGATATTTACCATCTCCACTGATAAGATGTTTTGGTGGAAGAAAAGCATGTAATTTGTGTCTATGTATTCCATTGGATCTGTATAAATTGTGTTTTCTGTTAAATGTCTTCTTTGCTGCTTTTGAGAGAAGAAAGGTTTAACCATAATATTTGTCTCTGTCTGTTTAGTAAAATCATGGCGGCTCTGTCAGCAGTTCCCGTGTGTTAATACTTTGGAACACCTCACAACACTCTCCTCCCAGCTTAGTAATTGTAGTAAAAGTTAGTAGCGAAAAATGTATTCCTTATATTTAAAATTCCTTTTTCATAAATATTTAAACATTGTACTGCACATAGTTTTGGTTTATCTGCAAAACCAGGGTAAAAGAAACTGACTGAATCATAGTTTTAGTTCTTCTAAATAGCCTATAATTTACACACAAAATGCCTGCTAGTGACACTTTATCATCTGATATTCTTTTAAAAGAATTCAAACACAACAATATAGTAAGTTTCCATGACAAATGTTTTAATGCAAGATTTTCAGTATCATCCTAAGATTCAAACATCCTAGGTTGTGGAGGTCTCTTTATTCGAAAGCCCTTTATTAATCTGCAAACAACAGGATGTTTTCCTACTGGAAGATTATTGATAAATATGTGATTTGCTGAAATTGATGATCTGTAAACATTGATAGTTCGGTAAGCTTTTCCTTCATCCTAACAATAGGAAAGAATATTTAAAATTTTGGAAATATCTGCATGCAAGGGATCCAAATCTCATTTCCATGCAAAAATTGATGTGTTTTGCTGGTTCCTCTAAACACCATTGACCGTCTGTTTCAATTTTTTTCACAACGGGCTCCCCATCCATGAAAACTTGTGTCCGATTCTATGACTATATCTGGAAAGGATCCAAAAATGGCTTCCCATTCCAAGCCATTCTGTGTCGTAACTATCAAATTAAGTTGTCCTTTGCTTCAATGGTAAGATGGTTTGAGGTCTCTGTAATGCTCGATAGTGGAGTGGGCTGGGAAGATTGCTTAAATTGATGCCAAAAGTAAACTAACGATGCTTACAGGAAGTCTGAGGGTTATAGAGGCATTCTGTAGTACCTTCTTTGTGAATCACTTTAAATTTTTGAGTTTGTAAACTGAGTGCTTGTACATTTAAATTTGTTAGAAAAACCCAAAATTTAATCTGTTAAAATGGTTTTAGAGAAGATTTCATCCAATTGATACAAAAGAAACCTAGATTTTGTAAGAGATCCAAAGTCAAATGTGAATGAAGTGTTATAATATAGGTTTTTTGCCATAATTTAAAAAATGTATATTATCATCTGGACACCTTGACTTTGTTTTAACACCTTTGTAAAGCACCAAAATGCCATTAACAGTCCAAAGGGTAGACAGGTGAACTGCCATTTTTTTCTTCTTCCAGTTAAATTTAAGAAATTTGTAATAATCCAGATGAAAGGTGAGTGAAAGATATACATTGTTTACATCTACCATTATAAGACAGTTTCCCTGTTGTAGCAAACCCCTCAGACAATGAATACTCTCCATTTTAAAATGCTTGTATTATTCCCAAGCATTCAGAAACTTTAGATTTTTGAAAATGTAAAGGAAGAGGTTCTTCCTTCTGAACCAAATAATGTACGAAAACTATTTTAAATCTCTTCACTGCATTGAGAACCCACATATCTGAAGTGATTTGAGACAAGTAATGGAAAAAATGTGTGATTCTCACACCCAATTTCCCTTTGAAAAAACAGGTTCCAGTGGACATACCTGAAAAATTTTGTGATCTAGACCATGGGTTCCCAACGCATTTCTCAAGTACCCCCTAGCAGTCCAGGATTCAGGGAAAGTTTTTTTTTTCTTCTAAAAACACCTTAGACACAACTGGGTAATCCCTAAATCCTGGACTGTTAGGGGGTACTCGAAGACTGGGTTTGGAACCACTGATCTAGAAAATCCTCTCTGGCCTCTGGATCTCCATGGTCGTCTTCATTTTGGGGAAAAAAAGCTAATTTTATGAGATTTATTTATGGGTTCTATTTCTCCTATAGTAGGAACCTTTGAAATATTGTCTTGATTGAAAAATTCAGATAGAAGAATGGTTCTCGCTTTTTTAGGCCCTTCCAAAAATGTTATTCTGGAAAACCTGTTTTAAATGTATTTGAGCTTTATTTAGTGAGGAAAAAATATAAACATATTTTCCAATGTTTTCAATAAATTATTCCCCAAACAATAAGGCTTCTGGTCCATACGCTGAAATATCCATTACAATGAGTTGTGCATCTAATTTTAGAAGATTGTCTCTTCGTCTATCTGATGCCAGAGCAAAATTAGCATTACCTAAAAGGAATATAACAGTTTGAATCTAACCTCCTAAAACTTGAACATATTCGAGTTTACTAGTTTTTAATGACTTCTCTGGTAAATCAAAAATCTTAGCTAATGATCCGAGAATGTCTCAAATGCTATCTTGGTCGCTCTTTACTTAATTTACTTAAATATTGGACAATGGTGGGATCAAATACCGGGATCATACAAGCCTTACTGGCAGTCAGTGGTTGGGATACTTCATGAGCGGCAAATTGAGTGTTTAGTGCATGCACAGGAAACCACATGCTTCACGATTAAGGAGCATAGACTCCAATAAAATGGCAGCAAGAGAACGGAGCTTGCGGCAAATTCAAACAGAATCGACAAAGTGAGTTCAGAAAACAGACAAAAAAAAAAAGGGTAAATAGACAAATTAAATTGTAATAAAATTATAGGTATTAAAAATAAATAAATCCAATTAAAGCACAGAAAAAAAACATAGAAAAAATTATAACAAAGCAACACAAGAAAATAGAGACCTGGCTGTTTATATTTATTAAGAGACTGTTCCTGATTGGTTGAATTAAATGTTCTATATTATCATGTTTGGTCCAGTTTTAAGTTTGTTTGAATTTACATTGCATTTTACATTTGCTGCTATTTGAAGTAGTAAATAAAGTAGAGGATAATATGAGCCTCATATTTATAATTAAATTTAAGTACTATTGCAATGGGTAAAAAGAAACTAATTATGTAGCGGCTGGTCCGAGCTTGCAAAATTTTATCCAGATTTCAGTATTCCACTAGCGTTCAGTCCAGCTGAAACCCAGATCAGTGTCAGGCCTGAATGACAAAATCTGGACACGTTTGCCATATGAATGGCCCCGTACAGCAGCAAATAGTTTTGCCACATATATAAATTACATCTCTATTGACAGACACTGATGAGCTCAATGACTTTAAATTTGTCACTGTCACAGTATTTCACTTTTACCACAAATCAGTTCCTGAAATTTCTGCCTTACTGGATCTATCCTGATCAACTGTAAGTGCTATTATTCTGAGGTGGAAGCATCTAGGAGCAACGGCAAACCAGCCAGAAAGTAATAATCCACACATACTCACAGAGCAAGGGAACTTAGCGCTGAAGCATGAAGCACATAAAAAGTCAAAAATTGTGGTCATGATGGAAAGTCATGATTTCATTAAAGACACAAAGATGACAAGTATGGAATTATCTTTCTTTACTTCCAAATAACAGAAACAAATAACATTAGCACACAGAAATAAAGAGTACATTTCCACAGGAATAGGTGGCATCATCCCGTCCCACCAATAAGACGTTAGCACAGATAATAAATAGTTGCATGAACATTCTAATGCCATCTTTCTTTGATGCGATAAGATGAACAGAAATAAAGTCCTCTAAATGTGTTAATTCACAAACATGTGGAAAATGAAGCAAACAAATGAATTTTAACAAAAACAAGTCCTCACAAGAAAAGCATTTAGGGAATTTCCATCAGCGGAGACAACAGAAAATAATAATCATAAAAACTTGTTTTGAGCTGAAACAATAAAAATAAGTCAAATACATTTAATAATAATAATAATGATGATGATAATAATAATATTTTATGATAATTTTTACAGTATCATATTTAAGTTATGAGAGCCATATAATCAATAATTACATTAAATATTATATAAGAGCTAATGAGTTAATGAGTAGGGAAAAACATTATTATTATTATTTATTTTTTTAAAGGATTAGTGCTAATACTCCCCTTCGTGTCTTTAATAAAATCATGACTTTCCATAACGACTTAAAAAAAATCTTGGGATTTTATTACAAGTCACGGTGGCTCCTATCAAGTAATTTGAAAGCTTATCAATTACCACAAAGAAAAATTGAATAATTAAATTAAGAAAATTGAGACCAGCCTGCTAATTTCATGATATCTTTATAATATAATTTGAAAAGCTGATCAAATTATATTAAATCAATGAAGAAATCGAACACAGATTTGGTAAGTCTGAAAAAGATGGATAAAACACTTAAGTGATAGAAGTCTTAGTATGAGGAGAAATGTTAAATTTTACCCCTAAAACGCCACAAGAATGGGCTCCATGTACATATGAGACCACCTTGCATGAGTACAACTAATTTAGATGAGAGTTGGTGAATAGATAAATAAGTGTTGACAGACCATTGTTCAATAAAATTAAGAACAACATTCACATCTCAGATGGAAACATATTTGGGTTGAGGAGATCTGGAAAGTCTAATACCATTAAATAGCATACAGTAAAACTCTCGCCAGCTGGAATCATATCAATTCCTCTATGGCCCAACAATATAACACATTGACAAAAGTTTATTGTTCTGTAAGCTTTCCCATGTTCAAAAATGGAAGTCAGAAAAAGACAGTAAAACACAAGGAGTTGCTGAAATGGGATCCAAATCGTGTTCCATACTGAAATGAGACCAGACACTCCATGCACACTTAGAAGATCTTCTAGTTCTTGGAGCTCAAGCTTGCTGTAATAGAGAGAAAAGTGATTCTGAAACTCCTTTGATAAAATCAGGTAAATGGAGATCTTCCAAGTAGAAACATTCAGAAGGTTTTGTTGTTGGAGTTTGTGCATCTGACTGGATGGAAGATTTGGCATGGAAAGAAAGAGTTGTGGAATATAAATCAAATATAAAATTCCGGTAACCATGGTTGTGTTTGCCAAAAGGGTGTTACTACTAGAATCAACATTCTCTCTGATTCCAAGCCTTATAAACTGTCTAATTGCAATAGAAGTATTTGCATTGTCTCATAAAACATAATATTTTTCTTTCCTTTAAGACTGAACTAGTTGTTCATGGGTTAGTGATTCTTCCACCAAATCAAATATTTTGTTAAGGGATACAGAATTATCTAAAATTTTATCTTGGCATGCTTTCATTACAAACTCTATACCTGTCTCTGACAATTGCATCATGATTAGTGAGGTACTGAACCATTTAAGGCCAACCACAGGAGAAACACAAACTTTGTTGGGAATAGAAGGTCAAGGTCATTCACACTAAGTTCATATCGACTAGACTTGTCTAAGGGTTTATGATTTTTGTGTTCCAAATACCGTGTAATTTAGTCCAGCAGAGCCAACTTCACAAACTGAAGATTCTTCTGGATTGGTATGGTCACCCTTTGCTATCAAACAAAATCTTTGTTGTTCGCTTTTTCTAAAGAACATTTTTCCTCAACAAATACTGGAAATACGGAATCTGAGATATCAAGTCTGAGTTGTGTATTGACTCTATCTTTGTCTCCTCATCTGTACATGATTCAGAGTCCATAATACTTTCTAACATTAAGACATTAGACATTTTTTTTGTCACTTCTGCTCAACAAGCATGGGCTCTTTTAAGTCTTCATTACTCGGGTTAATCCTAATTTCAAAGTTGTTGTAGAGATCTGTTGTGAAAAGCACTTAGATTTATCAATAACTTTCCCAAGCTAAAGTTGCATAATCAAAATCTGAAATGAAAGACAGAACCTGATAGGGATCAAGGGTTTTTGGTAAATTAATATTATTAGAGTCATCCGAAATAGCTTGTGATAGTGCTTGTAATAATGCCTTAGAAAAGGTATGGGTCATCGTATCCACAGAGTTTAGACTTTAGACTTAATTAAGACATAGAATGTCTGCAAATTATTGTGTTCTATCCAGAGGAATCTGAAAATAAGGTTCATTTTCTCCATCACTAGGGTTAGAGGATCTGAAATCAATGTTTTAAACTTTAGAGACTGTATCCTTATAGGAAAAACCAATAGCAAATGGAACTACAGAATCTTTAAAATATGAAATGCTGAATGCAATTCAATGTATACAATATACAAAAGAAGTAAAATGGAGAGATGATCAAACAAAATATCCTCACCAAAACAAAGAGAATAAATTTAAAATTACTAAAGCAGAATAAAAATGCATTTTATCGAAAAAACACAAAGCCTCAATATAGGATACAAAGAGCAATATTCTGAGGTAAAATGTGTTTAAAAAGTGTTATATGAAAATCTAATACATGAAAGTAATGACTGACCGCTAAACCATCTATCTTCCACAAAGAGAAAGCCGCCAAGTAACCTTATGAGAGAATAAAAGGTAAGGACAATGAACACTTTGCCCCAACCAATATGGTCTTTGCAACAAAGTAACAGGGGGTCTCCGATGGAGAAATTGGCCGCTAATATAGTGCAAATAAACCAGAAAAGACCTAGAAACCAAGGAAAATCACTATAAAGAGAAAATAGGTAACTGTGGCGAAACCGACCTTGCCACTGGGCATTGGAGAAGACTGATTGACAGCCTCCTGCCATGTGACTATGTCCCCTGGGATGTATTGCCCTTTAAAGACATTTGGGCTTATTGGATTTTCAAACACTTTTTCTGACCCTTTGAATACATGAGAAGGTGTGCCCCTCCCCCGTTTCCTGTCTATTGTTCTCCAGCAGGGCATTGTCCCAGGGACACTGCCAGACCAGCTGGAACTTGTTGCTATGGTTTAACCCCATGGCGATTGGACTGTTTTTGTGGAATCTGAGCACTGTTCGGATATAGTGAGCACTCAGATCCAAGCTATCCGGGGATAGGTTGAATGTGGGGGTTCTGTTAAGTATAATATGAATTATGTATTTTTATGTGTTGTTGTGAATAGAGCTATTTTCTGTATGCTGGAGGTAATTGGCTTACCACACCCAAGTCATGCTTGCAGGCGGTCACAAAGGGATTTCCAACTAACTTTTGACCCACTGGACCAATTTGTATGATTTTGACGTATTGATTGGTTGTTCTGCAAAACCCTGTGGGCAGTACTATGTTTCTAGAATGTGAATAAAAGAGGCTGTATGTGCCAGTACAGTCAGTTCTACTTCACCCTCAATCTGAGTCCTGTCTCTTATTGGGGGAATCTGCTACAAGGGATTGCTATGCTCTGCATATTCCCTTGCTATAATCACTGAGCTCTTGTAAGAGCTTGTTCCTGTCTTGTTCTCTGAAGGAGTCTACGGTGGTTATGGTGTCGGCTGGAGTGCTTGGAGCCCTCAGAAAGCGCTAGGAACATCCTTCAATGGAGGTACCCAGTCGGGGTGCCAGGTGATCCGTTACAGTAACATTCAAGTACGTGATCATTTGGGAAATAGTGAAAACAAAATAGTGTCCTTTGAAATAAGCTCAAAAAAACAAAAGCACATGGGGTATACTAAAACATATAATTTTAAAAAGGCCAATTTCAATAAGTTAAGGGGAGCTTTACAATATATTAATTGGTATAAACTCTTTAATGAGAACACTGAGAATAAATGAAAGATCTTCCAACAAATATTAGAAAGGTAGTTTTCTCAGTATGTACCACTGGGTAATAAAGATAATAGAAACAAATTTAAACCAATGTGGCATAGTGGGAAAGGGAATTAAGAAATAAAAAATAAAAAAAGGGCATTCAAAGCATTTAAATCGGACATATCAGAGGCATCCTATAAAAGATATAAGGAAGCCAATAGCGTGTGCAAAAAGGCGATTAGATTGGCTAAACTTCAAAATGAAAAAAATGATAGATAAAAAGAGAAAAAAACAACCCCAATGTATTTTTAAGTACATAAATTCTAAAAAAAAAAAAAAGGAAAAAATTAAAATGTTGGTACACTAAAAACCAGCATGGGGTGTTTTAAATAACTATTACTCCTCCATATATATTAAGGAAGAACCTATGGCAATAGATAATTGAAATTATTGCTGCAAAAAACATGCAGAAAAATGCCAGTTGGCTAACTCAAGACAAGGTGCTGCAGCAACTAAAGAAAGTTAACATAAACAAAGCTCCAGGACCTAATGGTATTCATCCACGAGTACTACCACGAGCAACTAAGTGTAGAAATAAGTGAACCTCTGTTTTTAATCTATCAAGATGCTTTTCTTTCAGGAAGTGTTCCGGAGAATTGTCGGAAGGCGGATGTGGTTCCTATTTTCAAAAAGGGTTCAAAATCCTTGCCTGGAAATTATAGACATGTGAGCTTAACTTCTGTAGTAAATATTGAAAGGTTATTAAATGGACACTGTAGTCACCAAAACAAGTTTAGTTTAATGAAGCAGTTTTGGTGTACAGATCATGCCCCTGCAGTCTCACTACTCAATTCTCTGCCATTTAAGAGATAAATCACTTTTGTTTCTGTTTATGCAGCTCTAGTCACACCTCCCGTGGCAGTGACTCTCACAGCCTGCATGAAAACAAAATGGTTTCATTTTTCAATCAGTTGTAATTTACTTTAATCTCCTGCTCTGTAAATTGAACTTTAGTTACATACAGAATGTTCCTATATGGTCTAATAAGTCATTAACAGAGCAGGAGATAATACATTCTAGATTAAACAGAATTTGCAATACAGGAAGTATAAAAATTAGATGACGGTTTTATGAAGCACAGGTCATGTCAAACTAACTTGACTGCATTCTACAAAAAAGTAAGTAGAAATATAGATCAGGGTGTTGCAGTGGATGTGATCTATTTGGATTTTGCCAAGGCGTTTGATACAGTTCCACACAATAGATTAGTGTTCAAACTCAAAGAAATTGCTCTAGATGTCATTGACTGTAAATTTTCAAGCAGGACAGATGTGGCAAGTGGTGTCCCTCAGGGTTCTGTTCTGGGAACCCTTCTATTTAACATGTTTATAAATGATCTTGAAGACAGCATTGAAAGTCATGTTATAGATATTACTTTGCTGTAGAGGGATTTAGATAGACTGGGGGACTGGGCACTTAAATGGCAGATACAATTTAATGTAGAAAAATGCAAAGTTATGCACTTTGATGTAAAGAAAGCACAAGCACCTTATACCCTTAATGGAAGCGTATTAGGGATAACAACACGCGAGAAGGACTTGGGAATTGTTACAGACAACAAACTATGCAACAATGTGCAATGTCAATCAGCAGTGGCTTAGGCCAGTAAGGTATTGTCATGCATGAAAAAGGGCATTAATTCTTGGGATCAGAATATCATTTTGCCTCTGTATAAATCACTGGTAAGACCCCATATTGAATATGCTGTGCAATTTTAAGCACCTGTTCTAAAGAAGGATATTATGGCACTAGAAAGAGTGCAGAGGTGGGCTACAAAATTAATAAAACAAATGGATCATTTTAGCTATAAAGAAAGGACAACAAATTAAAATCTCTTTAGTTTAGAAAAACATTGCCTTGGAGTGGATATGATAACATTATACAAATATATCCGGGGTCAATTGAAACCAATGTGTGGAAGTCTTTTCACAAACAGTAATTTACATAGGACACGATCGTCATGCGTTCAGACTGGAAGAAAGAAGCTTTAGTCTAAGGCAAAGGAAAGGTTTTTTTTTAATCGTAAGAACAATAAAGTTTTGGAATTCTCTGCCTGAAGAAGTGGTTTTATCAGAGTCCGTACAGATGTTTAAACAGCAACTAAATGCATAGTTGCAAAACCAGAATATTCAAGGATATAATTTTTCAATGCAGGGTAATAGCTTCTTGATCCAATGATAAATCTGAATGCCATTCTGGGGTCAAGAGGGACTTTTTTTCCTAGTTTGTTGCAAACTGTTTTTTTTTTTCCTTCTTTTGGATCAACAGCTAAAAACAAATGTGAGGAATGCTGAACTTGATGGATACATGTCTCCTTTCAATCTATGTAACCATGTAACTATGTAAGTGGAAAGTAAATAAACAGGAGGGGAAAGGAAAAAGCATTCACAATGGTAAAACCATAAGAGCACCACACGCAAAAGCAAATATAAGAAATATGAGTAATATAAATGAAAAAAACAAAGATATAAGGCAAACAATAAATAAAATACAGTTAGTGCTGTTAGTTAGAAGCACCAGTGCAAAAGAAGATAAGATAATCAGGGAAGTAAAAAATGCAACACTTTTCTCCTGGGAACAGCAAAGAAGCATCATATTGGAATGCCCATTCAACTATTTAAGTACTGTGCTGACACCTGATTGGTGGGACTGGATGACATCACTTCTCTGGAAGCAACATTGGTACAACAACTGTATACACTGGGGGATCTTAAAAGTGCCTTTTATTTTTGGTCTGTTCATGATTATTAGAATGTTCTAAAATTGGACTAAAAGTGATATCGTTTGTTCTTTTAAATTCCATCCCACACTTTTATTAGAGAAAAAGCAAAAGAAAATTGGTAAATATATTGTGCCAGTGAAAAATGTGAATATTGCAGCACGCAAAAAAAAATATTATGGGCTAAAAAATATCCATATAATAAATCACGAAAAAAAATGCAAAAAATTTAAATTATTCTAAATTATCTGCAATACTTTAATAAATCAAATCATGTAATTCAAATCATTTCAAGGGATTCACTGTGTTTTTTTTTTCCTGCATCTGTGTATTATCTGAAGGCTATAAATCATGCTGCTAAAATAAAATAATTCATATGATATTTAGTAAACTGTACATACTGTTAACTTGAAGCCAAATTAAAATGGAAGAATTTCCCACAGCATTAAAGGCCAAGCAGCGATACAATCCACTGTCGACGTTCCACTCGGTTTCTCGAATGGTTAAAGTAGAAAAACCAGATTCCTTAAGTATTCCATACTTCTGGGAATCTGAAGTTATTTCCTTGTTCTTGTTATCATACCAGATTATCTCAGATATAAGATTTGTTGGTTTCATGTGACAGCTCATCTGAGCATCATTTCCTTCAAGTACCGAAATGTTTGCAGACTTTTCCAAGACTGGAGACTCTGACAAAAGAAAGTGCTGGGAGTTAATGTATGGCTTTTAAACTCCCCTCATTAGGAGAATTGCTCATTTAACAAAATATTACATTGAATAATAAGATAATTTCCCAGTTTGCTCAACGTAGACAACGTGATGGAACCAACATATAATCACATAAAACAAAATACATGGCACATACAGTTACAGTTAAATTTATACAGAGGACATAGCTTAAGTTCAAACTTAAATGTTGAACTCCAAACAGCAAGACATTGATAAGTAGACCCAACCCTAGCCCATAAAATTATTTTTTAATGTTTTACATTAGAACCTTAACCGGGTATGGCACGCCTTGGACCTTCATAAAGAGACATGCAGCACATTGAGGCAAATATTAGCTTTGAATGAGACTGTTGCATCACTCTGCAGGCTGAAAAAAGAAGGTATGTATTATTTTTTTTAATATTTACCTGCTTCGTTCTTATGCTTTCCACACCCATTCCAGGAGAGACACTGATCTAACCAATCAGTGTGCTATCCCTAGGAATGCTGGAAAAGTGCATTGGTCGTGCCTAACAGATTCACACATGCGCAGTTGGAAGATCTCTTCACCTTGTAACATCCTGACAGGGGTAATAGAGAGCTAGTCTGGTCAGTGTGATCATGCAGAGCAGACTCCGGTGCTGGGTTTGTCTCTCTTGCTGCTGCACAATAAGGCCACACTTCTGTCATTAGTGGACTGGTCTAAAACTGAGATTGGAGGGTAAGGAGGGGGGGAGGGGCTGAATAAACTCAGAGAGACCTGCCCACCAATGCAATCTGACCACATTTTTAGGAAGTTTATAAACATTTATCAGAGACTTTTCAAAGTCAAATGATGCATGTCCCTTTAGGACAGTGGTTCTCAAACCAGTCCTTTAAAACCCACCAACAGTCCAGGTTTTGTTAGTTTCTCCATTGAAATAAAACAGGGAATTACATAAGTCCTGGACTGTTGGTGGGGCATGAGGACTGGTTTGGGAACCACTGCTTTAGGAGAACACCCCATTATTATTATGTGTGACATGTCATGATTCCCTTTTATTCCAGAAGTTTGGTCCTTAAGGGGTTAAAAAGTACCCTTTCCCAATAAAGCCTAAGGTTAATTGCCTCTAACGATTTAGGGTTTTATGAGAAGATGCCTCGTATAGGCTTTGAGCAAACACTCAAAGCGTTTGAGGAAGAGCTGTCAATAACACAGAGTGCAATCAAGCAGTTTTATAAAAGTGATGATTTTTGAACATTTATAAAGTAAAAAGGAGTAAAACACTTCGGTGAGCTATCATATCCCTTGTATCATAGTTATAAACTCTGCCACATTACATGTATGCTTACACGTAGAGCCAATTATAGATTAGAGGTTAGCGCTCTAAGAGGGGTATGTTTGTACCTGTTTAAATCTCACACTTGAAGTGTTAACTTGGCCTGTTGTCCAACAGACATTGACATAATAGCACTGAAGCAATATTAACAAAAACACATCCATACATTTTAATGTATCAGTCATTACATTGTTTGATATTATTTAACTAAAATTAATATTTTAGTGTCAAGAATTCAAACATGATAGGTCTAAATGTGCCGTTTAGCTCAGATTAATCAAATTACACATTCAAGCTTTTTTTTTTAATTTTGATTTTATTAGATAACTCCTTAATTTGGAGCCTTTATGTGGTACCCATGTCTGAGGTTACCACATTATGGAGTTGCTTAGTAAATAGCTCCCTTATTTGATACCATTAGGATTAGGTTTAGGAACTATCTACTAAGCATCTGACAGATCAAGATTAGGAAAAGGTATCTTCTTATTTTGATCTTTCAGCATTCTGAATCAACGAATGACTGAACCACAGAGAAGAATTGCGCCCATAGTGAGATTCAGGACTCGTTCGATTCAGTCTTCAATATTTGGATTAACAGCCAATTTGGAAACGCAGGTTGTCAGAATCCAAACGCACAAATCTAATCTTAAGTATGTAAAATAGAAATTACTCTTAAAACTTTGTATCGAGTTAAGATTAAACGCATAACATTATCTAGCTCAAATCTTCTAAATTATCACAAGGGATTTTAAACTCATAAGAAGTCTTACCGAGCCGGACAAGACACTGCTTTACGTCTGTATTCATGGGGTGCAGGCCACTGCAGGTAAACAATTTGCCATTATAAACTGGGTCGGATTTTAAGACGTAGATGTTGGAAGATTCCTTGGAGTCTCCAATTTCCTTATTATTCCACTCAAGCATGGCGCGAGGGTAACCTCCTGGCCATTCGCAGGTTAACATGACATAATCATTCTGTTTTGTGGCTTTTGCAGAACAATTTGGTCCACCAGCTGGAAAAACTATATATAGAGAAATTGTAAGCAATACTAACAGTTTATAAACGGTTTTAGCCTGAAGTGCTTCACATGTTAATGTCGCGGGAGATATTCAGATTAACTTTACACTGTCCCCTGTAGAGATGCCGTATGTCTTTCTTTACATGTTACATCAGGAATTGTTTCTCGGCTTCAAAGGCCAGAGATTCTACATAGATGAGGGCAGGGAAGTGGACGTAATTGTAACTAATTCAAGGATTGAAGAGAGAAATGGAGTATGTCTATGCAGAAGTGACATGAGGACTTCAGTTTAAATGTAAAATAATATCCAATTGATCCATTTAACCTGCCCTGTTAAGTAACTGATTTTCAGTTATTTCACTAACAGCTCAAAATACCTTGATCAATCGTGGAAAATTCTACACAGGATGTAAATAAAATACAGTTTGCCTGTATCCATGTTCTGGGATCTGCCTAATTTATTTTAACTCTATCTCCTTTATGTAGTGTGCCTTCGAGCTACACATATTATGGGCTTCCAGTCTATGTTTTATCATATCTCCCTCTCCCTTCTCTCTCTTAGCTATACATATTAATGGCGTTCAGTCTATGTTTTATCATATCCCCCTCTCCCTTCTCCCTCTGAGGTATACATATTAATGGCTTTCAGTCTATGTTTTATCATATCCCCCTCTCCCTTCTCCCTCTGAGCTATACATATTAATGGCTTTCAGTTTATGTTTTATCATATCCCCCTCTCCCTTCTCCCTCTGAGCTACACATATTATAGGCTTCCAGTCTATGTTTTACCATATCCCCCTCTCCCTTCTCTCTCTGAGCTATACATATTAATGGCTTTCAGTCTGTTTTATCGTATCCCCCTCTCCCTTCTCCCTCTGAGCTATACATATTAATGGATTTCAGTCTATGTTTTATCATATCCCCTCTCCCCTCTCCCTCTGAGCTATACATATTAATGGCTTTCAGTCTATGTTTTATCATATCCCCCTCTCCCTTCTCCCTCTGAGCTATACATATTAATGGCTTTCAGTCTATGTTTTATCATATCCCCCTCTCCCTTCTCCCTCTGAGCTATACATATTAATGGCTTTCAGTCTATGTTTTATCATATCCCCCTCTCCCTCTCCCTCTGAGCAATACATATTAATGGCTTTCAGTCTGTTTTATCATATCCCCCTCTCCCTTCTCTCTCTGAGCTATACATATTAATGGCTTTCAGTCTATGTTTTATCATATTCCCCTCTCCCTCTCCCTCTGAGCAATACATATTAATGGCTTTCAGTCTGTTTTATCATATCCCCCTCTCCCTTCTCCCTCTGAGCTATACATATTAATGGATTTCAGTTTATGTGTTATCATATCTCCCTCTCCCTTCTCCCTCTGAGCTATACATATTAATGGATTTCAGTCTATGTTTTATCGTATCGCACTCTCCCTTCTCCCTCTGAGCTATACATATTAATGGCTTTCAGTCTGTTTTATCGTATCTCCCTTCTCCCTCTGAGCTATTCATATTAATGGCTTTCAGTCTATGTTTTATCATATCCCCCTCTCCCTCTCCCTCTGAGCAATACATATTAATGGCTTTCAGTCTGTTTTATCATATCCCCCTCTCCCTTCTCCCTCTGAGCTATACATATTAATGGATTTCAGTCTATGTTTTATCATATCCCACTCTCCCTTCTCTCTCTGAGCTATACATATTAATGGCTTTCAGTCTGTTTTATCATATCCCCCTCTCCCTTCTCCCTCTGAGCTATACATATTAATGGCTTTCAGTCCAAGTTTTATCGTATCCCCCTCTCCCTTCTCCCTCTGAGCTATACATATTATGGGCTTCCAGTCTATGTTTTATCGTATCCCCCTCTCCCTTCTCTCTCTGAGCTATACATATTAATGGCTTTCAGTCTATGTTTTATCATATTCCCCTCTCCCTCTCCCTCTGAGCAATACATATTAATGGCTTTCAGTCTGTTTTATCATATCCCCCTCTCCCTTCTCCCTCTGAGCTATACATATTAATGGATTTCAGTTTATGTGTTATCATATCTCCCTCTCCCTTCTCCCTCTGAGCTATACATATTAATGGATTTCAGTCTATGTTTTATCGTATCGCACTCTCCCTTCTCCCTCTGAGCTATACATATTAATGGCTTTCAGTCTGTTTTATCGTATCTCCCTTCTCCCTCTGAGCTATTCATATTAATGGCTTTCAGTCTATGTTTTATCATATCCCCCTCTCCCTCTCCCTCTGAGCAATACATATTAATGGCTTTCAGTCTGTTTTATCATATCCCCCTCTCCCTTCTCCCTCTGAGCTATACATATTAATGGATTTCAGTCTATGTTTTATCATATCCCACTCTCCCTTCTCCCTCTGAGCTATACATATTATGGGCTTCCAGTCTACGTTTTATCATATCCCCCTCTCCCTTCTCTCTCTGAGCTATACATATTAATGGCTTCCAGTCTATGTTTTATCATATCCCCCTCTCCCTTCTCCCCCCCGAGCTATACATATTAATGGCTTTCAGTCTGTTTTATCATATCCCCCTCTCCCTTCTCCCCCCGAGCTATACATATTAATGGCTTTCAGTCTGTGTTATCATATCCCCTTCTCCCCCCCAAGCTATACATATTAATAGCTTTCAGTCTGTTTTATCATATCCCCCTCTCCCTTCTCCCCCCCGAGCTATACATATTAATGGCTTTCAGTCTGTTTTATCATATCCCCCTCTCCCTTCTCCCTCTGAGCTATACATATTAATGGCTTTCAGTCTATGTTTTATCATATCCCCCTCTCCCTTCTACCTCTGAGCTATACATATTAATGGCTTTCAGTCTATGTTTTATCATATCCCCCTCTCCCTTCTCCCTCTGAGCTATACATATTAATGGCTTTCAGTCTGTTTTATCGTATCCCCCTCTCTCTTCTCCCTCTGAGCTATACATATTAATGGCTTTCAGTCTATGTTTTATCGTATCCCCCTCTCCCTTCTCCCTCTGAGCTATACGCTTTCAGTCTACATGTTACATGTTTTAACCTTAAAAATACACTAGAGGGCGCAGGCCCTGTAGAGATTCATGGCATGAAGTGAAATTCCAACACAGCCAACATTAGTATTTCATAAAAATTCTATCTTTATAAAAAAAACTTGGGAGTAGCTTTAATGCAATCAGTATTATTTTGAAGTCATGTAGCTCTTTGTGAGATACATTTTGCTCCATTTGAAAAGTGCATTCTGACTCAACAAATGTGCTTAATATAGATTTTTTTAGTTTATATTTTTAAGTTCCACTCCATTAAAGTTGAATTGCACCCCTAGACTCTCTTCCCACTCCAGTTAGATTGCTCCCTAAACTCCAGTTAGATTGCTCCTCCTCTCAAGTTAGATTACTCCCTCACTCCGGTTAGATTGATCCCCCACTCCTGTTAGATTGCTCCCCCACTCCAGTTAGATTACTCCCTCCACTACAGTTAGATTGATCCCCCACTCCAGTTAGATTACTCCCTCACTCCACTTAGATTGATCCCCCACTACAGTTAGATTACTCCCTCACTCCAGTTAGATTGATCCCCCTCTCCAGTTAGATTACTCCACCGCTCCAGTTAGATTGATCCCCCACTCCAGTGAGATTGCTCCCCCACTCCAGTTAGATTACTCCCTCACTCCAGTTAGATTGATCCCCCACTCCAGTAAGATTACTCCCTCACTCCAGTTAGATTGCTCCCCCTCTCCAGTTAGATTTCTCCCTCACTCCAGTTAGATTGATACCCCACTCCAGTTAGATTACTCCCCCACTCCAGTTAGATTTCTCCCCCAATCCAGTTAGATTACTCCTCCACTCCAGTTAGATACTCCCCCACTCCAGTTAGATACTCCCCCACTCCAGTTAGATACTCCCCCACTCCAGTTAGATTATCCCCCCACTCCAGTTAGATTACTCCCCCACTCCCGTTAGATTGCTCCTCCACTCCTGTTAGATCATTCCCCCACTCCAGTTAGATTGCTCCTCCACTCCTGTTAGATCATTCCCCCACTCCAGTTAGATTGCTCTGCTCCCCCACTCCAGTTAGCTTACTCCCCCAATCCAGTTAGATTGCTCCCCCACTTAAGTTTGATTGCTCCCCCACTCCAGTTTGATTACTCCTCCTCTCCAGTTAGATTGCTCCCCCACACCAGTTAGATTGCTCCCCCATTCCAGTTAGATTACTCCCCCACTAGAGTTAGATTGCTCCTCCACTCCTGTTAGATTATTCCCCCACTCCAGTTAGATTGCTCTGCTCCCCCACTCCAGTTAGATTACTTCCTCACTCCAGTTAGATTGATCCCCCACTCCAGTTAGATTGCTCCCCCACTTCAGTTAGATTACTCCCCTTCTCCAGTTAGATTGCTACCTCTCTCCAGTTAGATTGCTCCCCCACTCCAATTAGATTACTCCATCCACTCCAGTTAGATTACTCCCCCACTCCAGTTAGATTACTCCTCCACTCTAGTTAGATTACTCCCCCACTCCAGTTAGATTGCTCCCTCACTCCAGTTAGATTGTCCCCCCCCCACTCAGTGATTTACTCCCCGCCACCAGGTACTCCCCACTCCCAGTGGGTGATCCCCCACTCCCAGTGGAGTACTCCCCCACTCCAGTTGAATACTCCCCCACTGCAGTGGGTGTCCCCCACTCAGTGGAGTACTCCCTCCCTCCCAGTGGGTACTCCCCCCCCTCCCAGTTAGGTACTCCCCCCCACTCCAGTTAGGTGTCCCCACTCCAGTTGGAGTACTCCCCACTCCTGTTAGGTACTCAGTGGGTATTCCCCCCACTCAGTAGGTACTCCCCCACTCCTGTTAGATTACTCCCCCACTCCAGTTAGGTACTCCCCACTGCAGTGGGTGTCCCCCACTCCAGTTAGATTACTCCTCCACTCTAGTTAGATTACTCCCCCACTCCAGTTAGATTGCTCCCTCACTCCAGTTAGATTGTCCCCCCACTCCAATTAGATTACTCCCCCACTCCTGTTAGATTACTCCCCCACTCCAGTTAGATTGATCCCCCACTCCAGTTAGATTACTCCCCCACTCCAGTTAGATACTCCCCCACTGCAGTTAGATTGTCCCCCCACTCCAGTTAGATTACTCCTCCACTCCAGTTAGATTACTCCCCCACTCCTGTTAGATTACTCCCCCACTCCAGTTAGATTGTCCCCCCACTCCAGTTAGATTACTCCCCCACTCCAGTTAGATTACTCCAGTTAGATTGTCCCCCCACTCCAGTTAGATTACTCCCCCACTCCAGTTAGATTACTCCCCTGTAACGGATCGCCTGGCACCCCGACTGGGTACCTCCGTTAAAGGATGCTCCTAGCACTTCCTGAGGACTCTAAGCACTGCAGCAGACACCACAACCACCGAACCGGAGAAGCATATGAATCCTCTCAAGCATATGAATGCTGTAGACAGTTGAATAGGAACCATACTAATAGGTTTACTCTCCTAGCAGTCAAACTGGAACAGCATACAATAAATCCTTCCCCCAATAATGAGACGACACTTCACTTTGAGGGTTAAAACAGGAACTCCCTGTACTGTCACATACAGTCTCTTTTATTCCCAATCCACAAACATAGTACAGCCCACAGGGCGCTACAAAACAACCAATCACATCACAGTCACATAAAATTACATATTCACAATCAATCCATTCAGGGGAACAACATATTCAAAAATGGCACAAATCAGACAAGGGGTTCAAAAGTTAGTAAAAAGTCCTTTGTGACTAAATGAAGCATGGCTTTCTGGCCCAAACCAGTTTCAGAGTCTTCTATCCTGGAGATAAGTAATTCAATTATCTCCCAGGATAGACACAAGACTCCATTAAGCACATGGTTGCAAAAAGACACAAAACACTTTAAAATACATAAAGTCACATTTACACATAACACACAGACATTTCACATATCCCCAGATAGCTGGGATCTGAGTGCACATTATTAGATGAATGGCACTCAGATCACACAAATAAGCCTTTCTGCAGGGGAAATAAACGGTTTAACCTGCAGGGCCATAGTCCAAAGGGAGCAGACGAGCAACCAGGCTTCTCCAGTTCACAGTGGCGAGGTTGGTTTCGCCACACTTCTCCCCTTTACCAACTAGACTAACAGGGTATCTGACCTCCTGCCGGTCAGTGCCCTGGTTAGTCCAGCAACCCACCCACAAAACAGAAACAGCAGTACAGCCCACCCACAATAACTGGTTACTACACCTGGGCAGAGGAGAACTTTGTCCATGTCCAGGTGCCTCACCACGACTGTGTGGGCAACTGTTAGGCTGCCTTGGTGGGTTGCTGAGTGGGCAGAGACCAGCGGTACTCTGCCCTGATGCCAGTGCTACCACGGAAGTAGCCTGGTGGGAGCCTGGTTGTGGGAGGGAGAGACCGACTGTCTCCCCTCTGGATACACCGCTTTGTGGCTGGGGAACAGGACCGACTGTCCCTATCCCTTGTGCTGTAAGTGCAGAGACTACAGTCCCATCTGCACTGTTGGGGGGTGTAACATCTCCCCTTGCTGGGTTAGGCTGCCGCTGGAGAGAGGGTGTAACAAGCTCCTCTCTCTGAACTGTAACCTGCCGCTGGGGAGAGGGGGTATCAGGCTCCTCTCCCTGACACTCTCTCTGCTGGTGGAGAGGGGGACCAGCTGTCTCCCCTTTCATTATTTTGTCCTGTGGTTGGGGTGCGAGACTGACGGTCTCTGCTCCCTGCAGGACACTGTGCCGCTGGGGAGGAAGGACGGCACCTTCAGCTCCCTGGGGTACACACTGCCGCTGGGGAGGAAGGACTGCACCTTCAGCTCCCTGGGGTGCACACTGCCGCTGGGGAGGAAGGACTGCACCTTCAGCTCCCTGGGGTACATACTGCCGCTGGAGATCTGGGCCGACCGCCCAGCATCCCTGTAGGGCCGGTTGAGAGACCGCCGTCCCATCTCCACCTGCCATCTGTGGGTCTTCCCAGGACCAGTCTGTGAGGTCCCTCAACATTTGCGAGTAAGGACCACCTGCTTCCGCACCTGGCAACTCCGGCTGCTGCTGGGGATCTGGGCCGGTCCCATCTCCACCTGCCTGTTGTGGTTCCTCACAGGACCAGTCTATGAGGACCCCTACTTCGGGTTCCTGCGGCCGCCTCAGGGGGAGACGGCTAGCCTCCTTGGATGCAGCCTCTACTCGGCTGCTGTAACACTCCTTCCGCTGAGCATACTCTCTCTCTTTCGCCAGCCGGAATTCTCGGGCCAGCCTTGTGTTTCGCTCGGCCGTGACCTGGTTCCAGATCACCCGGCGTACCTCCATGGGTAAATCATCCCCATACTGGGCCACTCGCTGCCTCACCTCGGCCATCCAATCATCGCCAGAGCCTTCCATACTTGTCTGCTCCAAGTCGCTGGATACCTCTGCTCCCAGGGTCGCTGCACGTGTGCTAGCGTTGCCCTCAATTTGTAAATCCAAACGAACTGTGTCTCTGAGCTGCTTTACCTCGCACTAGGACGCCATCCCACCGCTTGCCACCAATGTAACGGATCGCCTGGCACCCCGACTGGGTACCTCCGTTAAAGGATGCTCCTAGCACTTCCTGAGGACTCTAAGCACTGCAGCAGACACCACAACCACCGAACCGGAGAAGCATATGAATCCTCTCAAGCATATGAATGCTGTAGACAGTTGAATAGGAACCATACGAATAGGTTTACTCTCCTAGCAGTCAAACTGGAACAGCATACAATAAATCCTTCCCCCAATAATGAGACGACACTTCACTTTGAGGGTTAAAACAGGAACTCTCTGTACTGTCACATACAGTCTCTTTTATTCCCAATCCACAAACATAGTACAGCCCACAGGGCGTTACAAAACAACCAATCACATCACAGTCACATAAAATTACATATTCACAATCAATCCATTCAGGGGAACAACATATTCAAAAATGGCACAAATCAGACAAGGGGTTCAAAAGTTAGTAAAAAGTCCTTTGTGACTAAATGAAGCATGGCTTTCTGGCCCAAACCAGTTTCAGAGTCTTCTATCCTGGAGAGTAATTCAATTATCTCCCAGGATAGACACAAGACTCCATTAAGCACATGGTTGCAAAAAGACACAAAACACTTTAAAATACATAAAGTCACATTTACACATAACACACAGACATTTCACATATCCCCAGATAGCTGGGATCTGAGTGCACATTATTAGATGAATGGCACTCAGATCACACAAATAAGCCTTTCTGCAGGGGAAATAAACGGTTTAACCTGCAGGGCCATAGTCCAAAGGGAGCAGACGAGCAACCAGGCTTCTCCAGTTCACAGTGGCGAGGTTGGTTTCGCCACATCCCCCACTCCAGTTAGATTACTCCCCCACTGCAGTTAGATTGTCCCCCCACTCCAGTTAGATTACTCCCTCACTCCAGTTAGATTACTCCCCCACTCCAGTTAGATTACTCCCCCACTCCATTTAGATTGCTCCCCTACTCCAGTTAGATTACTCACCCACTCCAGTTAGATTACTCCCCCAATCCAGTTAGATTGTCCCCCCACTCCAGTTAGATTACTCCCCCACCCAGTTAGATTACCCCACTCCAGTTAGATACTCCCCACTCCAGTTAGATTGTCCCCCACTCCAGTTAGATACTCCCCCACTCCAGTTAGATTGTCCCCCCACTCCAGTTAGATTACTCCCCCACTCCAGTTAGATTGTCCTCCCACTCCAGTTAGATTACTCCCCCACTCCAGTTAAATCCCTACATATGAACTATTGCATGGATAACTATTGCATGGATAACTATTGCATGCATTTCTCCTTCGGTTATGTGTTGTTTTGATTATTGTAATGTTAATACACTGTCCTCATACTATTAAAAACAAAAACTATGTACTTACGTATAGTGGTACTGCAGGTAACATCAAATCTAAGAGCCGGATGGGAGATTGCGCATGTATAAGTGCTGCCATTTTGAATGTCGGAGGCTCTTTGTATCTTGGTTGAATTGGAATATGACACAATCACATTATCCTCTTCACTTGATTTCAACCAGCGAACTTGTGCCAAAGGATGGCCACCTTCCCACGAACACCAAAGAGCCACATCCTTGTAATTATTATGAGATAGAGCCGTACACACTGGAGATCCTTCAGGTAAATCTATACACAAAATATCATAAAACACTGCCACCAACAAGACGATGGAAACGGATATGAAATGTCTATAACTTCCAAAATAATAATGTGAAACATTGGGAATTAACACGTCTGATCATATAATAAAATACAGAACTGGGAAAATCTTAAAGTCTCTTCTTTAATAATTATATTGCTGTCGAGAACAGAATGAATATATGAGACCACTAAAAGCAGAAATTAAATTTATTTTGCATCAATGTAAGCATTTATTTTTTAAGCAATGTATCCTTTTTCCTGCCATAATTATTTTTGCTGTAGAGAATTACCATTCTTAGTATAAATATCTTATAAGTGTGATCTTCAATATTATTCCTGATGTTCCTCTAAATCACCAAGTGTTTTGTTTGCATCACCCCTACCTGGTATTATTGGGGTCTTTTTTATGTAGTTTTTTTAATGTTTATTTTTTTTTTTTGTATAGGTTATATGCCTATAGAGCATGTGTAACTAGCCTAACTTTCACTTTCAGTGCCTGACATGAGAGTGGAGCATCAGGAAGGCATGGAGAGAGTTAATTCTACTGCCTTAGATTGACTAGTAAAACCTTATGGCACAGCCATTAACATCAGAAAAAAAACAACTTTTTAAAGCCCTTAAAATTGCTTCTTCTTTTGGTAAATTTGAAATTCTATAGTGTTGTGTGGGGCACTGGCTGGAAACAAATTAACTAATAAACATCTCCGCAAAGTTACATTAGTTAGTAAATAGCAATCAAAAGCACTTCGAAAAAGACACCCCAGTCGAAATGCGTTAGTGCAATCTGGTGGACTCCAGGGTTTTATTTTACCCTGTTTATTTATTAGTTTGTTTCTAATAATGGTAAGTTTTAAATGTCTTTCTTTTTCACTCATTTATTATAAAATGTAAGCTTGGAGGAACATGCCATATACTTGCTACTGAGCAGCTAATGTTGTGTCACAAATGAGGAATTCACCATATTTCCTATTTTGAGTCTGTATAGCTTGAGCCTGCTTTGTTTGGCTCAGGAACACGTGAGTGTGACTGATTGTAAGTCTTTTTTGTATATACATATTTCAATTTAAAGCACTGTTTCTGCTCTGTGATGATTGAGTTAATGAGGAAACATTATCCTGAGTGGCAAAGGCTGGTTCTGATTGGCTGCAAATGTCAGGTGATCACTTATAGCCTATCACAGTGCCCATTGCTGGTGTTAATTGGTATGGCTAGAAGGAAGTGTAAAATCTTTGCCTTAGCCACACCTCCAGTAGGGGCCGAGCTGTGAGTGTCAGGGCTGATGGAAAGATCAATAAAAACCTGCAAAAAGAGGAGGCTTTCTAAATATTAGGATGTTAGACTTTGATGGTAAAACATGTGTGAAAATCTGCAATATAAAAAAAATCTAAATTTCATGAACAACATCAAGAAGATGAACCTTAAAAAAGCAGGATTTATGTTGGTATTTAAAAAAAAATCTGTTTAGCAGTTGGGTCACTTTCTCTATGAAAACTAAATTGTAGATTTCTGTCTTACCTTTTGCTTTTCTGTGTCTCATCCAATGCAGCATTATCATGCAGTTCAAATAATCTACTCCTGTTGCTGCACAGTAAAAGGCTTGAAGCTACTTTAGCAAATCACATATTCTGATTGTCTGTTGATATTACACGTTTTCTGGCATTTGATTATTTTCAAGACTTACTGTCATTGCATTTTCAAAGTGGCTCCTTTCACACAGAAAAAATACCAGATTTTTCAGTGATAGTAATAGCTGGATGTATTAAAGCTTGGCACATTAATTGCTATTAATCTGGAATATTGTTTGAAACGGATCTATGAGAGGATTAGTTTCAACGGTAGCATTTTAGAATCCTGCCCAAATACTAAAATAATTTTGAAAACTCAGACTCCCTTCCTTATTATAATTGGTAATTATATAATTAGTTGTTTCTAGCTCCCTTCATTTAAATAATAGGTCCTGGTTTAATTACTTGTCTGCAGTGAAGATTTTATTTTATGCATATATAGTGCTACCCTGTCATCTTCCACATTTGTTAGGTGTAAAGTTAAGATTTGGACATGAAACATCTCATCTTCGTGTAACAATACAGAATTCATCAGATAAGTGTATTTGTCAATAAAAAGGGATTTGTTTTGTCTGACCAGACAGACTACCAGAGGAAGGTCGTTAGGATACACATTTAAAATAAAGAGTGAAAGAAAACACAGCATTTGAACTGTGCATAATAGGAAAATAAAGACGTTAAGGGTTTTTGGGAGAAAACTTAAAAAATAAAACACAAAGTCCAAGTGCTGTATGATTGTCTCAGAGATTACTTGATTATATTATTGACAGCCCTGCTGCCCATAAGTGTAACTCTAACTAAACTCAGGCAGTTTGTAACACATAAGATGCAATGGGATTAGAACACACACACACACAGAAGATCAAAATCTAGGACAAAGAATTTGCGTGGAACACTCTCCGTAAAGATAAGCTGATTTAATGCATCTCTAGGAACATATACTGATTGGCTAAGCGTGACAAATGTCCATGAATGCACAGTAGCATCCCAATGCTTCCCAGTGAGGAAGCATTGGATTGGCTGAGATCATCGAGGTAGCAGGTATGACCACATAGAGACTGGTGCACTGGGGGAAGAATAGTAAGTAAATCTCTTTTTTTTATTAATTTGGAGGAGGAGGGGACCTGCATCTAAATACACTGAAGGTCTATTTCTCTCAAATATTGTTCACAAATCTGTCTAAAATCTGTGTTAGTGAGCACTTCTCCTTTGCTGAGATAATCCATACACCTCACATGTGTGGCCTATCAAGATTCTGATTAGACAGCATGACTATTGCACAGGTGTGCCCTAGGCTGACCACAATAAAAGGCCACTCTAAAATGTGCAGTTTTACTGTATTGTGAGGGTCCTGGGGGGGTCCAAAAACCAGTCAGTATCTGGTGTGACCACCATTTGCCTCACGCAGTGCAACACATCTCCTTTGCATAGAGTTGATCAGTTTGTTGATTGTGGCCTGTGGAGTGTTGGTCCACTCCTCTTCAATGGCTGTGCGAAGTTGATGGATATTGGCAGGACCTTGAACTTGTTGTCTTCTTCGCCGATCCAGAGCATACCAAACATGCTCAATGGGTGACATGTCCGGTGAGTATGCTGGCCATGCAAGAACAGGGATGTTTTCAGCTTCCAGGAATAGTGTATAGATCCTTGCAACATGGGGCCGTGCATTATCATTAACATGAGGTGATGGCCGTGGACGAATGGCACAACAATGGGCCTCTGGATTTCATCACGGTATCTCTGTACATTCAAAATGCCAGCAATAAAATGCACCTGTGTTCGTTGTCCCTAACATACGCCTGCCCATACCATAACCCCATCGCCACTATGGGCCACTCGATCCTCAACGTTGACATCAGCAAACCACTCACCAACACGACTCCATACACTCTGTCTGCCATCTGCCCTGTACAGTGAAAACCGGGATTCATATGTGAAGAAAACACCTCTCCATAGTGCCAGACACCATCAAATGTGAGCAGTTGCCCACTCAAGTCGGTTATGACGACAAACTGCAGTCAGGCTGAGACCCAGATGAGGACGATGAGCATGCACATGAGCTTCCCTGAGACGGTTTTTAACAGTTTGTGCAGAAATTCTTTAGTTATATTGTTGCAGCAGCTGTCCGGGAGGCTGGTTTTTAGACGATCTTGGAGGTGAAGATGCTGGATGTGGAGGTCCTGGTTACACGTGGTCTGCGGTTGTGAAGCCAGTTGGATGTATTACCAAATTCTCTGAAAAGCCTTTGTAAATGGCTTATGGTAGAGAAATGAACATTCAATTCACGGGCAACATCTTTGGTGGACATTCCTGCATTCAGAATGATAATGGTATGTTCCCTCAAAACTTACGACATCTGTGGCATTGTGCTGTGTGATAAAACTGCACATTTTAGAGTGGCCTTTTATTGTGGCCAGCCTAAGGCACACCTTTGCTATAATCATGCTGTCTAATCAGCATCTTGAAATGCCACACCTGGCAAAGGATAAATGCTCTCCAACACAGATTTAGAAAGATTTGTGAACAATATTTGAGAGAAATATTGTGTACATAGAAAAAGTCTTAGATCTTTGAGTTCAGCTCATGAAAAATGGGGGTAAAAACGAAAGTGTTGCGTTTATAATTTTGTTCAGTGTAGTTACTGGTACAGCAGAGCATTAGGAGCAGATGTTTATCTTCCTAAACGCTATAGTGTTCCTTTAATATTAGTTATGTTTTCTGATGTTATAGGTTTGAAATATAATTATGATTATTTTTAATTTACATTGTTTAATACGTTCCATTTGAATCCTACATGCAATACATTATTCAGAATAAACAGAAGTTTCTTGGAACATATTCCAGATGTTTGTTTTACTGGAATGTGCTAACTGCTCAAAGAATTCTAAAATATATTTAGAGTGAGTGAGGGTCCTGATAAAGAAACCAAAAAAAATAAAAAAAATTGCCAATACATCAGAGAGCCTGCAAACCCCTTTCTGAACCCTAAGAACCAGAAGAAAACACATTTTAGCCCTCCTTCTGCCTCCACAATGACAAGCAGAGGTCCCCAAAAAAGTACCATAGAAGGGACTAAAAACTGCCCGTTCCTCCAATTTCACAAGAAGCAGCACAAGTCCCTAAGGACCTTTGCCACTCTCCCTAACTTACAAAAGAATGACCAGAACATGCACAAAATTCGCAATATGACTCCTGATTGGTCAACATTACTGTGGAATGTGCTTCTTGGGTTGACACATAGATTTTTAGTTAATCTATAAGGAAGTTCAGATATTACACATGTGCAGACTGGAGAACATAGAAAAAAGAAAGCATGCCAAACTGACACTTGTGGCTCACTTACAAAAGACCGTGAGAGTGATTGTAAGCTGTGTCCGTGTTTTCAGGTGATCATTTTGTGCCAAGCAGGTATACAGGCCACTCTGCCTTCGGGAGATGCGTGGAAGGACATATATCTGACCAGAGTAAACTTGAGAATTGTTATAAAACCAGACGTAGTGGCATGGTGGGTTGGAGAGCGCTGAGCAATTCAGAGTGACCTCTTCTTGCTCACTAGCAGCGAAGCCCTTCTCACTGATGGCATAGGGTTTTATTTCAATGACAGGTTCATCTGGACCAACTGAAAAATATATGGGATTGAAATAAACATCAGAGATTTTCATTTACCACCGAATTTACTTACTCTGCTTCGAATAAAGGACCCCTGGGCTGGAAACTGGGCCTGTGCACACTTGACTTGTGGGCATGTAATTAACAAAACCAAATGGTGTCAACGGCAGACAGGACCATATTTTCAATTAGGCACAGTAGTCAACTGCCAAAAGGCATCTGTCCCTTATGGGAACACTGTTTTCAACACTTATTATGAGACTGTGTGGAGCTTAGGTGGGTTGGTGAGAGGTTCCAAGAGCCTTAACCAGTGTCCGCTGTAGTCCATTCAGCCACCTATGTTTGATAGCAGGGCTGCAGGAATAGTTATAGAGGGTGTAAAGCTCAGTGCTGTCCCAGATCCTTGAGTGTCTGTGTCTGAGGCTGGACAGAAGTGGAAGGGATCACTTCCCATCTTCCCATTAGCTGCCTCTCACACAGGACATGCCTTGCAGATGGTGCAGGGGAAGCTCTGAGTGATGTACACTGTAAAACAGCTCCTGCATCTCTGTTTACAATCATAGGAGACGGAATACTATACAAATAAGCATTCAAACTCCACATGCCCTAAACAACCCCTTTCCTTTAACCTACATTTAGCCCCTCCCAAAACCTAAATAACCATTTTACTTAGGCTCAAAGAGGCCCTTAGTTTTCCTTTACAAAGTTGTAATACTGGCACAAAATCTCCCTCTGCCACCACCCCAGTTGGTGAATAAAGGGTTAAAAACCCTTTATTTACAGACCAAGATTCCAACTTCAGAACCAAAAAAAGCTAGTATTTGTGCCATGTGTTTATTCAACAATAACTTTACTCTTACTTTTTAATTGTTTCACACCTGTTATTTACGATTTAGTAAAGGATACATATTTTTTGATACATAGCATAAAAAAGTAATAAAATAACAAAAAATATGGGAAAACAATGAAAACATTTTTTCAGTATCATGCTTACAATAATGTATACATAACAGGTGCAACTAAAGAAATAATAACTCAACGGCAGCTCTCATCCGCCTCCAGTGAGGTCAACATTACCGATAACTTGTGTTCAATCAAATACTTTTCATAGAAAGCATTGGATCATACCAAGAATAGAGATACATTGAGACCAATGCAATACAATGCAAATCAAGTGAGGCAGAAAAGTCTCCAAAATGTCTGCTTAACAGGGACAATGTTACAGTGTTTACTAAGAGATTTATAAAGTTTTACATTTCTTGTCAAAACAGAACTTTTTAAAATAAACTAGCAGCGAAATGCATTAACATCAAAAAAGCACTTTAGCCATCTCCTGTGTCTTTAAACAAGATTTCTTATCTCCCAAATACACAGATTAATGAATACATCCTCACAACAAGGTATTTCAACAACAACTTTGACATCTACGCTTTCATATGTTTTATTCGTGTTTTTCTTCTTCCTATTCAAAACATTGGTGTTCATGCGGCCAATATTTTTACCACTTTAAGAGGTGGTGAGAGAATTTAAGCAACTATTTTTTTTGCAAGTGAACTATATATTCCCTACTGACTCCTACAGAGAACAATGGTTCGAGAAAGGTTGGCGAAGACATGCTCACAAGAAATAGTTGTTGCACTGTAATATAGTATACATATATATCTATAGTATAAAATAAGCTAATGAATTAATGGCATTGAACAAAATGCATTCAGTAACCTATTAATTTGATTGCTTATTTGCTTAAGGATGAAATTAACAAAAACTAAATTTCCGTTCATTGTGCCATCCCTCCAAAAATGAATGCACATGTCTATTTACAAGAGTGAAAATCCTATCTCTGGAGGTCCACCTGTCCATCATGTTGTAGATTAAGATTGTTGAGTTATGTATTTTCTCGAGTGGACTCCATTATATATTGTGTATCATCTATCTTGGCATGTATTGTGTATCATCTATTCCGATATATATTGTATTTCATACCTTGTCAGATTGGTTACTTGCTGAGCTTGATGAACGCAAGTCTCTTTTCAGCTATGTAACTATGTAACTATGTAAGATAAACATTTTTCCTCTTTCTTTATTAAATTACTGAATGCTGAACCTGGACCTGCTAACACCAGGAGGAAGGACAGGGACCAAAGAATGGACAATAAAAATTAATTGAACCAGTTCCTTGTGAAACAGATTAAAATTAATACGACATCATGGACTTACATCTGACATCAAGGTATGAGCGCCCACTGGTCACTTCATTCACTACATTTCTCACAGTACACGAATACCATCCTATGTGAATTCTGTTAGCTGCCGGCAAAATAAGCACATTCTCGGTACTCTCGGGAACTGCAAATAAGCCCTCTTGAATGGTGTAACGTTGCCAGGTATATAGGATAGGTCCAGTGCCATTCTCCACCGAGCAATTTAGCATAACTGGTGCTCCTTCTACTGGTATGGAGTTATTAATTAGTAAAGTGGGTTTTGTGACAGGTACTGAAAGGAAAGAACATTCAATTAAAGACTGCAGTTAATGGCAGAAGAATAAAACATTGCTGTTCCGGACCTTATCTGCGTCTCAAGAAAATTAGCATCAATACTGATCATGTATACATTTACTCTAACTAAAAATAATTACCTACTAAGCAGTGGGTTTTATTTTCCCTAATCCTAAAGTTTTCGAAATAATTAAAAGCAGACTAAAGATTGAAAGTTAGTATCATTACATCAAATTGCATGTATTTGATGTTGTGACAGGCTTATGCAATGTATGATCATATAATGTAACTAAACCCACATTATTTTTGCCTAGATTAGGTGGTTTTTTTTAAATAAAAAAAAAACGAATAAAATCTGTCAACATTGAAGTTGCTGTTTAGTGGATAGGTGAGTGCGCTGGGTCTTGTGTAATATATATATCTACGAAGAAAGGCACACAGTGGACTTCTTAATAAGGAAAATGTGTCTTTATTAATCTCTCAGGTTACATAAAATCGATGTTTCAGTCCATATCAGGACTTTCATCAGGATCAAATCCTGGGCTATATGCAATTTGATGTAATGATACTAAGTTGCTTTTATAAAGTATAAATAAACAGTGATTAGATGGAGGTTAAAAATAGCATATAATATTGAAAAGTAAAAAAAACAAGGGATTGCCAGTTAAACATTTTACATGAGCGACTTGCAGCTCATTTCTCCGAACAGCTTCCTGTCAGACCAGGAAGAGGATAAACAAGGTCCTTCACCACAGTCCATGAGGCCACACTACAAGGAATGACCAAGGGGACTCTTCGCACCCTCCTCCCACCTGTCACCTAGACATTGTGCCCACTGACCAGTGCACCCTATGGATACCACCTGTACAAATCCATCTTGGGTGCCCAAACTACCAGATTGTGGACTCACAACTAACAGACTTTTTATGTACACAATGGCAGACTTTACTTTGACTTACAGAAGACGAACACCACTGGACCATGTTGGAAACCTAAGAACCTCTTGTAATGGAGGAGTTCCGCTCTTGATTTATATTTATTGTTTTAGTCCCATTATTGCTGGAGGGAATTGATTAGGGGGGGATTCTCCTATAGACTGCACTGCCACTCTGCTTTAGTCATTTAGTTGAACACCAACACTTGGATGCAATGTTGTCTCAGTGTTTCTCAGTGGTTGTTTGCAAAGTGCTTAGTGTGGTCTCTTAAGACACTTAAGAAACTTTACTGACTGGTAGTTTATGGCTTTTCTTTTATAATCTCAAATACTGAGCTATTTTAGGGGATTTCTGATTTTTCTGTGAATTAGTTGTTTCTCCCTAGAATGGCATAGTTTACCTTTCCACGGTTATGATATGCAATAGTGTCTCTATCTGCAGATTTAAAAACATTCTAACAATACTCATCATACTGTAAAATGTATGGCCCTGATTTGGCATGTTTTGGGGTATATAAGATATTTGTAATACCACATTTCTATTGTACAATTTGTCAAAAATAAAGCTAATAAAAAACAAGTGTACTGTAGTCATTGCTGCCGGCCCAGTAGTGATGGGAGTGAGCGCAGGACTTGTCTTTTTGTATTTGTATTTACTTTGTGTCACACAGCCTTGTTACAATGCAGCCGCCCATCCCATGTGTTCCCTATTAAGGGTTAATAAGTATATAGGGGTGTATATAAAAAATACCCCTCTCAGTCTCATTAGAGATATTTTTGCCAAAAGCTCATGGAAGCAAGGTAAAGGGTCAGTGTTAGGACCCGCTTAGGGGGGTCTGCCTTGACGTTGGCAAGCGGGCATTACCTCCTATGGCCATTGGAGCAACTAAATGACCTCCATTTGTTTAAATATACATAGGGATTAAGGAGAGAGCGCAGGTAACTTTTTCTTTTCTTTGGTTTTTACTATATATTGGGGCTGATGTGTACTGTAGCCATTGCTGTCGGCCCAGTAGTGATGGGAGTGAGCGCAGGACTTATCTTTTTGTAATAGAAAACAAGTGCCTGAGGGAATTAACATGCATGATGTTTAGATCTAGTAACAACTGGACTGTTAATAGTTCATTAATAGTTTCATGGACAAACCAAAAGTAACCAGAATTAGAGAAAATGTTTGAATGGATAATCACCTAGAATAGACAGGTCAATATAAACCGTGGTAAAGACGCCATTCCTGAAGAAGCATTGGCACATGTACCGTCCTTCAGCTTCTAACTGTAGATTGTTTATGACCAGGGTGCTATATATAAGACTGACATCACCCAGAAAAGAGGTCTCTTTGTGTGCTACTTCATTCCTGGCAATTGGAATTGGTTTATCTGTTCCAAACTTTATGAAATTCCATATAAATAAGGAGCCAGAGATTGTATCACAATCAGCACATTGGAGTTCCACGGATCGCTTCACTACACCATCCGATTTCAGTTCTACGACATTTTCATTTTGGGAAACAAATGACTGTCCTAAAAAAAACAAACAAACAAACATACTGTAACACAAAAACCAAGCTGGTGGTAGGTACACGTTAGAATTGACTTATTTTGGCCTGGATCATGTTTTATCTGTTATACTGTGAGCTCACAGGAGCAACATGCTCCACACCTTTTGCTCATTTTTGCCCTGGTTCATAGACATGTGAAAATTGTTTCATTCCAAAATCGCATTTCAGACAAATTCTGCAATTCTGAAGCATACAAACTTAACCAATCTGAGATCAAACAAAACTGGAATTAATTGAAATACATTTTTTTGGATCTATTTAATTTCATAATGATGGCATGTATACAGAGTATATGTGCTGCAAGTATATACAATGTATGCAATGCATGTACATGGGATATATATGCTGCATGTATACAGCATGTAGGTGCAAGTCTTGCAGTTGTATAGTAGATAGCTCCCTAATTTGGTAACCTTAGATATGGGATTGCCGTTGTAAGGCTATGTAATTAGGTAGCTATCAAGTGAACAAAGCATTTCTGTAAATGTTAGCACACTTAATTATGGCAATCCCGCTTAAGGATAGGATACTAAATTAGTAAACTATGTAGTAAACAGCTGGAAGAGAAAAAATACAAAAAGCACTTTTACTTAAATGAGCTTTTTTTAAAGTTTCTTAGTAATTTGGTGCTTGTATTTATGGCATTCTTATGTAAAGATACAAATTTAGGGAGCTATATACTAAACAGCTAAAGGTCACAATTGAGAAAAATGTATCCACAAATTTTAAATATTTGGAAAGCTCATTCAGCAGTATTAAATCAAAGCCTAGGTAAGGTAATACAGTCGGAGATGGATATTGTGTCACTTCTGATAAGATTTAATATAGATAAAATATCACGGTTATACATTTGAGGTGAAGAATAAACAAACAATGTATACCTTAAATGTCAGAGTTAGGGAAATGAATACATGAGACTTATGGTAGGGAATAGTTATAGAAAACAGAACAGGCAAGTCAACAATGTGCAATGTTTGAGAGCAGTTGTTAAGGCCAGTAAGGTATTATCATGGGTAAAAAGGAGTATTAACGCAAATGACGTTGTATATATATTTGAAAATATATTTTTCTCTATTTATCAGTGTTAAGACTCCACCTTAAATATGCAGAGCTACTATGAGCACCTGTTTTAAAGAAGTGCATCAATGAACTAGAAAGTGTGCAGAGGTGCAGAGATTTAGAGAAATCCCTACATGGCCCTGTGCTCACTGTAAGGGCAAGATGCACCTATGGCTGGGAGCAGCTCTCAGGGGAACCATAGAATTAAATACATATATAAATAAAACAACGAGCTATAGTGTGTGGGTTGGCTGGACATAGAAATTCAGACTCACCACACACAGTCTACCCCCAACTCACCCTGTCTCATCACACAGTCACTCTGTTACACTCAATCCCCCACACTAACCCCACACTCAATCACCATGTTACACTTCACACTTACCCCCTACATATAAAGTCACCCTGTCACACTCAGCCCCACACTCACTCCTCACGCACAGTCACCCAGTCACATTTACTCTGTCACAGTCACCCTGCCACAATCACACACAGTCAAACTTTGGCCATTGTTTCAATTTGCTTTTGAGATATTTCCACTTTTATAAAGGCTTATATTAAAATAATATGTTTTATTTGATGTTTTATTAGATATCTGAATCTGTAATAAATTAATAGATTTCAAATTACCTTCATATGGAAAATACATATATTTTTTGTAAATCCTCTGTTTTTAAATACATTATTAAATAAATTAATATAAAATGGAAAATGGCCAACAAAACATGAGTGTTGGAAATAGCTGAAATGATATGATCTGCAAATAGTCATATAGTATATTCCTTCCCATTTACAGGTATTCATTGGATAGCCTTATAATGGGGAATAACCACTGCCATAGGTTCCGTTGATAATATTAAAAGCTGTGGTGACAGTGAGCAGCTCTGTGTAGTGCAATTTGTTACAGCAAACAAACCCACATAAGTATCATCTAGAAAGTAGAGCTTTTATAAAATGTATAAAGAATACAAAATCTTGTCAATGTAATCCCAACACATCCTGTTGAGGGACTTTCTCTGCATCCAAAGAACAGAAGACGAGATGGTTTTCCAATAGAATGAATTTGGTAAACAATATCAACAAAGTGGTGGGCATCATCAGAAATATGTCTGTTACCTATAAAACTAATATCATTCTAAAGGTATATGGCCACACCAAGGTGTTAGTAAAATATATATGCACGATTTAAGGTACAAAAAGATAGAATACATTTATTATATTTTATATATATATATATATATATATATATATATTTATTAAAACTATATTAAAACTTGTTTGTAACAAAATATACAGCAAATGACTACTCTTTTTTGGGCATTTAATGTTGCAATGTTGATATTAATTACTTTTTTTTTTGTGCCTGATCATATCACGCTAAGTTCTTCACTGAGTTTGCCTCTACCAAATCCTTCACAAGTTCATTCTGGCATCTAGACCTCTTTCTATTCAAATCAATGCTACATTGTTTGAAACAGATTATATCAGCTATTGTGTAGCTTTGGCAGAGAAAAGATGACTTGGCTTTGCTTACCATATATCAATGCCGGGGCGATATACAAGAATGCCAAAAGTGTAGTAAGATGTGTGCTCCTTGTCAATCCATAATCCATTTCTCCATGTCGCTGAAAGATAACGCCTCTAAACTATATCTGAACAGATATTGGCATTCCTTTTTAAGCAACCACAGATACCGCTGAATTCCGACAAAGTCCTCTGTAATCATAAGACTGGTCTATAGGTGTACGTATTTCATTCCACTCAATGGCTCTCCAGTTACATGCATTAAATAATTAATTTGTTTATTTTTTTTTAATCTTGCTTCTTGTTACACACTGTTGTGTCATCTTAATCTATAATGCAGAAGACAGTTCATTAACAAACCCTTACAGACTCCTTCCATCCAACCCGAAACGCTTCTTTCCAATTATATTCTTTTTGCTTGCATAAAATGTATGAGCCGGTTGCTGTTAATGTAATTAAACAGTTCCTGATATTTCTCAGTTAATGAATGCGTCTGTGTTTCTTTGGAATTATAATTCAATTAATGGACGTATGTGTAGGTTAAAATGCTAACAATGCATTATCAGTTTTATCTTATTTTGAAAGCTTGTAATAAAGTTATATTATTGGAATAGGGTGTAGGGCAATACTAATCAAGTTATATTATTGGAATAGGGTGTCATATAATTGTAATAAAGTTATGTTATTGGAATAGAGTGTCATATAATTGTAATAAAGTTATATTATTGGAATAGGGTGTAGGGCAATACTAATCAAGTTATATTATTGGAATAGGGTGTCATATAAGTGTAATAAAGTTATATTATTGGAATAGGGTGTCAGGTAATTGTAATAAAGTTATTTCATTGGAATAGGGTGTCGGGTAATTGTAATAAAGTTATATTATTGCAATAGGGTGTCAGGTAATTGTAATAAAGTTATATTATTGGAATAGGGTGTCAGGTAATTGTAATAAAGTTATATTATTGCAATAGGGTGTCAGGTAATTGTAATAAAGTTATATTATTGCAATAGGGTGTCGGGTAATACTAATAAAGTTATATTATTGGAATAGGGTGTCGGGTAATACTAATAAAGTTATATTATTGGAATAGGGTGTCGGGTAATACTAGTAAAATTATATTATTGGAATAGGGTGTCGGGTAATACTAATAAAGTTATATTATTGGAATAGGGTGTCAGGTAATTGTAATAAAGTTATATTATTGCAATAGGGTGTCGGGTAATACTAATAAAGTTATATTATTGGAATAGGGTGTCGGGTAATACTAATAAAGTTATATTATCGGAATAGGGTGTCAGGTGATAGTAATAAATGGAAATTTACTCATACTTACTGATATTTTCATTACCAGGTAATGGGCCATTAGAGCATTACTCTTGGGACATGCCCCAGCTAAACAAACAAAGGGGGAGGAAAAAAAGGAAACCAACATATTATAGCTGCAAAAAAAACCTTTGATTATATTTCTTAGCCAGTTTATGAAGCAGAAAGGATTGCTGTAGCAAATTCTGTTCCTTGAGAGGATCTAACATTCAGCTGGTAATGTCAAATAAAGGTATTCTGCGAGGAGTACGTGGCTGCCCTAAAGATCTGGTCAGAAGGAATATGTGCCAAAGCTGCCCATGAAGTAGAGAGGGTCCTGCCAGGTGGAATGAGCTTTCAGTCCCCTGGGGACTGGAGTTTCCTTAATTTCATTAACTTTAGATTTAGCCGAGGTAATCCATCTGAATCACAGATGCCCTCTCGCCTTTATTCTATTTTAGATAGACCCACAGGAATCTAACCACATCCAGATTATGAATATTTCTTTCCCCCTCTGAAGAAGGGGAAGTGTAGAAGACTGATTCAGTTGGAAGAATGACATAACCTTTGGTCTAAATTCAGGTACTGTCCTAAGGACAACGTTGTCCTGAAAAAGGATGTGTTTGCTGGAAAACCTTGTAGAATCTAGCTGTGAAGCTGTCCGGCCCTGCGCTCCTGCCTAATGGAAGGTGTTTAACCACTGCAGCAAATTTGTCTGGCAAAATAGGTGACTCTAATGTTTGGATAGCTGCAGTGGGAATGGTCTGGTAAACTCTGGTGGAAAGGAACCTTGTAATGGCAGTTCTTGTCCTAGGTAGTAAAGTTTGGAGTAGAGTTTGATGTATGGAAGTTTGTGGGACAAGTCTCCAGAGGGTTTTTTGAAAATTAACTTTGTGACAGTCGGGGACAGAGTGGGGAGTGGGGTGTAGAATTGTCTAGGAAATAGTTTTTCAGAAAAACTCAGCTCAGTGTGGGGGAAATGAGGCATCCAGACAGCTGATGGTAAGTGTGAGTCAGTCTGTGTGTGTGGGGGGTGTCAGTCTGTGTGTGTGTGGGAGGGGGGGAGATCTGTTTGTGTGTGTGGGTGTTTTAGATTGTCAGTCTGTGGGTGTGTGGGGGTAAGTCTGTGTGCAGTAGGGTTCAGTCTGTGTGTGTGGGGGTAAGTCTGTGTGTGTGTGGGGGGGTTAGTCTGTGTGTGTGTGTGTGTGTGTGTGTGTATGGGTCAGTCTATGTGTGGGGGGGCGGCTCAGCCTGTGTGTGTATGGGTCAGTGTTTGTGTGTGGGAGGGGTCAGTCTGGATGTGTGTGGGTCAGACTGTGTGTGGGGTGCGACAGTCTGTGTGCTTGTGTGGGTCAGTCTGTGTGTGTTTATGGATCAGTCTGTGTGTGGGCATCAGTCTGCATGTAAATGGGTCAGTATGTGTGTGTGAGGGGGTCAGTCTGTGTGTGTTTATGGGTCAGTCTGTGTGTGTTTATGGATCAGTACGTATGTATGGGTCAGTCTGTTGGTGTGTGTGGGGGTCAGCCTGTGTATGCCAGAGGGTTCAGGTACGTGTTAGTGTGGGGGGTCATGCTGTGTGTGAATGGGTCAGTCTGTGTGTTTGTGGGGGTCAGTCTGTATGTATGTATTGGTCAGTCTGTGTGTTTGTGGGGCTCAGTCTGTGTGTGTCAGGGGGTCAGTCTGTGTGTGTATGGGTCAGTCTGTGTGTATGTATTGGTCAGTCTGTGTGTATGGGTCAGTCTGTGTGTGTGTGTGTATGGGTCAGTGTGTTTGTGTACGGGTCAGTGTGTGTGTGTGTATGAGTCATTCTGTGTGTGTGTGTATGGGTCAGTCTGTGTGTGTGTGTATGGGTCAGTCTGTGTGTGTATATGAGTCATTCTGTGTGTGTATGGGTCAGTCTGTGTGTGTATGGGTCAGTCTGTGTGTGTATGAGTCATTCTGTGTGTGTGTGTGTGTATGGGTCAGTCTGTGTAAGTGCTTGAGCTCCGAGAGAGAAACCTCCCCTGTACCTGATGGTTAGGCAGCCTTCTGAACCACCACAGATCTGATTGTGCAACCCCCTCCCTGCAAGGTAAGAACACGGAAAGGGGAATATACTTTTTATTTTCAAAACCATTATTAAAGTAAAAACTGTGAAGCTCTTCCCTATCGCACTTTCTACACCCCTCTGCACACAGTACACCCTCACAGACAGCAAACCCCCCACATACAGTATACTCCCACACATACATAGTACACATTGCAGTGCACCTCTCACACACTTCACCCCACACATCATTTCTTCACCAACATACACACTTCATCACCACATACATTCACACACACACACGCATACATATTTCACCACATTACACACTTCATCACCACATACATTCACACACACGCATACATATTTCACCCCATTACACACTGAATTTTCTTATATCTGAGAAAGTCTATGCATCCCACCACCTTCGGATTCATGAGATTTCAATATCGCTGGTCATGACCAAATGGTAATAGATATATAGACAGACAGACGGACAGACAATCACTAACAAAATCTTATTAGGATGCCCCCTGTATTAGGGAAGAACAGTCCCAGGTGACTTTGGCGCTATTGTCCTACTGCCCCTACATATACTTTTCTTTGGGTAGTGTGCCAACAGCCCCTTCTGTTTTTCTTTTTTTTTTTGTAAATAGATAGAAGGATATTCATGCTCTGCGCTGTGCCAGGTTGTTACCCACCCTCTGCAACCTGTTGCCTGAAAAGATTAAATTAGTCTGTGTTTTGGGCTGAGGTTTGGCTATACCAGGTCTCCTAACAATTCAATTTTAGGTAGAACAGTGGCAAATGTTAGGGTCCTGCTCCACCATCCCAATCTTGTTCCCTGCTTCACAGGATGTCTCCAGACAGGACAGCGAGACTGCATCATTAGACGTGCTTTCAATGTACGGCAGTCACTAGGACCATGCAGGCAGCACTTTAGAATCGCTCTGTGCATGTTCTCCTGCATTGTGGACAGACCAGATAGGCCTTTCCGGGCAGGCCAGTGATAAAATGTGAGTCAATGATGGACACCTCCTCAGGTTCCACCCATACAATGTTGGTAGATATTCTATATTGTTTTATCATCATCTTTGTTATTATGTTTGTGCAGTTTTTTAGGTAATACTAAAACTATACAGTTTGAATGGATCATTCACAGGAAACAATTATCTGTATCTTAAAAGTTACCAATCTTATTTGGAGATATTGAACTATCAAACCTTTGAGTTCCTTGTTTAGATCTGCCCAAATACAATCACTGGCAACAAGGTTATAAATAGATGGGCAACCATTGTGAATTATAGATAGATTGTTTCTCCTAGCTTTAGGTCAAATATCCTTACTCCTGGCAGCTCTTTAGATCTATTGTTTGCATGTAAATCAGTGATGGGATATCTTGTTACAATTCATCTTGTGTAAAAAAAAAAGTCACATTACTCTTACAATGCAACGCAAGTATTTAATTCCACAAGTCTGTCATTTCTCATTAGGACCACACATAGTCTGCAGATCACCTGATATGTATAACAAGTGTTCCATCCAGTTTGTGACATAGTAAGCAATGTATATCTGGTTGATTTATTCATCTATTTACCTGTGGATAGAATAGGTATCGATAACTGTAGAGCTCAAATAGATATTCCATGTAAAGTCAAAGTGAATTTCAAATTAAAGGCTAATGTACTAAAATGGAAGCATAGCTGGCTTATAGAATTTTTTGGGTAAATGGTCAAATTGTTAAAACAAACAACCAA